AGTACTTTAAGTACATAATGACGATCCTCACAAGGGAGGGGGGGGGGTGGTGACACCATGACGTAAACATGCAAAAAAAATTAAATACATTAAATAAAAATGTGAACACGTATACACATGCGTATATACATATACATATATATATATATATATATATATATATATATATATATATATATATATATATATATATATATATATATATATATATATATATATATATATATATACATATATATATATATATATATATATATATATATATATATATATATATATATATATATATATATATATATATATATATATATATATATATATATATATATATATATATATATATATATATATATATATATATATATATGGCTCCGCCCTTGGTGCAATAGAACACGGGGGCTGGTGCGTTGGCCGCAAGGTCCACGAAGAGAGGGCCAAAACTGACCTCGACTGACCGGCCGCTTATATGAGCTATATTACGAATAAACCTTTTGCCGAATACCCCCCCCCTTTGATATGTTGTGAGGTCGTAGACCGACCCTAGAGGGTAACAAAAATACATTATTCCCGTCGGGAGGGCCCCCTAGGGCAGGGGTCGGCAACCTGCGGCTCGCCAGCACTATGTCATTGAAAGTTATTGGCAAACTTATTACTCGCAATGTTATTAGAAGCAAATGCTTTCATAAAAGTATAAATAATTTAATTATATTAAATTTACTTTCACAAACAATTATTACAATTTCAGCACAATACATAACTTAATTTATTACGAAATGTCTAAACAAATGCTATACTTTGTGATTTTTTTTTTTTTTTAAAAAATAGTATACATATTATTTAAAAAGAGTACTTTAAAAAGTTACCTCCCCTGTACATATACCAAATTACGTTACTTTTTCACAAACAATTCTTTATATAAGAAAATATGGCATCTGGACAAATCTAACGACCCTAGGGCAGCAGAGGCGTAGCGACCCCACCCCGTGCCCGGGGCGAACATTCAGTCTGGCGCCCCCCATATATATATATATATATATATATATATATATATATATATATATATATATATATATATATATATATATATATATATATATATATATATATATATATATATATATATATATATATATATATATATATATATATATATATATATATATATATATATGCGTGTGTGTGTGTGTGTGTGTGCTCGTGTGTGCTCGTGTGTGCGTATATGTGTGTGCGACAGTCTTGAATAAAAATAATAATTACGCTGTATGATTGTCGTTCCCTAAAACTTTACTCGGCGTCAATTAAATTCATCTTAAGATGCATTATCCTTTAAAGATGATGATTAGTAATATCAGAAAAAAAGTGTAGCGGTGCTCAATCGTTTGGGACAGACTTTTTTAATCTTTTGAGCAGTCTCTGTTATGATTTAGTATATATTTGGATTATAAGTTTGTTAGATTAAGGTCATACAATTGACATACAATAGCAAATTATTGTTCACATTGGAATACGATATGGGTATTTCGTTGACAGGTCGATTGTATAATGAAACAAGCCAGAGGAAACACATTTCTTTTCTAAGTGTTAAAAGAGTTATCTAGTAACCAATCCAATACAAATCCTGCGATTTTTGTTGGTGAAAAAGCGCCCCCCCCCCCTCCTCACCATCTTGGACAAAAATGGTAGAGCGGATTTTTAACGTCACTAATTCTTGTTTTTATGTTACACAATCGTAAAATACGCTTTAGTTACATGGGTTCTTTTCTGAGTGATATGGGTTATTTATTCCTTTATTTCTCCGATTTTAGTCTTCGAAAAAGCGCCCCCCCCTCAACTAGGAAAGCTGGAAAGCAGTTTTTCCGGTCACTGTTTCTTAAGGATATACCTTTTACAGTTACTTAATCAAGGTAGAAAACAGCTAAATCAGTATGCAAAGGCTCTTAGCCGTTAAATTTCTTTACTTTGACTGTTTATAATTCAAAACTGCAGCTTAAAATGAGCTTGTAAAAAAAAAATTCTACCCCTTTTGGCGCCTCACTAGGGTCGGCGCCTGGGGCGGCCGCCTTCCGCGCCCTCCCCTAGCTACGCCTCTGTAGGGCAGGGGTCGGCAACCTTTTAAGACGAAAGCGCCAAAAGTTACCCCTTACAAAATTCCCAGTTTTTAAAGACCCACTAACATTTTTATTTCAATATTTGGTATTTGACTAGGATTAGTTAAATAAGTTTAATTTTTTATTTAAAGTAAATAACTTTAAATGTGAAATAATATGTTCTTCATATTAGAACATACACATGTTTCGCACAAAACATTAAATTATTTTAGCTAGCTCTGCTATGATAAAATTAGTAACCAAATAATATAAATATAGGACTATCAGTAACTCAATCCACTTTAGAAGCTGTTAACCTTTTTTTTTTCTTTCTTTACGGACATCGCCGGCTCAGGGGAGTTAACTCAGCTAACTCCGACTAACTGGCTTGGATCTAGGTTTGATTACTATGTATATGTATAATGTATATATATATATATATATATATATATATATATATATATATATATATATATATATATATATATATATATATATATATATATATATATACATATATATATATATATACATATATATATATATATACATATATATATATATACATATATATATATATATACATATATATATATATATATATATATATATATATATATATATATATATATATATATATATATATATATATATATATATATATATATATATATATATATATATATATATATATATATATATATATATATATATACATATATATATATATATACATATATATATATATATATACATATATATATATACATATTATATATATATATACATATATATATATATATATATATATATATATATATATATATATATATATATATATATGTATGTATGTATGTATATGTATATATATATATATGTATATATATATATATATATATATATATATATATATATATATATATATATATATATATATATATATATATATATATATATATATATATATATAGGCTATATTATATAGGCCATAAAATTTATAGATTAACAAATTTACGGGGGGGGGGGTTGAGAACATTAAGTGCCGCACCGGGTAAAACCCGCCCTCGCTATGCCAGTGGTGACCGGGTATTGTATTCTGCAATAAACGTAAAATTTCACATTTTTAGATATTTTGTTACACTCGCTTGAGCATTCAGATTTTGTATCGAAATACCCTGAACGGTTGACCTACTTGTAGCAACCGTTTCCGGGTTTGGTGTTGTGACCAGGTGCGTCGTAGTGTGTTGTCGCCAGGTAGGCCTCGCTTGACAGGACGATAGCGTGTTTGTTTCTGTATGTACCTCAGTTTAGGACGTTTTCGATGATGATCCCCATCGGTAAATTTGAATAATTTATGCATCCAAAGCGTAAGTATAATGTGTTTTTTTTTTAAATTATTGCCAATTAAAACGAACCTGAAGGCCAGGTAGGAATCTGGTCATGATAAAGTAGATCTAAAATCTAAATTGTAGTAAAACAACACTTAAAACTGTAAAACTAGAACTTAAAATACTGCTAGCTACAGTTAGTCGTTAGTAGATCTAGCTAATCTAGATTCTAGATCTAGTAACTTAAAGAGTTAGAGCCAATAGCCTACTGTCAACTGAACTGTTGTTACGTACTTCTCAGGCTGCACGATGAATAATGACATTAATTGACATAGCAGAATACATACTAGATCTACTACATGTGTTATAAGTCTGTGTTTGAGTACAGCGGTTGTGAAACGTTGGGGTGACGAGATTTGGCCTAGATTTTGATCAAGACACTTCCATTTTTTCGTTCATGGTGATGATCTATTTTTAGTAACGAGGTCATTGGTTGTAAAAATCGTCCTAACAGTAACAGAAATGACAAAGCCTCTTTTAACTCTTTATCTTACCCTCAAAACCTAGGGCCTATCCTCAAATTAATCCAATCATTTATTAAAGTAAACATGTGTTTGGTTTCAAAATGGGGGAGGCGGGCGGATTAGAGGTTGACATAAACACATTGACACACAACACTGTTACTCACAACACATTTTGTGGTGACACACAACACATGGTGACACACAACACATGGTGGTGACACACAACACACTGACACAACACACTGTGGGGACACACAACACATGGTGACACACAACACATGGTGGTGACACACAACACATGGTGGTGACACACAACACATGGTGACACACAACACATGGTGGTGACACACAACACATGGTGACACACAACACACGGTGACACACAACACATTGTGGTGACACACAACACACTGTTACACACAACACATTGTGGTGACACACAACACATTGTGGTGACACACAACACATGGTGGTGACACACAACACATGGTGACACAATCTACTGACAGTCTACTGTATTTGTTTTACCTCAACATTTTACTGTTGGTGTGTGAACAGGTATAGTGTACTTATTTTATATATATAGGCCTATATATATATATATATATATATATATATATATATATATATATATATATATATATATATATATATATATATATATATATATATATATATATATATATATATATATTAAACCTAACCCACTGTTAACACAACTCTGGTGAGAGGGTTATGACAAAATAAATCACTCTTATCTTAGTCATAATGTTATTGATTAGATCCCCCTTATCTAGGGCAGGTACTGGTAATAGGTGTTATACATGGTGTATCGACTTAGTGGATCGACTTGGTATATGGACTACTGATTTCATTCTAGGTTCATTCTAGGTTCATGAACTACATCTCTAGACACTTACACCAGCTAGCAAATAGTTTTAAATCACTCAAACATTTCATTAGTAGTCTCATTCAAGTGCAAGAAGATCAAAGTAAAAATTTCAAGTTCATATAATTAATAAGTTGAGCTTTGGGGTGTGGCCAGAAGAAATGGGTGTGGCCAGAGAACAGGGGTGTGGCCAGCCAAAGAGTGTGGATAATCACTTGCACAGAGGTGCACATAGTACCACTGGTGAGGCTAATCAGTACCATAGGGTATTTTGACATGTTTAGCTCAAATTAGTTGATTTTTTATGTTTCAACTTTTTGTTGCAATATGTTCAGCTCTACATGCTGTCTCATCATGCTGTCTCTACATGCTGTCTCTACATGCTGTCTCTACATGCTGTCTCTACATGCTGTCTCATCATGCTGAGCTAAATAGGTCATCTACACCTTCAAATGTCAAATTGGTTTCTTCTATGTTACATTTCTTTGGTTACATCTGAATCTTTTGCATGGTATACTTGTGGTAGCTTGGTTTAAAGTACCTGTGGTAGTTTGCTTTAAAGTACCTGTGGTAGTGGTAGCTTGGTTTAAAATACCTGTGGTAGCTTGGTTTAAATTACCTGTGGTAGCTTGGTTTAGAATACCTGTGATAGCTTGCTTTAAAATACTTGTGGTAGCTTGGTTTAAAATACCTGTGGTAGCTTGGTTTAAAATACCTGTGGTAGCTTGGTTTAAAATACCTGTGGTAGCTTGCTTTAAAGTACCTGTGGTAGCTTGCTTTAAAATACCTGTGGTAGCTTGCTTTAAAATACCTGTGGTAGCTTGCTTTAAAATACCTGTGGTAGCTTGGTTTAAAATACCTGTGGTAGCTTGGTTTAAAATACCTGTGGTAGCTTGGTTTAAAATACCTGTGGTAGCTTGCTTTAAAGTACCTGTGGTAGCTTGGTTTAAAATACCTGTGGTAGCTTGCTTTAAAATACCTGTGGTAGCTTGGTTTAAAATACCTGTGGTAGCTTGCTTTAAAGTACCTGTGGTAGCTTGGTTTAAAATACCTGTGGTAGCTTGGTTTAAAATACCTGTGGTAGCTTGGTTTAAAATACCTGTGGTAGCTTGCTTTAAAATACCTGTGGTAGCTTGGTTTAAAATACCTGTGGTAGCTTGGTTTAAAATACCTGTGGTAGCTTGGTTTAAAATACCTGTGGTAGCTTGGTTTAAAATACCTGTGGTAGCTTGGTTTAAAGTACCTGTGGTAGCTTGGTTTAAAATACCTGTGGTAGCTTGGTTTAAAATACCTGTGGTAGCTTGGTTTAAAATACCTGTGGTAGCTTGCTTTAAAGTACCTGTGGTAGCTTGGTTTAAAATACCTGTGGTAGCTTGGTTTAAAATACCTGTGGTAGCTTGGTTTAAAATACCTGTGGTAGCTTGCTTTAAAGTACCTGTGGTAGCTTGCTTTAAAATACCTGTGGTAGCTTGCTTTAAAATACCTGTGGTAGCTTGCTTTAAAATACCTGTGGTAGCTTGGTTTAAAATACCTGTGGTAGCTTGGTTTAAAATACCTGTGGTAGCTTGGTTTAAAATACCTGTGGTAGCTTGCTTTAAAGTACCTGTGGTAGCTTGGTTTAAAATACCTGTGGTAGCTTGCTTTAAAATACCTGTGGTAGCTTGGTTTAAAATACCTGTGGTAGCTTGCTTTAAAGTACCTGTGGTAGCTTGGTTTAAAATACCTGTGGTAGCTTGGTTTAAAATACCTGTGGTAGCTTGGTTTAAAATACCTGTGGTAGCTTGCTTTAAAATACCTGTGGTAGCTTGGTTTAAAATACCTGTGGTAGCTTGGTTTAAAATACCTGTGGTAGCTTGGTTTAAAATACCTGTGGTAGCTTGGTTTAAAATACCTGTGGTAGCTTGGTTTAAAGTACCTGTGGTAGCTTGGTTTAAAATACCTGTGGTAGCTTGGTTTAAAATACCTGTGGTAGCTTGGTTTAAAATACCTGTGGTAGCTTGCTTTAAAGTACCTGTGGTAGCTTGGTTTAAAATACCTGTGGTAGCTTGCTTTAAAATACCTGTGGTAGCTTGGTTTAAAATACCTGTGGTAGCTTGGTTTAAAATACCTGTGGTAGCTTGGTTTAAAGTACCTGTGGTAGCTTGGTTTAAAATACCTGTGGTAGCTTGGTTTAAAATACCTGTGGTAGCTTGGTTTAAAATACCTGTGGTAGCTTGGTTTAAAATACCTGTGGTAGCTTGCTTTAAAATACCTGTGGTAGCTTGGTTTAAAGTACCTGTGGTAGCTTGGTTTAAAATACCTGTGGTAGCTTGGTTTAAAATACCTGTGGTAGCTTGGTTTAAAATACCTGTGGTAGCTTGGTTTAAAATACCTGTGGTAGCTTGGTTTAAAATACCTGTGGTAGCTTGCTTTAAAATACCTGTGGTAGCTTGGTTTAAAATACCTGTGGTAGCTTGGTTTAAAGTACCTGTGGTAGCTTGGTTTAAAATACCTGTGGTAGCTTGGTTTAAAATACCTGTGGTAGCTTGGTTTAAAATACCTGTGGTAGCTTGGTTTAAAATACCTGTGGTAGCTTGGTTTAAAATACCTGTGGTAGCTTGGTTTAAAATACCTGTGGTAGCTTGGTTTAAAATACCTGTGGTAGCTTGGTTTAAAATACCTGTGGTAGCTTGGTTTAAAATACCTGTGGTAGCTTGGTTTAAAATACCTGTGGTAGCTTGGTTTAAAATACCTGTGGTAGCTTGGTTTAAAATACCTGTGGTAGCTTGGTTTAAAATACCTGTGGTAGCTTGGTTTAAAATACCTGTGGTAGCTTGGTTTAAAATACCTGTGGTAGCTTGGTTTAAAATACCTGTGGTAGCTTGGTTTAAAATACCTGTGGTAGCTTGGTTTAAAATACCTGTGGTAGCTTGCTTTAAAATACCTGTGGTAGCTTGGTTTAAAATACCTGTGGTAGCTTGGTTTAAAATACCTGTGGTAGCTTGGTTTAAAATACCTGTGGTAGCTTGGTTTAAAATACCTGTGGTAGCTTGGTTTAAAATACCTGTGAAGCTCCTGTAGTGTGAGGCACTAACAATTGATGTGGATTTAGCCTATCACAAATTCTTGGGTGTCTTTACTTTATTAAACACTGCATGAGTTGACCAATCTTTGCCAGCAATTATTCAGGAAATTTGTGTGAGAAGTTGTTTGGTCCCGAGTCTGAAATTCAAATTGCCAGTTATCTCAGGTCCTTTCTTTAATATGGCCACATCGCTGGGTGACTTATTGAGACCATTATCAGCCAATGAAGTTTTCTGTTTTCTGAAAAAACAGTTAGACCTATTTGATATATAAAGAATCAATATATGAGTAGAGTTTGACCTTGGTGAGGCAGGTGAGCTGTATTCACTCAAGTTTTTGTACCTGTGATCCTGGACTCAGTGAGGGGCAGACGATTGTTGGTTAGGGTTAATAATCAGGTTCAAATTTAAAGCAAAGTTCTGATGATGACACCACTGAGTTGACCAGAATCCTCCCCTCATTATTGTTGACATGGATTAAATAAAACATGTTTTTTTATTATTATTATTATTAATTTTGGAATTAAAGCAACTGTAAAAATATAAGCCTAAAAATTAAGAAATTAAATATTTTTAGAATCAATGTGGCAATCCAGATAACTTTAAAATAATTTTTGAGTTTAAGGCTACATTTTTATTTATTTTCAAAAAGCCTATGTTATAACATGGTTTCACTTTCCTAAGACTCCGTGTTCAATATTGTGAAATCCCTACTTTTAAGAAAAGCCATATTTATTTGTAAAAACTTTGCCATACATCGTTTAAAGTTTAACCATTTTTGTTTTTAATTTCTGTGATAACTGTATACAATTAAGTTGCTTTTGGCCTCTTTTTTTTGAAAAATAAATTTTGCTTAGTTACAGAAAATACTAAAAACATTAATACATACAATGTTTATAGCCACACTTATTTTATTAATATTGTACATGATTTTTAAAATATTTAATGGGCCTTTCAAATTATTTTGAGACTATTTTTGGTTGAGTCCATTACAATTGACCCAATTTAAAATTAAAATATTGTACTAATTTGGTTTTTTAAAAATACATACGGACTTACCTTTCCACCTTTACCAAATCTAAATACTAAAAAGTAGAAAATAAAACAAGTATAAAATCTTTATAAACTTTTAAATGCACTGAAATTTAGAATGTAAACAAACAAAAATGTCTTGAGTAAAACGTTTTGCTGGCTCATCTGTTTAGCAACCACTGATAGAAATTGTTATAAAAACCTTATAGTTACTAGCTTTTAAATGCACAGAAAATAAGAATATAAAAAACTTGCTTTCTTTAATAAAAGCATTGGTCCCTAAAATATGTAATAGATTTCATTGCACAAAAATATATAAGAGATCGGATAACATTTAGAAATGAAGAGGTTCCATTACACTAAAATACGTCAAAGATCTTATTTTTATTTATTTCTTCCTCTCACAGATGCAGTACCCAAGGATGATACTTTTGATTTTCATTGTCTTTGGACTTGGTAAGTGCTCATTGGTGGACTTTTGCACATATATTTGTTTGTATGTTCTTTTGTCTGTGTGTAGGGGTTCTGATAGAGTTTCTATGAATGTTAAATTTATTTGTCACCTTGGCCATGAATTCCCAGATTTCTCTGTTGAACTGATGTAGCAGCTGATGTAGCAGCTGATATTTCTGGGCTGACCACAGGGTTGACCATGGAGTAGTAGGGGCTAACCATGGAGTAGTAGGGGCTAACCATGTGGGATCATTGGCTAACCTTGCCCTAAGAAGGGCAAGCCATGCACCAGAAAGGGCTAACCTTGCCATAGGAAGGGCAAACCATGCACCAGAAAGGGCTAACCTTGACATAGGAAGGGCAAACCATGCACCAGAAAGGGCTAACCTTGACATAGGAGGGGCAAACCATGCACCAGAAAGGGCTAACCATATTGTTTACTGTCCCCAGCTGGTGCCGCTACTGTCGTGCAGGTCGAGTTTGAAGAGGACGGTCCCATCACAGCTATAGAAGGCTCTAGCACCAGCTTTACATGTACAGTCAGTGGCAACATCCAGGAAGTCACAGACGACAGACTGCAGATTGTTAAACTAGACATCAGGGGGCAGCAGGTCCTTGTTAATGGCCAAAATGTGGCAGAGCCCAAATTTTACAGCGTTTTTATCAGGCGCTCTGTAGACACCATCAGCATTCATTTCAGTATCCTGAAGGGTGAGTTTTCTTAGATAGTGACTGGCTACTTGACGGATGACTGATGACTGACTGTGTCTGTCTGACTGTGTCTGTCTGATGACTGTTGTAAACCTAATTGGTAAATGCGACAGAAACATTGTACAATCCTGTCTGTCCACCCCAACCAGTTGTCATAGTTTGAATGGCCAGCAAACTTGTCATAGTTTGAATGACCAACAAACTTGTCATAGTTTGAATGACCAGTAAACTTGTCATAGTTTGAATGACCAGTAAACTTGTCATAGTTTGAATGACCAGTAAACTTGTCATAGTTTGAATGACCAACAAACTTGTCATAGTTTGAATGACCAACAAACTTGTCATAGTTTGAATGACCAGTAAACTTGTCATAGTTTGAATGACCAGTAAACTTGTCATAGTTTGAATGACCAGCAGACTTGTCACAGTTTGACCAGCAAACTTGTCATAGTTTGAATGGCCAGCAAACTTGTCATAGTTTGAATGACCAGTAAACTTGTCATAGTTTGAATGACCAACAAACTTGTCATAGTTTGAATGACCAACAAACTTGTCATAGTTTGAATGACCAACAAACTTGTCATAGTTTGAATGACCAGTAAACTTGTCATAGTTTGAATGACCAGCAGACTTGTCACAGTTTGACCAGCAAACTTGTCATAGTTTGAATGGCCAGCAAACTTGTCATAGTTTGAATGACCAACAAACTTGTCATAGTTTGAATGACCAACAAACTTGTCACAGTTTGACCAGCAAACTTGTCATAGTTTGAATGACCAGCAAACTTGTCATAGTTTGAATGACCAGTAAACTTGTCACAGTTTGAATGACTAACAAACTTGTCATAGTTTGAATGACCAACAAACTTGTCATAGTTTGAATGGCCAGCAAACTTGTCATAGTTTGAATGGCCAGCAAACTTGTCATAGTTTGAATGACCAGTAAACTTGTCACAGTTTGAATGACCAGCAAACTTGTCATAGTTTGAATGACCAACAAACTTGTCATAGTTTGAATGACCAGCAAACTTGTCATAGTTTGAATGGCCAGCAAACTTGTCATAGTTTGAATGACCAGCAAACTTGTCATAGTTTGAATGACCAGTAAACTTGTCACAGTTTGAATGACCAACAAACTTGTCATAGTTTGAATGACCAACAAACTTGTCATAGTTTGAATGACCAACAAACTTGTCACAGTTTGACCAGCAAACTTGTCATAGTTTGAATGACCAGCAAACTTGTCATAGTTTGAATGACCAGTAAACTTGTCACAGTTTGAATGACTAACAAACTTGTCATAGTTTGAATGACCAACAAACTTGTCATAGTTTGAATGACCAACAAACTTGTCACAGTTTGACCAGCAAACTTGTCATAGTTTGACCAGCAAACTTGTCATAGTTTAAATGACCAGCAAACAAGAAGTTTTCTGAGGGAATCAACTGTGTCCACCCTGTTTTTATTTCAGTGCGTGTGGCAGATGACGGCAAATTTAAGTGTAATGTCAAGCCTTGGACAAATCTAGTAGTGAATGTTTTACAGGAGGAGTTGGAAATACAAGTTATCAGTAAGTCAATGTTGAATAGCAGTAGTAAGTTGATGTTGAATGGCAGTAGTAAGTTGATGTTGAATGGCAGTAGTAAGTTGATGTTGAATGGCAGTAGTAAGTTGATGTTGAATGGCAGTAGTAAGTTGATGTTTAATGGCAGTTGTAAGTTGATGTTGAATGGCAGTAGTAAGTTGATGTTGAATGGCAGTAGTAAGTTGATGTTGAATAGCAGTAGTAAGTTGATGTTGAATGGCAGTAGTAAGTTGATGTTGAATAGCAGTAGTAAGTTGATGTTGAATGGCAGTAGTAAGTTGATGTTGAATGGCAGTAGTAAGTTGATGTTGAATAACAGTAGTAAGTTGATGTTGAATGGCAGTAGTAAGTTGATGTTGAATGGCAGTAGTAAGTTGATGTTGAATAACAGTAGTAAGTTGATGTTGAATGGCAGTAGTAAGTTGATGTTGAATGGCAGTAGTAAGTTGATGTTGAATGCATCAGTGACTTGATGATTATACTGAATACTGACTGTCACACTTGTAACTGGGTCAATGAAATCTTGTTTGCCACATCTAGAAGCTTATATTACCTGTACATCTAGAAGCTTATATTACCTGTACATCTAGAAGCTTATATTACCTGTACATCTAGAAGCTTATATTACCTGTACATCTAGAAGCTTATATTGCCTGTACATCTAGAAACTTATATTGCCTGTACATCTAGAAACTTATATTGCCTGTACATCTAGAAACTTATATTACCTGTAGATCTAGAAGCTTATATTGCCTGTACATCTAGAAGCTTATATTGCCTATACATCTAGAAGCTTATATTACCTGTACATCTAGAAGCTTATATTACCTGTACATCTAGAAGCTTATATTACCTGTACATCTAGAAGCTTATATTGCCTATACATCTAGAAGCTTATATTACCTGTACATCTAGAAGCTTATATTACCTGTACATCTAGAAGCTTATATTACCTGTACATCTAGAAGCTTATATTGCCTGTACATCTAGAAACTTATATTGCCTGTACATCTAGAAGCTTATATTACCTGTACATCTAGAAGCTTATATTACCTGTACATCTAGAAACTTATATTGCGTGTACATCTAGAAGCTTATATTGCCTGTACATCTAGAAACTTATATTGCCTGTACATCTAGAAGCTTATATTACCTGTACATCTAGAAGCTTATATTACCTGTACATCTAGAAGCTTATATTACCTGTACATCTAGAAGCTTATATTGCCTGTACATCTAGAAGCTTATATTACCTGTACATCTAGAAACTTATATTACCTGTACATCTAGAAACTTATATTACCTGTACATCTAGAAGCTTATATTACCTGTACATCTAGAAGCTTATATTGCCTGTACATCTAGAAGCTTATATTACCTGTACATCTAGAAGCTTATATTACCTGTACATCTAGAAGCTTATATTGCCTGTACATCTAGAAACTTATATTACCTGTACATCTAGAAACTTATATTACCTGTACATCTAGAAGCTTATATTGCCTGTACATCTAGAAGCTTATATTACCTGTACATCTAGAAGCTTATATCACCTGTACATCTAGAAGCTTATATTACCTGTACATCTAGAAGCTTATATTACCTGTACATCTAGAAGCTTATATCACCTGTACATCTAGAAGCTTATATTACCTGTACATCTAGAAGCTTATATTACCTGTAAAACTTGTTGCATTGTCCACCACTAGGGCCCCCTGTGAATATTGCCTGCAGTAACGCCACAATTGATGCTGTCAATCAAAAGATTGAGGTCACATGCAAGTCAGAGCTCTACCCTGATGGCATTTGTAAAGTGAACTCTATGGGGGTAAGTCTTCACAATTTTTTTGTTTACACGATGTTTGTAAATCTTGACTAGTTTTTACTTTTTTAACTACATATTTTTACTTTATTAAAGGTGTAGTAAAACTATATGCAAAGTCTTTTTGTTGCTCTTGCTTAAGCTGTTTCCTCTTCTTTGTCCTTAATTTGAATGTTGTAAGGAATTGAGTCAATATCCAAGCATTGCTTGCTCTATTGAACCAGGGCACAGCAAATGGCTGGAGGTTTGATGTAGCCATTGACTACCAGCAGTCAGTGGACGATGAGACCGGCTACTACACCACCAGCTGTAAACTGCGTGTACCTGTCCCGATGGTCCTATTTGGCAGCATCTACAGCTTCAACGTCAGCATTCAGCCCAATGTTGGTCTCAGCAACTTCAGCAAGTCTACCAGGGTTGCAGGAATCTATGATGGTAACTCCTTTTGACTGTAGTGTAATATGTGCAAACATTTGTACTACTTTACAAATTAAGGACAACACCTGTAATTATATTTTTACCTTTAGCCTCCACCATAAGGACCAACACCTGTAATTATATTTTTACCTTTAGCCTCCACCATAAGGACCAACACCTGTAATTATATTTTTACCTTTAGCCTCCACCATAAGGACATTATATTTTTACCTTTAGCCTCCACCATAAGGACCAACACCTGTAATTATATTTTTACCTTTAGCCTCCACTATAAGGACAACACCTGTAATTATATTTTTACCTTTAGCCTCCACCATAAGGACCAACACCTGTAATTATATTTTTACCTTTAGCCTCCACTATAAGGACCAACACCTGTAATTATATTTTTACCTTTAGCCTCCACTATAAGGACCACACCTGTAATTATATTTTTACCTTTAGCCTCCACTATAAGGACCACACCTGTAATTATATTTTTACCTTTAGCCTCCACTATAAGGACAACACCTGTAATTATATTTTTACCTTTAGCCTCCACTATAAGGACATTATATTTTTACCTTTAGCCTCCACTATAAGGACCAACACCTGTAATTATATGTTTACCTTTAGCCTCCACTATAAGGACAACACCTGTAATTATATTTTTACCTTTAGCCTCCACCATAAGGACCAACACCTGTAATTATATTTTTACCTTTAGCCTCCACCATAAGGACAACACTGGTGCAGTTTTTGGAGCGCAGTCCCCTCTATGCTGTTATTGGCTCCACTGTGAAACTGACTTGCCAGATTGCTGGCCTCAACCCCAATGTTTCTCTGGACAGTTTAGAGATAATCCGCACAGGTGGCGCCGCCTCTACCCTCTCACAGGGCAATAAGGTCATCTCAGAAAGAAATTATTACAACGTGACCATCTCTAAAGCTCTTGATCAAGTCACTCTTGAGTTCTTCATAACAAAAGGTACTTTTTAGATTTTAATATCTTCCTCATAGCCGTCCATGGAGCAGATCAAGTAGAGTTCATCTGTTTCTGTGTACTTGTCATTATTTTACAATTTTAACATTGAAATAACTTTCTTAATTATTATTAAAATTGATCAAAATTTTCTCTGGTTATTTTGTATACATATACCAACAAAATTGATAGAACACATTTTTGAAAATTTGTATGGTTTTTCTTTTACAATTAAAATGGTGTATTTTTTGCTCAAGTTTTGATTTTTAGAAAAAAAATTGTAAAAACAAAAGCATTTTAAAATGTAATCTATTACTATTGTTAGCAAACTGTATCTCTATAACTCTGCAAGTTTTTTGTCGAATTCGCATAAGCCATCTTTGATTTATTTGGATATTAAAATGGTAAATAAAATACAAGATGGCCATGGCAACGGCATGAAATTTTCGGCCATTTTTTTTATTTTTAGACTTTACTCTTTAAGTCATAATTATATGCTAAATATTGTAGCATTAGCTTTAGAAATAAGCATTTTGGTTAATTTGGTTTTCAGCACTCGCCCATGCTCTTAAAAAGTTACCTTTTTGTTTCATTAAAAAGTTAACTTTGTGTTTCATTAAAAAGTTAACTTTGTGTTTCATTAAAAAGGTTAACTTTGTGTTTCATATAAAGTTAACTTTGTGTTTCATTAAAAAGTTAACTTTGTGTTTCATTAAAAAGTTAACTTTGTGTTTCATTAAAAAGTTAACTTTGTGTTTCATTCAAAAGTTAACTTTGTGTCACATTAAAAAGTTAACTTTGTGTTTCATTCAAAAGTTAACTTTGTGTTTCATTAAAAAGTTCTTTGTGTTTCATTCAAAAGTTAACTTTGTGTTTCATTAAAAAGTTAACTTTGTGTTTCATTAAAAAGTTAACTTTGTGTTTCATTAAAAAGTTAACTTTGTGTTTCAATAAAAAGTTAACTTTGTGTTTCAATAAAAAGTTAACTTTGTGTTTCATTAAAAAGTTAACTTTTTGTTTCAATAAAAAGTTAACTTTGTGTTTCAATAAAAAGTTAACTTTGTGTTTCAATAAAAAGTTAACTTTGTGTTTCATTAAAAAGTTAACTTTGTGTTTCAATAAAAAGTTAACTTTGTGTTTCATTAAAAAGTTAACTTTATGTTTCAGTACGAATCATAGACGACACAAAGTTTGTTTGCCACATCAAGAGAGGAGACTACACACTTGAGTATCAGACAGAAGTCCTTGTGTCAGCCATAAGTAAGTAGCTGCTGTCAGCCATAAGTAAGTAGCTGCTGCCAGCCATAAGTAAGTAGCTGCTGTCAGCCATAAGTAAGTAGCTGCTGCCAGCCATAAGTAAGTAGCTGCTGTCAGCCATAAGTAAGTAGCTGCTGCCAGCCATAAGTAAGTAGCTGCTGCCAGCTATAAGTAAGTAGCTGCTGCCAGCCATAAGTAAGTAGCTGCTGCCAGCCATAAGTAAGTAGCTGCTGCCAGCCATAAGTAAGTAGCTGCTGCCAGCTATAAGTAAGTAGCTGCTGCCAGCCATAAGTAAGTAGCTGCTGTCAGCCATAAGTAAGTAGCTGCTGCCAGCCATAAGTAAGTAGCTGCTGTCAGCCATAATTAAGTAGCTGCTGCCAGCCATAAGTAAGTAGCTGCTGCCAGCCATAAGTAAGTAGCTGCTGCCAGCCATAAGTAAGTAGCTGCTGTCAGCCATAAGTAAGTAGCTGCTGCCAGCCATAAGTAAGAAGCTGCTGTCAGCCATAAGTAAGTAGCTGCTGCCAGCCATAAGTAAGTAGCTGCTGTCAGCCATAAGTAAGTAGCTGCTGCCAGCCATAAGTAGCTGCTGCCAGCCATAAGTAAGTAGCTGCTGCCAGCCATAAGTAAGTAGCTGCTGTCAGCCATAAGTAAGTAGTTGCTGCCAGCCATAAGTAAGTAGCTGCTGCCAGCCATAAGTAAGTAGCTGCTGTCAGCCATAAGTAAGTAGCTGCTGCCAGCCATAAGTAGCTGCTGCCAGCAATAAGTAAGTAGCTGCTGCCAGCCATAAGTAAGTAGCTGCTGCCAGCCATAAGTAAGTAGCTGCTGTCAGCCATAAGTAAGTAGCTGCTGCCAGCCATAAGTAAGTAGCTGCTGTCAGCCATAATTAAGTAGCTGCTGCCAGCCATAAGTAAGTAGCTGCTGCCAGCCATAAGTAAGTAGCTGCTGCCAGCCATAAGTAAGTAGCTGCTGTCAGCCATAAGTAAGTAGCTGCTGCCAGCCATAAGTAAGTAGCTGCTGTCAGCCATAAGTAAGTAGCTGCTGCCAGCCATAAGTAAGTAGCTGCTGTCAGCCATAAGTAAGTAGCTGCTGCCAGCCATAAGTAGCTGCTGCCAGCCATAAGTAAGTAGCTGCTGCCAGCCATAAGTAAGTAGCTGCTGTCAGCCATAAGTAAGTAGTTGCTGCCAGCCATAAGTAAGTAGCTGCTGCCAGCCATAAGTAAGTAGCTGCTGTCAGCCATAAGTAAGTAGCTGCTGCCAGCCATAAGTAGCTGCTGCCAGCAATAAGTAAGTAGCTGCTGCCAGCCATAAGTAAGTAGCTGCTGCCAGCCATAAGTAGCTGCTGCCAGCCATAAGTAAGTAGCTGCTGTCAGTCATAAGTAAGTAGCTGCTGCCAGCCATAAGTAGCTGCTGCCAGCCATAACGACTACATCCTATGTACCTTTTGTGATGAATTGTGTAAAAAAAAAATGTCCTTGTACCTAGATGAATCACCTGTGTAAAAAAATGTCCTTGTACCTGTCATGAACAACCTGTGTAAAAAAAATGTCCTTGTTTGTACCTAGATGAATCACCTGTGTAAAAAAAAAATGTCCTTGTACCTAGATGAATCACCTGTGTAAAAAAATGTCCTTGTACCTGTCATGAACAACCTGTGTAAAAAATGTCCTTGTACCTGTCATGAACAACCTGTGTAAAAAATGTCCTTGTACCTGTCATGAACAACCTGTGTAAAAAATGTCCTTGTACCTGTCATGAACAACCTGTGTAAAAAATGTCCTTGTACCTGTCATGAACAACATGTGTAAAAAAATGTCCTTGTACCTGTCATGAACAATCTGTGTAAAAAAATGTCCTTGTACCTGTCATGAACAATCTGTGTAAAAAATGTCCTTGTACCTGTCATGAACAACCTGTTTATATCCTGAAAACTTTGTGTTACCAGAGATCCCTGATCCTGTCAACTGTGGATACCCTGTGTCCAACCAGCGGTCAGTTCAAATCAAGTGCTCCACCACCTCCTACCCTGCTGCTCAGTGCACCATCAAATCTGGACTGGTCAGTAAACTCTAGTCAGCCCTGGTACCTGGGAGGGTTAGACCTAAATGTCTGGATGCTTTTGGTCTAAAACTAAATTCTTAGACCAAAACTAAATTCTTAGACCAAAACTAAATTCTTAGACCAAAACTAAATTCTTAGACCAAAACTAAATTTTTAGACCAAAACAAAATTCTGTAATGGCAGGAAACCAAAAATGTAGAGGGAAAAAAGTCTTGAACTGTATCATGGGATTATTTTGTTCCAGAGCTCAGCGGGCAGCTTTAGCTACCAGGTCCAGTACAATTTCTACATGAGTGGCGGCGCCACTGGGTTCTACACCACAGAGTGCTCCATCAGCCTGCCCCTGCAGAGTGTTCTGGTTGGCTCCTACTACAAGTTTGTGGTCCAAGTGGCCCCTAATGTCGCGGACAGGAAAAATTTTACAGTCTCATCTCGCTGGTTCATTGGGACACCTGGGGGTAAGTTTCTTTAGTGTAGTGGTCAGCAGAGTTATAAGGTAAGTTCAGCTGGGTCTAAGGTTTCTTTAGTGTAGTGGTCAGCAGAGTTATAAGGTAAGTTCAGCTGGGTCTAAGGTTTCTATAGTGTAGTGGTCAGCAGAGTTATAAGGTAAGTTCAGCTGGGTCTAAGGTTTCTTTAGTGTAGTGGTCAGCAGAGTTCTATCTACTGTTATAAGGTAAGTTCAGCTGGGTCTAATGTTTCTATAGTGTAGTGGTCAGCAGAGTTATAAGGTAAGTTCAGCTGGGTCTAAGGTTTCTTTAGTGTAGTGGTCAGCAGAGTTATAAGGTAAGTTCAGCTGGGTCTAAGGTTTCTTTAGTGTAGTGGTCAGCAGAGTTATAAGGTAAGTTCAGCTGGGTCTAAGGTTTCTATAGTGTAGTGGTCAGCAGAGTTATAAGGTAAGTTCAGCTGGGTCTAAGGTTTCTTTAGTGTAGTGGTCAGCAGAGTTATAAGGTAAGTTCAGCTGGGTCTAAGGTTTCTTTAGTGTAGTGGTCAGCAGAGTTATAAGGTAAGTTCAGCTGGGTCTAAGGTTTCTATAGTGTAGTGGTCAGCAGAGTTATAAGGTAAGTTCAGCTGGGTCTAAGGTTTCTTTAGTGTAGTGGTCAGCAGAGTTCTATCTACTGTTATAAGGTAAGTTCAGCTGGGTCTAAGGTTTCTTTAGTGTAGTGGTCAGCAGAGTTATAAGGTAAGTTCAGCTGGGTCTAAGGTTTCTTTAGTGTAGTGGTCAGCAGAGTTATAAGGTAAGTTCAGCTGGGTCTAAGGTTTCTATAGTGTAGTGGTCAGCAGAGTTCTATCTACTGTTATAAGGTAAGTTCAGCTGGGTCTAAGGTTTCTTTAGTGTAGTGGTCAGCAGAGTTATAAGGTAAGTTCAGCTGGGTCTAAGGTTTCTTTAGTGTAGTGGTCAGCAGAGTTATAAGGTAAGTTCAGCTGGGTCTAAGGTTTCTATAGTGTAGTGGTCAGCAGAGTTCTATCGTTATACAGTAAGTTCAGCTGGGTCTAAGGTTTCTTTAGTGTAGTGGTCAGCAGAGTTATAAGGTAAGTTCAGCTGGGTCTAAGGTTTCTTTAGTGTAGTGGTCAGCAGAGTTATAAGGTAAGTTCAGCTGGGTCTAAGGTTTCTATAGTGTAGTGGTCAGCAGAGTTCTATCTACTGTTATAAGGTAAGTTCAGCTGGGTCTAAGGTTTCTTTAGTGTAGTGGTCAGCAGAGTTATAAGGTAAGTTCAGCTGGGTCTAAGGTTTCTTTAGTGTAGTGGTCAGCAGAGTTATAAGGTAAGTTCAGCTGGGTCTAAGGTTTCTATAGTGTAGTGGTCAGCAGAGTTCTATCGTTATACAGTAAGTTCAGCTGGGTCTAAGGTTTCTATAGTGTAGTGGTCAGCAGAGTTCTATCTACTGTTATAAGGTAAGTTCAGCTGGGTCTAAGGTTTCTATAGTGTAGTGGTCAGCAGAGTTATAAGGTAAGTTCAGCTGGGTCTAAGGTTTCTATAGTGTAGTGGTCAGCAGAGTTATAAGGTAAGTTCAGCTGGGTCTAAGGTTTCTATAGTGTAGTGGTCAGCAGAGTTATAAGGTAAGTTCAGCTGGGTCTAAGGTTTCTATAGTGTAGTGGTCAGCAGAGTTCTATCTACTGTTATAAGGTAAGTTCAGCTGGGTCTAAGGTTTCTATAGTGTAGTGGTCAGCAGAGTTATAAGGTAAGTTCAGCTGGGTCTAAGGTTTCTTTAGTGTAGTGGTCAGCAGAGTTCTATCTACTGTTATAAGGTAAGTTCAGCTGGGCCTAAGGTTTCTTTAGTGTAGTGGTCAGCAGAGTTATAAGGTAAGTTCAGCTGGGTCTAATGTTTCTATAGTGTAGTGGTCAGCAGAGTTATAAGGTAAGTTCAGCTGGGTCTAAGGTTTCTATAGTGTAGTGGTCAGCAGAGTTCTATCTACTGTTATAAGGTAAGTTCAGCTGGGTCTAAGGTTTCTATAGTGTAGTGGTCAGCAGAGTTATAAGGTAAGTTCAGCTGGGTCTAAGGTTTCTTTAGTGTAGTGGTCAGCAGAGTTCTATCTACTGTTATAAGGTAAGTTCAGCTGGGCCTAAGGTTTCTTTAGTGTAGTGGTCAGCAGAGTTATAAGGTAAGTTCAGCTGGGTCTAATGTTTCTATAGTGTAGTGGTCAGCAGAGTTATAAGGTAAGTTCAGCTGGGTCTAAGGTTTCTATAGTGTAGTGGTCAGCAGAGTTCTATCTACTGTTATAAGGTAAGTTCAGCTGGGTCTAATGTTTCTATAGTGTAGTGGTCAGCAGAGTTCTATCGTTATACAGTAAGTTCAGCTGGGTCTAAGGTTTCTTTAGTGTAGTGGTCAGCAGAGTTATAAGGTAAGTTCAGCTGGGTCTAAGGTTTCTTTAGTGTAGTGGTCAGCAGAGTTCTATCTACTGTTATAAGGTAAGTTCAGCTGGGTCTAAGGTTTCTTTAGTGTAGTGGTCAGCAGAGTTATAAGGTAAGTTCAGCTGGGTCTAAGGTTTCTTTAGTGTAGTGGTCAGCAGAGTTCTATCTACTGTTATAAGGTAAGTTCAGCTGGGTCTAAGGTTTCTTTAGTGTAGTGGTCAGCAGAGTTATATCTACTGTTATAAGGTAAGTTCAGCTGGGTCTAAGGTTTCTTTAGTGTAGTGGTCAGCAGAGTTCTATCGTTATACAGTAAGTTCAGCTGGGTCTAAGGTTTCTTTAGTGTAGTGGTCAGCAGAGTTATATCTACTGTTATAAGGTAAGTTCAGCTGGGTCTAAGGTTTCTTTAGTGTAGTGGTCAGCAGAGTTATAAGGTAAGTTCAGCTGGGTCTAATGTTTCTATAGTGTAGTGGTCAGCAGAGTTATAAGGTAAGTTCAGCTGGGTCTAAGGTTTCTATAGTGTAGTGGTCAGCAGAGTTATATCGTTATACAGTAAGTTCAGCTGGGCCTAAGGTTTCTTTAGTGTAGTGGTCAGCAGAGTTCTATCTACTGTTATAAGGTAAGTTCAGCTGGGTCTAAGGTTTCTTTAGTGTAGTGGTCAGCAGAGTTATAAGGTAAGTTCAGCTGGGTCTAAGGTTTCTTTAGTGTAGTGGTCAGCAGAGTTATAAGGTAAGTTCAGCTGTGTCTAAGGTTTCTATAGTGTAGTGGTCAGCAGAGTTCTATCTACTGTTATAAGGTAAGTTCAGCTGGGTCTAAGGTTATAAGGTAAGTTCAGCTGGGTCTAAGGTTTCTATAGTGTAGTGGTCAGCAGAGTTATAAGGTAAGTTCAGCTGGGTCTAAGGTTTCTTTAGTGTAGTGGTCAGCAGAGTTATAAGGTAAGTTCAGCTGGGTCTAAGGTTTCTATAGTGTAGTGGTCAGCAGAGTTATAAGGTAAGTTCAGCTGGGTCTAAGGTTTCTTTAGTGTAGTGGTCAGCAGAGTTCTATCTACTGTTATAAGGTAAGTTCAGCTGGGTCTAAGGTTTCTTTAGTGTAGTGGTCAGCAGAGTTATAAGGTAAGTTCAGCTGGGTCTAAGGTTTCTATAGTGTAGTGGTCAGCAGAGTTCTATCTACTGTTATAAGGTAAGTTCAGCTGGGTCTAATGTTTCTTTAGTGTAGTGGTCAGCAGAGTTATAAGGTAAGTTCAGCTGGGTCTAAGGTTTCTTTAGTGTAGTGGTCAGCAGAGTTCTATCTACTTTTATAAGAAGTGTTCAATAGGGTGAGGGGGTTTGTATTTTTGCTTCATCACAAATGTTGAAACTGGAATTCTTTAGCAGCCAACACCTTAATGAATGGGATTTGAATTTTTGTCTCCAGAAGTGAAGGAACCAACTGTAGATTTTTTCACTGCTAACTCAGAGAGTGGCTACATAACAGCGGAGCCAGGAAGTGATGTGACATTTGTGTGTGGTGCCACAGGAGCCCTACCAGGGTCCCTGCAGCTGTACAGGAGCCCCAGCAACATCCTGCACACCAGCGCAGACAGCAACACACTCAACTTTGTTCTGGCTGATGTTGGCTGCTCCCAGGAGGGCGAGTATGGCTGCAGGGTGGACTACAGCACCAGCGCAGCCAGGAAAATATTGCTGCATGTCAAGTCTTGTGAGTTGGACAGTCAACCTTTACTGGAACACTCAACTGTCTGTCATACAACACTCAACTGTCTGTCATACAACACTCAACTGTCTGTCATGCAACACTCAACTGTCTGTCATACAACACTCAACTGTCTGTCATACAACACTCAACTGTCTGTCATACAACACTCAACTGTCTGTCATACAACACTCAACTGTCTGTCATACAACACTCAACTGTCTGTCATACAACACTCAACTGTCTGTCATGCAACACTCAACTGTCTATCATACAACACTCAACTGTCTGTCATGCAACACTCAACTGTCTGTCATACAACACTCAACTGTCTGTCATACAACACTCAACTGTCTGTCATACAACACTTACCATCTCAGGCATATGACCTATGACATCTGTCACTGACCTATGACATCTGTCACTTACCTATGACATCTGTCACTTACCTATGACATCTGTCACTTACCTATGACATCTGTCACTTACCTATGACATCTGTCACTGACCTATGACATCTGTCACTGACCTATGACATCTGTCACTTACCTATGACAGTGATATCTGACATCCTCTACCCCCTACCAGGTGGATCAGGCTCTGATGCCACGCCCCTGTCCGTCATAGTGGCAGTGTGTGTGGGCGTGCCCATCCTGGGCATCGCCTTCATTGCTGCTGTCGTCATACTGATAGTCTGCTGTGTCAGGAGAGCCAAGCACCGGAGGAGCCTCTCATCCACCCCAGTCACCAGGTCCCCTGGGGGTGGGGATGACCTGGACTACTACAACACAGTCTGCTTCAGCCATGACTCTGTCTACTTCTCCGACCCCCCACCCTACAGCGTGGTGTGTGGCACCAAGGATGAGGACAAGCCACCCCCCTACTCACCAGATATAAGCGCCACCACACAACACTTAGCACCAAACTACACACCACCCACCACACAACCCTCAGCACCAACCTACACACCACCCACCACACAACCCTCAGCACCAACCTACACACCACCCACCACACAACCCTCAGCACCAACCTACACACCACCTACCACACAACCCTCAGCACCAACCTACACACCACCCACCACACAACCATCAAGGCATGTGGAACAAGAGCTGTCCCATCCCGGTAAGTTTGACAAAGCTTTTGATCATGTCAACTAAATTAACCCTAGCCCAGGAAACATTAGGTGATTATCAAGCAAGCACTCCATTGCCGCTCACCTTATTTTTGTTTTCAGCTGTGATTTTAGACTCGCGTCACATGTGTTTTATACTTTTGTTTTTAGCTGTGATTTTAGACTCGCGTCCCATGTGTTTTATACTTTTGTTTTTAGCTGTGATTTTAGACTCGCATCCCATGTGTTTTATACTTTTGTTTTTAGCTGTGATTTTAGACTCGCGTCCCATGTGTTTTATACTTTTGTTTTTAGCTGTGATTTTAGACTCGCGTCCCATGTGTTTTACTTTCATTTTTAGCTGTGATTTTAGACTCGCGTCCCATGTGTTTTATACTTTTGTTTTTAGCTGTGATTTTAGACTCGCGTCCCATGTGTTTTATACTTTTGTTTTTAGCTGTGATTTTAGACTCGCGTCCCATATGTTTTATACTTTTGTTTTTAGCTGTGATTTTAGACTCGCGTCCCATGTGTTTTATAATTTTGTTTTCAGCTGTGATTTTAGACTCGCGTCCCATGTGTTTTGATGTGTGAACACAGCCAGTGAGTTTTTTAATTGGTCTTTTAATTAATTAGCTGTGGTTAAAGGGGAAGACCTTAAAACTTGATCAATGGCAGAATAGATTATCTGAGGTTCATTTCACAATTATATTGCTCTGATTTTATAAATCTAAAGTTGATCTAAACTTTTCATGTCCACTGAGTTTGATCTAAACTTTTCATGTCCACTGGGTTTGATCTAAACTTTTCATGTCCACTGGGTTTGATCTAAACTTTTCATGTCCACTGAGTTTGATCTAAACTTTTCATGTCCACTGAGTTTGATCTAAACTTTTCATGTCCACTGGGTTTGATCTAAACTTTTCATGTCCACTGGGTTTGATCTAAACTTTTCATGTCCACTGAGTTTGATCTAAACTTTTCATGTCCACTGGGTTTGATCTAAACTTTTCATGTCCACTGAGTTTGATCTAAACTTTTCATGTCCACTGGGTTTGATCTAAACTTTTCATGTCCACTGGGTTTGATCTAAACTTTTCATGTCCACTGAGTTTGATCTAAACTTTTCATGTCCACTGAGTTTGATCTAAACTTTTCATGTCCACTGGGTTTGATCTAAACTTTTCATGTCCACTGAGTTTGATCTAAACTTTTCATGTCCACTGAGTTTGATCTAAACTTTCATGTCCACTGAGTTTGATCTAAACTTTTCATGTCCACTGAGTTTGATCTAAACTTTCATGTCCACTGAGTTTGATCTAAACTTTTCATGTCCACTGAGTTTGATCTAAACTTTTCATGTCCACTGGGTTTGATCTAAACTTTTCATGTCCACTGGGTTTGATCTAAACTTTTCATGTCCACTGGGTTTGATCTAAACTTTTCATGTCCACTGGGTTTGATCTAAACTTTTCATGTCCACTGAGTTTGATCTAAACTTTTCATGTCCACTTGGTTTGATCTAAACTTTTCATGTCCACTGCGTTTGATCTAACCTTTTCATGTCCACTGGGTTTGATCTAAACTTGTCATGTCCACTGAGTTTGATCTAAACTTTTCATGTCCACTGCGTTTGATCTAAACTTTTCATGTCCACTGGGTTTGATCTAAACTTTTCATGTCCATTTCAGGCCTTGAAGACACTTAAAGAATGTGAGAATCTCTGGGACCTTGGACCCCATCAAATGACCTTCACCTGATGAAAATGAACAAATCCCACTCATGACATAGATCGAATTAATTTTTTCAGCAATTTGAAACGAGTAGATTTCTCTTGAGATTTGAAACCTACATTTTATTTAGGTTATCGATTTTACAGTTTGACGAATTGTGTGTGTGGCTGTGTGTACGACTGTGTGTGTGTGGTTGTGTGTAAGACTGTGTGTGTGGGTGTGTGTTTGACTCTGTGTGTGGTTGTGTGTAAGACTGTGTACGACTGAGCTCTTTTGACATTCATGTAAATTTTTTTACTTTTTCCCCATTGATTTAAGTTTCAACTTTTGATTATAAATTTAAATTTGTTAAAATGTCATATAGATTATATTTCACAATTTAGACTTCATTAATCATTTTTGTTTCGTGATGTGATAGTGTTTGATCGACCAAGTTAATGTCAAGTTCACTCTATTTTAGCACCCATAGTAGCCTGCTTGTGTAGACTTGACTCACATGATAGTTTGTTGACAGACTTTGTCACGGCTTGTCATAATTATGTCATTGTAAATAGTTGTATTGTCATTAATGAAACTCACATTCCAAATCTAAAGCTAAACTGGCTAGCTTTGTTGCAAAACTGGCTAGCTGTGAAGCTAAACCAACTAACTTTGATGGTGCTCAAACTGTACATATAATGAGAATGTAAATAGCACAGGAACAATGTACCTGCCTTGATCTTGTCACTTGATCTTGTTTGAAATGTATGGGACACAAATACATTTAATCTGGAATATTTTTTTAATCAAAGTTTTCTTTTCTTTCTGAATATGTAGCCCATGTTCATGTAGTGTGTGTGTGTGGGGGGGGGGGTGAATGAGAAAATGTCAAGTAACAAAATGTCAAGTAACAAAATGTCAAGTAACAAAATGTCAAGTAACAAAATGTCAAGTAACAAAATGTCAAGTAACAAAATGTCAAGTGACAAAAGCTTGCCAATGACAGGAGGACAACTGTCAGCTGCTGTCACACTTGACTGGCCAATGACAGCTACTGTCTTGCATATGGTTGCAGACAGGTAGATAGCACTCATTGATTTGTGTCACTCTGTAAAAGTAGCAGAATTACCAGTCAAATGTCTATTTTTGGAACATCTGGTTGGCAGCTGTTTGGTGGATGGCTGTAGCTGCTTGCTCTCCTCCTTGCCTCCTCAAACCTCACTTCTCCTCAAACCTCACTTCTCCTCAAACCTCACTTCTCCTCAAACCTCACTTCTCCTCAAACCTCACTTCTCCTCAAACCTCACTTCTCCTCAAACCTCACTTCTCCTCAAACCTCAGTTCTCAAACCTCACTTCTCCTCAAACCTCACTTCTCCTCAATCCTCACTTCTCTTCTACTGTAAATAATTTGACTGGCGCTGTTCCTTGGTTCTTTGACAAACCTTGGTCTGTAGTCCTCTGTCATGGAAAACATTCACTACATCATAGTCACTACACTCACATCATAGTCACTACACTCACATCATAGTCACTACACTCACATCATCGTCACTACACTCACATCATCGTCACTACACTCACATCATAGTCACTACACTCACATCATAGTCACTACACTCACATCATGGTCACTACACAGTCACTACACTCACATCATAGTCACTACACTCACATCATCGTCACTACACTCACATCATCGTCACTACACTCACATCATGGTCACTACACAGTCACTACACTCACATCATAGTCACTACACTCACATCATAGTCACTACACTCACATCATAGTCACTACACTCACATCATAGTCACTACACTCACATCATGGTCACTACACAGTCACTACACTCACATCATAGTCACTACACTCACATCATAGTCACTACACTCACATCATAGTCACTACACTCACATCATAGTCACTACACTCACATCATAGTCACTACACTCACATCATAGTCACATCATAGTTACTACACTCACATCATAGTCACATCATAGTCACTACACTCACATCATAGTCACTACACTCACATCATTGTCACATCATAGTCACTACACTCACATCATAGTCACTACACTCACATCATAGTCACTACACTCACATCATAGTCACTACACTCACATCATAGTCACTACACTCACATCATAGTCACTACACTTACATCATTGTCACATCATAGTCACTACACTCACATCATAGTCACTACACTCACATCATAGTCACTACACTCACATCATAGTCACTACACAGTCACTACACTCACATCATAGTCACTACACTCACATCATAGTCACTACACTCACATCATAGTCACTACACTCACATCATAGTCACTACACTCACATCATAGTCACTACACTTACATCATTGTCACATCATAGTCACTACACTCACATCATAGTCACTACACAGTCACTACACTCACATCATAGTCACTACACTCACATCATAGTCACTACACTCACATCATAGTCACTACACTCACATCATAGTCACTACACTTACATCATTGTCACATCATAGTCACTACACTTACATCATAGTCACTACACTCACATCATAGTCACTACACTCACATCATAGTCACTACACAGTCACTACACTCACATCATAGTCACTACACTCACATCATAGTCACTACACTCACATCATAGTCACTACACTCACATCATGGTCACTACACTCACATCATCGTCACTACACTCACATCATAGTCACTACACTCACATCATAGTAACTACACTCACATCATAGTCACTACACTCACATCATAGTCACTACACTCACATCATAGTCACTACACAGTCACTACACTCACATCATAGTCACTACACTCACATCATAGTCACTACACAGTCACTACACTCACATCATAGTCACTACACTCACATCATAGTCACTACACTCACATCATAGTCACTACACTCACATCATAGTCACATCATAGTCACTACACTCATATCATAGTCACTACACTCACATCATTGTCACATCATAGTCACTACACTCACATCATAGTCACTACACTCACATCATAGTCACTACACACTCACTACACTCACATCATAGTCACTACACTCACATCATAGTCACTACACTCACATCATAGTCACTACACTCACATCATTGTCACATCATCGTCACATCATAGTCACTACACTCACATCATAGTCACTACACTCACATCATAGTCACTACATAGTCACTACACTCACATCATAGTCACTACACTCACATCATAGTCACTACACTCACATCATAGTCACATCATAGTCACATCATAGTCACTACACTCACATCATAGTCACATCATAGTCACTACACTCACATCATAGTCACATCATAGTCACTACACTCACATCATAGTCACTACACTCACATCATAGTCACTACACTCACATTATAGTCACTACACTCACATCATAGTCACTACACTCACATCATTGTCACATCATAGTCACTCCTCACATCACTATAAATCTCAGTATCTCGTTAGGATTTTAATCCCCCTCCCCCACACCCTGACCGACTAGCGTGACACTATAGCTGAACACTGACCATCATCCAGCTCTCCAGTGTCCATAGTTGCCAAATCCCTGAACCTTGTAATGGACATGTATCTGTCTCCTAGAGTCCCTTTTCGCCCGGGTACGTAGTTGGATGTAAGCAAGTCTGACAACACACAACATAGAGTTTTATTTTTGATATACATCTGTATTTGTATGTATGTATGTATGTATACAAATATGGATATACAGTAGTACTTTGAGATACGAGTGCCCCGACAAACACCTCTACCTCACACCTCTACCCTACACTGGGCCTACACCTCCACCCTACATTGGGCCTACACCTCCACCCTACATTGGGCCTACACCTCCACCCTACACTGGGCCTACACCTCCAGCCTACACTTGGCCTACACCTCCACCCTACACTGGGCCTACACCTCCACCCTACACTGGGCCTACACCTCCACCCTACACCTCCACCCTACATTGGGCCTACACCTCCACCCTACACCCTACACCTCCACCCTACGCCTCCACCCTACACCTCCACCCTACACTGGGCCTACACCTCCACCCTACACCTCCACCCTACACTGGGCCTACACCTCCACCCTACACCTCCACCCTACATTGGGCCTACACCTCCACCAGCAGCCAACATCAAGCTTGTCAGCTTTCTCGGCTGATCCTCAATGTAATTACACGTAAATACATTTTTCGAATTAAAAAACAAACAAGTAACAAAAATAAATATATATTATATATATATATATATATGTATATATATATATATATATATATATATATATATATATATATATATATATATAAACTATCAATGAAATAAAAAAAACATCTCAGCTTCGAATCACCAGCTGTGGACGCTTGTGAAAATTGAACTTGTGTCAACTCCGGTGCATCTGTACTCCTGGAGATAGTCAGGTCCTGGAGCTTTAGGATACAGTCCTCTACGTACAACTTGCCCTCCGTCATTGGGTACCTAGGGGGCTCACTGGGGGGGGGGGCATGGAAATACGACACTGTTTTACAATCACTGGCCCTAACATCACTTGCCATACAATCACTGGCCCTACAATCACATCACTGGCCATACAATCACTGACCGTACAATCACTGGCCATAAAAACACACAACATTTAACCCTCCTAATGCTGCAGCATCAATTTGGATTTTAAATGAAGTCAACCTTTCACGTTTTGATAAATTTTATTCCACGCTGTTTTCAGAAGTTCTGTTTATATTGTGATAAGTTGTGAGAAGGTCTGTTTATCTTGCGATAAGTTGTGGGGAATGTGTTTTTTGAAGGGGTGGAAGCAAGACATGTTGTAAAACAGATCACAAGGTTTTAAATGTTTAACAACCTGGCAAGTCACATCAACAAAGTCACAAGTCACATCAACAAAGTCACACGTCACATCAGCAACGTTACAATAATTGTTTGACTTACAGATGGTTGTTCATGTAGGCAAAAACCTCGTCCATCTTGCCGTGGTGTTTAATGTACACAGTCCAATCCGTGCTCAGCTGAAATACAGGTCAGTAGGGTGGGTACAGTGGGGGTGGGTACAGTGGGGTGGGTGCAGTGGGGTTGGGTACAGTCGGGTGGGTACAGTGGGGTGGGTACAGGTCAGTAGGGTGGGTACATTGGGGTGGGTACAGTGGGGTTGGGTACAGTGGGGTGGGTACAGGTCAGTGGGGTGGGTACAGGTCAGTGGGTGGGTACAGTGGGGTGGGTACAGTGGGGTTGGGTACAGTGGGGTGGGTACAGGTCAGTGGGGTGGGTACAGGTCAGTGGGTGGGTACAGTGGGGTTGGGTACAGTGGGGTTGGGTACAGTGGGGTGGGTACAGGTCAGTGGGTGGGTACAGTGGGGTTGGGTACAGTGGGGTGGGTACAGGTCAGTGGGGTGGGTACAGTGGGGTTGGGTACAATGGGGTGGGTACAGTGGGGTGGGTACAGGTCAGTGGGTGGGTACAGTGGGGTTGGGTACAGTGGGGTTGGGTACAGTGGGGTGGGTACAGGTCAGTGGGTGGGTACAGTGGGGTTGGGTACAGTGGGGTTGGGTACAGTGGGGTTGGGTACAGTGGGGTGGGTACAGGTCAGTGGGTGGGTACAGTGGGGTTGGGTACAGTGGGGTTGGGTACAGTGGGGTGGGTACAGTGGGGTTGGGTACAGTGGGGTTGGGTACAGTGGGGTGGGTACAGGTCAGTAGGGGTGGGTACAGTGGGGTGGGTACAGGTCAGTGGGGTGGGTACAGTGGGGTGGGTACAGTGGGGTGGGTACAGGTCAGTAGGGGTGGGTACAGTGGGGTGGGTACAGTGGGGTGGGTACAGGTCAGTAGGGGTGGGTACAGTGGGGTGGGTACAGGTCAGTAGGGGTGGGTACAGTGGGGTGGGTACAGTGGGGTGGGTACAGGTCAGTAGGGGTGGGTACAGGTCAGTGGGGTGGGTACAGTGGGGTTAGGTACAGTGGGGTGGGTACAGGTCAGTGGGTGGGTACAGTGGGGTGGGTACAGGTCAGTGGGGTGGGTACAGGTCAGTTAGTATGTCTCAGAGGAGTATCTACTTTTTAGGATTGTGAGAACGTACCTGCATTTGAATCGAGTCTACTCACCTCATAGTCGTCAAAACACATTGGCGTTAAGGATTTTCTGGTCAACTTTTTTTTGGCGGCAATGGCGACGTCCAAATCCAGAACTTCCAGACCTTCTCGCGTGCAATCAAGAGGGTTGCAGAGTTTTGCTGGCATCCGACACAACGCGTGCTCTACAAAAACAGAGAGGGGGGATGAATGAGCTTTCCGCGAGAGTTATCTTCTTACAGGTGCTGTTTCTTTTTTTTAAGTACACAACATTTAATGTTCGATTTTGGATCTTAAGAAGGTTCTGTCAAACTGAATTGACACTCGTGACAGATGACAACCTCACCTGATAGATTAGATAAAACCTTTGTCAACTTACCTGGAATCCTAAAGGGCGGGTCGTACGTCCGCTCGCCGACCTTGACCCAGTCGATCTGTGAGAAGAACTGGTGGTGTCTGATGGTCGCCCCGCTCAATCGGGCTGCTGGGTTTTTCTCTAGCAGCTGCACAAAGATTGTTCGTTAGACGGCCATTGTGTCAAGAGACACACAGACCTTACTATTGTGACAAGTGACACACAGACCTTACTATTGTGACAAGTGACACACAGACCTTACCATTGTGTCAAGAGACACACAGACCTTACTATTGCGACACACAGACCTTACTATTGTGACAAGTGACACACAGACCTTACCATTGTGACAAGTGACACACAGACATTACTATTGTGACAAGTGACACACAGACCTTACCATTGTGACAAGTGACACACAGACCTTACCATTGTGACAAGTGACACACAGACCTTACCATTGTGACAAGTGACACATAGACCTTACCATTGTGACACACAGACCTTACCATTGTGTCAAGAGACACACAGACCTTACTATTGTGACACACAGACCTTACTATTGTGACAAGTGACACACAGACCTTACCATTGTGACAAGTGACACACAGACCTTACCATTGTGACAAGTGACACACAGACCTTACCATTGTGACAAGTGACACATAGACCTTACCATTGTGACACACAGACCTTACTATTGTGACAAGTGACACACAGACCTTACTATTGTGACAAGTGACATACAGACCTTACCATTGTGACAAGCGACACACAGACCTTACCATTGTGACAAGTGACACATAGACCTTACTATTGTGACACACAGACATTACTATTGTGACAAGTGACACATAGACCTTACTATTGTGACAAGTGACACACAGACCTTACTATTGTGACACACAGACCTTACTATTGTGACACACAGACATTACCATTGTGACAAGTGACACATAGACCTTACTATTGTGACACACATACCTTACTATTGTGACAAGTGACACACAGACCTTACCATTGTGACAAGTGACACATAGACCTTACTATTGTGACACACAGACCTTACTATTGTGACAAGTGACACACAGACCTTACCATTGTGACAAGTGACACGCAGACATTACTATTGTGACAAGTGACATACAGACCTTACTATTGTGACACACAGACCTTACCATTGTGACAAGTGACACATAGACCTTACCATTGTGACAAGTGACACATAGACCTTACTATTGTGACACACAGACCTTACTATTGTGACAAGTGACACAGACCTTACCATTGTGACAAGTTACACACAGACATTACTATTGTGACAAGTGACACATAGACCTTACTATTGTGACAAGTGACACATAGACCTTACTATTGTGACAAGTGACACATAGACCTTACCATTGTGACAAATGACACACAGACCTTACCATTGTGACAAGTGACACACAGACCTTACTATTGTGACAAGTGACATACAGACCTTACTATTGTGACACACAGACCTTACCATTGTGACAAGTGACACATAGACCTTACCATTGTGACAAGTGACACATAGACCTTACTATTGTGACAAGTGACATACAGACCTTACTATTGTGACACACAGACCTTACCATTGTGACAAGTGACACATAGACCTTACTATTGTGACACAAAGACCTTACCATTGTGACACACAGACCTTACCATTGTGACAAGTGACACGCTAGTCTCGGCGTGTAGGGGCGGGAAGTGAGGTTTGGTGTAAACAATGTTCCAGTAAAGCTGTCGGCGGTTCGGCCCCACAAAGGGCATCTGATGACAGACAGGCATGACAGACAACATGACAGACAACATGACAGACAACATGACAACAAGGCAAAATCTGATGGATTACGCGATTGATACATGACAAACAGGCACTATCAGACGGATTCCTTGACAAAGACATGGCACAAGGACTAGAGAGAGACGACAGACTGGCGCTAGACAGACAGACAGACCACAGACAGACAGAGCACAGACAGGTAGACGACAGACAGATGACAAACAGACAGACAGACGACAGACAGACGACAGACAGACAGACGACAGACAGACAGACGACAGACAGACAGACGACAGACAGACAGATGACAGACAGATAGACAGACAAATGACAGACAGACGACAGACACGCGACAGACAGACAGACAAACGACAGACAGACTACAGACAGACAGACGAGAGACAGAGACAGACGACAGACAGTGTATAGGTGTATGAGTTACCTTGCCATGCATCAGGAGATAGAGGATGACAGACGACAGACAGACAGTGTATAGATGTATGAGTTACCTTGCCATGCATCAGGAGATAGAGGATGACAGACGACAGACAGACAGTGTATAGGTGTATGAGTTACCTTGCCATGCATCAGGAGATAGAGGATGACCCCGAGTGACCACCAGTCAGCCTCGCTTGAATATCTCAGACTGGTGATAAACTGGACACGAGATATCATGCTTACATCTAATGGTGTAATGTTTGCTTACATCTGGTGGTGTAACGTGTGCTTACATCTAATGGTGTAATTTTTGCTTACATCTGGTGGTGTAATATTTGCTTCGTGTTTTCTAACGTCTCCAAGAAAAGAATTATACATATATCTATATCTATATATATATATATATATATATATATATATATCTATATCTATAATAATAGTTTCGCTGTCTGTCTATGTATCTATCTATCTATCTATCTATGTATCTATCTGTCTGACAAGAACGCTCTAGAGAAAACACAAGCAAATTAAAAACTTTCACAGTAAAGCGGCTGGCGAAATATGACGTCATAGAGTAGAAAATAATATCAAGCCGGAGAGTGCACACAGTAATATGACGTCATTGATTCTCGAGTAAACATTGAATAAAAATGCAATTTTGTCTAATCTAAGTGGTTTGCGTGAAGAGTTTCATTCATACAATTCTTCGGGTAGGGGCGAAGCCCCACCCCCGCGTAAGAACGTCTGAGCCCCCCCCCTCCCCAACTCAAAAGAAATTTCTTCATCGATACTCTATAATAAAATTACCGTCTAATTAATGTGTCTAATCTAAAAAGTGGTTTCTTTCATGCAATTCTTCGGGTAGTGGCTAAGCTCGACACCAGTGTTTCTTTCAGACTTTTTCCTCCCCGGAGGGGGGAACTTTTTCTAATCTACAAAGTGTTTAGCGTGCAGTTTTTTTTTCAAGCATCTCTTCCGGTAGGGGCGAAGCCCCACCCAGATTCTTCCTTTAGTTTGTATGATCTACAAATGCGACCAGTGTTTCTTTCAGACTTTTTCCTCCCCGGAGAGGGGTGGGGGTACTTGAAATTTTCGGGGGCGGGGGTAGAATTTTCTGGGAGGGGGCGGACACTGGAAAAAGTATATAATTATATTTCGTTGAATGGGACGGTAGACATGTTTTGGAGTGTGTGTGGGGGGGGGGGGGAGGGGGGGGGGGCGAAGCCCCCTCCTCCCAAGTAGAGTTGCCTTGCAAGAAACTCTAAATGCGACTTTTTTCATGAATGAGATTAGGTGCATGGTTTAGGGATATGCCTATGACTATATTTTGTATAAATTAAAGTACCGAGAAAATAGACAGCACAATCAACCTAGCGCCCGTTGTATCCTTCCTCAACGGGCCATTTTTCTCGTCTATAATAATAGTTTCGCTGTCTGTGTATCTATGTATCTATCTATCTGTCTGACAAGAACGCTCTAGAGAAAACACAAGCAATTTAAAAACTCTCACTGTGAAACGAAAACGAAGTATGACGTCATATAGTAGAAAATAATATCAAGCCGGAGAGTGCACACAGTAATATGACATCATTGATTCTCGAGTAAACATTGTCTAATCTAAGTGGTTTGCGTGAAGAGTTTCTGTCATACAATTCTTCGGGTAGGGGCGAAGCCCCGCCCTCGAGAAAGAACGTCTAAGCCGCCCCCCCCCCCCCCCCAACTCAAAAGAAATTTCTTCATCGATACTCTATAATAAACATTACCGCCTAATTAATGTGTCTAATCTAAAAAGTGGTTTCATGCAATTCTTCGGGTAGTGGCTAAGCGCGACACCAGTGTTTCTTTCAGACTTTTTCCTCCCCGGAGGGAGGAATTTTTCCAATCTAAAAAAAAGTGTTTAGCATGCAGTTTTTTTCATGCATCTCTTCCGGTAGGGGCGAAGCCCCGCCCAGGTTCTTCCTTTAGTTTGTATGATCTACAAATGCGACCAGTGTTTCTGTCAGACTTTTTCCTCCCCGGAGAGGGGTGGGGGTACTTGAAATTTTCGGGGGCGGGGGTAGAATTTTCGGGAAGGGGACGGACACTGGAAAAAAAGTATATAATTATATTTCGTTGAATGGGACGGTAGTGTGTGTGTGGGGGGGGGGGGGGTTGGTTTTAGTTCAGAGAAAAGAGACAGCACTATCAACCTAGCGCCCGTTGTATCCTTCCTCAACGGGCCATTTTTCTCGTATATATATATATATATATATATATATATATATATATATATATATATATATATATATATATATATATATATATATAGAGAGAGAGAGAGAGAGAGAGAGAGAGAGAGAGAGAGAGATTAAATGTTTTGTGGAAGAAGACCTGACCAACGGAAGGACTAAGTGAGCGATCAATCATGTTTTCTTTTTTGTTCACTTCGCTCATTTAGGCGGGGGGGGGGGGGGGTGAATGAGGAGTATCAAAAGGGGGGGGGAGTATAGAAGAATGTACGCCGTCACTACGTTAGTCCGTTTGTGGATTCTCCCTGTATTATTCCAGCTATGGATATGTTGTTTATTGACTTAACTCCAAGGTCTACATTTGTGTTCAGCGGAGAAGTGGTGCTGTCTACTTGATAGCACCAACCCACAAAAACATTGCTACCATCTATTCACCACCGTGACATTGGTGTCAGAAGTTCTTACACTCTCGGGTGAGTAGTGTTCATTGTTACACGTGTGTTCATTGTTACACGTGTGTTCACGTCAAAAAGTTAGTGATCGAGACTGTCAGTTTAAGATATTGATGATTGGATGTTTCTTTTTGTTTTGTTTACACTCTTGTGTGTAAAGTTGAAGTCGTGATATTTTAGTGTCAGAAAGAAAAAGCCCATTCGTCTACACATCGGTTCAGGCAGATACACACTGGATAGCAAATATCCAGAGTTTCTTCCAGGCATCTCTTATATATATATATAGAAAATACATACTTTTAACAGTGTCCGCCCCCCCCCCCCCGTAAATTTTAGTCCGCCCCACCCCCTCTCCTCCTGAAATTTCAAGTGCCCCCCCGGAGAAAAAAGTCTGGAAGAGACACTGGTCTGTAGCGGTTCTAATTTTGTTACACCTGGTAACGATGGCTGTCGGGAGCAAAACTTCAGTTAGATATTATAAGCTGTCTCCATTTACTATAAACATTGTGACGGTGGGCGTCACAATTTGGGGGGGGGGGTGTCTACTCAATAACCAAACCAGGAGTGTGTTTTCAAATTGGATACACCAGCATAGTACATCCATAGTGTATCCATAGTGTATCCATTGAATTTAGCAGAGAAAGTTGGTCTGGATGCAAGTATTATCTCATAATAAGTCATTTTTTTTCCTATGATTGTATGTACCGTAACAAAATATGTCTGATCTCGAATTATTAATAGAATATGCTAATGAATTAGAGCTGACAGCTTACTTGAGAGAAAAAGAAAAAAAGATTGCAAAGGAAACAAAAGAAAGAGAAGATAAAGAGAGAGAAGGGTGATGATAGAGCAAGAGGAAGAATGGCAGCAACAAAAACAAAAGCACATGGACGAGAAATAATAGAAATAGAAGCCAAATCAGAGGCAGAACAACTAAAATTAGAAACTGAAACAGGACTAAAAACCACAAACTGAAGAAGAAAGCACCGACAAGCAAAAGAATAAAGAACACATCAACATAAAATTAGAAGATCTGAAACCCAAGGAGAATATGGAGATTGAACTAAACAAAGATTTAAGGTAATAGATACTCTAAGTGTACTCATGAGATTGGCTCTATCTTCAATCATACTCAAGTGAGCAAGGATGACTGTTTCGTTATACCATCACAGGGTGGTAGTTATAGGGATAAGACCATCAGAGGGTGGTAGTTATACAGGGTGACAGTAATCAAGATAAGATAACTCTGTCGGATGATAGCAAGCCAAAGCGTATCAAGATATGTACCTCGGTGGGAGTGGGGAGTCTTAAGAAACGCACCTCGCATTTGGGGATTGGTAAGATACGCACCCCTGGGGAGGGTGGAGGGTGGTGGTAAGATACGCACATTACATTTGGGGAGTAAAATACGCACCTCTGAGGGGGTAAGATACGCACCTCTGGGGGGTGGTAAGCTTGCAGACCGTAGTTTTCAAACAGGTCCTGCCCATTATTCAGGTATGCTTCCTCCAGGTCAAAAATTTTCAAGTTGCCGTCCGTCAAAACACCAATGGTACTTGCCGTCAGGTTCCTGTGACGGCAGTTAAACTCTGTCAGCTCAGCTCATAAAGAATGTGTAACACATACAAGTTAAAAGTACACACATACTTGACTACCCTTAGTTTTTAAATTGGCCGCCTAGACCACGCCTCATTCTTTTGTGAAATAATCACTACACAAGTTAAGCATAATAAGATAAACAAACAAACGCGCCTCTGTTCAATGTTGCGAGACGCCGCGCCGCATACACCATGTCATAAGCGCTGTATACCCACCGCAACACGTCGGCAAACAATGTGTTTAATACATTCATCAAGAGAATGTAAAGACACCGACACGAACATCATCAGACATTTATTAAAGAATAAAGATTTTTACAGCCATTTTTCAGTTAAAGAAAATAAAAGCTAAATTGTAAAAGGTTGGGGGGGTTACATCCCCCCTCATGGACCCCTCTGTAAAAATATCTTTATTGTAATTATACCACTGTTACTTATTAAATCTATTTCCGAATCAGTAGATATGTATGATTGTATATGTATATTTAGAACAGTCACCCAAAAAGTGAAGATATTTTCACTCTATAATTGACTATCCCCCCCCCCCCACCTCATCATCAGAACTGAACAAACCGTAATTGTGTAGAGCGGTATTAATATCACACCTAGGTATGTGCTGGGTAAGATAATTGACTAAAGTGACCGGACAGTGGTCAATGAACCCCCCCCCCCCATCCACACACACACACACCGAACTGATGTGTTAAGTACATTTGGGAAAACGCGTAATTAGGTAACAAAGTACCATGCCGCCATAATCATAGCTTTTAAAACAGGGAAAACTCTGTAAATATTGTTTTTGCAATTACCAGTGAAGAGGTATGTGATCAATACAGTGATCTAACCCATACCATATCATTATGTTAAATTGATCTTTAAATAACACAAAAATCAATAGCTAATTAAAAAATGCATGATCTCAACTGCAAGACTAATATTTTAGTTAAACGTAAGCTATTATTTAGAATATTCCACCTATTAAAATTAGGTTTTCTATAAGTTTGAAAAGCGTGGTTTTATACCAATTCTGATTTCAAAAACTTTCGTTATGCTGTAATATTTTAGCATTTATGAAGACAAAATATTTAATTCTGATTCTAGACAACATATTTTTGTAAAAAAATTCATAAAGAAACGTTTTAATAACAAGCTTTTATGTACTAATGCACTAAAAAGTAGAAAATAAATTATACACTACTATTTAAATTACTATAAAGAAAAGCGTGGGTCTCTTCTCAAATATTAGTAAAGGTATCCAATAGGTACTAAAGTGACCCACGCTTTTCTTTATAGTAATTTAAATAGTAGTGTATAATTTATTTTCTACTTTTTAGTGCATTTGTACATAAAAGCTTGTTATTAAAACGTTTTTTTTATGAATTTTTTTTTCAGTACTTTACATGTTTTATTTACAATAGAGTTACATGACTAAAAACCATTGCGCGCCTACTGAACGTGATGGTGCAGCCATTGAACGTGATGGCGCAGCTATTGGACGTGATGAGGCGTGTGGTGTGGTTGGATAGACATGCCTACTAATTCGGTCCAAATTTTAATTAATTCATAAAAAATTAATTAGGCATCCAATTAAGTCAAATTTAATTTCAGATTGCATTGTCTTCATGTCTTGACCCACTTGCCAACTGTGAATCGTATCGGTCAAGTAGAACTGTCCGAATTTTCACTCCTGCGTTTCTATCTAGACTGACGACAGACTGACGACTGACGACAGAGGAAGTGAGTTAAATAAAAGCTTGTAAAAAAAATTCATTAAAAAAACGTTTTAATAACAAGCTTTTATGTACTAATGCACTAAAAAGTAGAAAATAAATTATAGACTACTATTTAAATTACTATAAAGAAAAGCGTGGGTCACTTTAGTACTTTAGTACCTATTTTATACCTTTACTAATATTTGAGAAGAGACCCACGCTTTTCTTTATAGTTATTTAAATAGTAGTCTATAATTTATTTTCTACTTTTTAGTGCATTAGTACATAAAAGCTTGTTATTAAAACGTTTTTTTATGAATTTTTTTTCAGTACTTTACATGTTTTATTTACAATAGTGTTACATGACTAAAAACCATTGCGCGTCTATTGAACGTGATGGTGCAGCTATTCAACCTGATGGCGCAGCTATGGAACGTGATGACGCATGTGGTGTGGTTGGATAGACATGCCTATTGATTCGGTCCAAATTTTAATTAATTCATAAAAAATTAATTAGGCATCGAATTAAGTCAAATTTAGTTTCAGATTGCATTGTCTTCATGTCTTGACCCACGTGCCAAATTTGAATCGTATCGGTCAAGTAAAATTGTCCGAATTTTCACTCCAGCGTTTCGATCTAGACTGTCGACAGACTGTCGACAGAGGAAGTGAGTTAAATAAAAGCTTGTAAAAAAAGAATAGTATTAAGCCAATATATTACATAATAGAGAAATTATTGATCTGTTTTGATGTTTACAATTAAATGTTTAGACATATACATTTCTATATTAAGAGAGTGATTAAGAGAGTGATCGCTTTTCTTAATGAATATTCCAGGAATCATTACGTCATTTTTTTACAACAATTACAAAACAGATTGTGTTGCGTTCATTGTTTTTGGTTGTATGGTGTGTATATTTAGTTGTTTTTTTTTTTAGAGTGATAAATTGTTTTGCTTTGTCGGCCTACATTGTGTCTTTTCTTATTTCTTCAGAGTACTACTTTCAATTTATTTTACGTCATCACGTTCATTAGGTGCGCAATGGTTTTAGTCGTGAAACTCTTTTTTTTTTTAATTTAAAGTACTGAAAAAAAGCATGATTTGATAAAGTGCAATACGGTAGGTAAAACACGGATATTTTAAATATTGCCTTTTATTTATTTTATACACTGAACGTACTGTTTACTAATTATTAATCTAACTTTCCGTTTGCGGACAAGCTGAGAATTTTATAGTCATTCACTGAATCAGGCGCGTCCGCCGGCGCTTGGATAGGGTGCGATTTGGCGCTACGGGCTAAACTGTGAGCACTATGCGTTTATGTTTGCATTCAAGTTGTATTTATGTTATGAGTGTTATGTTTGTTTTTTCGTTTGTGTTTTGGTGCGTTTGTGTTTGCATTGTGTTGGTGTTTTTATTTGTGTTTTTAATCTTTTATTGTTTTTTTCTTTTATGTTTGTGTGTTGCATCTGTGTTTTCGTTTGTGTTTGAATTGTGTTTGTGTTTTCTTTTGTGGTTGTGTTTTGTTTGTGTTTTCTTTTGTAATTGTGTTGTGTTTAGTTTTGTTCTGGTCCCAATTTGGTACATTTAAACTAGATTTACCGTGGCGGAGCACAGGTATGCAGCTAGCATATGTATAATTATATATATCTATAATATAAGCGGGCAAGTAGTGTGTCAGTCCTTCCTTCCGTCATCGCTATAGCTTTTGGAATCATAAAAGTAAACATTCGCACCATGCTGTGCTTTTCAGTGCACCGCAGTGTCTTATTATATGTATTAGAGTAGGGTTTGTTTATATAGCGACATAGAGCTATTTTATAATTGCCACGGTTTTTACTCTTTCGCATAACGTCAAGAAAATATTAAATACACGCAAACTGCTAAAACGTATTAAAAAGATTAATGTCAAATATCATTATCGTTTAGGCTCCCAGAAAAAGTGCATACATTTTAATAACATAATAACAGCAGGGTAGAAAAATCAAATTAATTTAACTCTTTTCTAATTTTGACAAAGGAGGTAATTTAAAAATACATTAAACTCACGCTAATAAAAAATGTGAATGCAAATATACGTTCGTCATAGAAGGAATTAGTGTTGCAATAATATAATTAGCAAAATGTGAATGCAAATTATTCGGATGTGTAAGAGGAAATTATAGTTAGAAAATTATAATTAGCATGGATTGATAAAAGGCAATCTTTTATTTATTTTATTCACTGAATGTAGGCCCTACCGTTTATTACTTATAATTTTTAATCAACTATTCAGCACTATTATAGACGCGTCATCACGTTCATAGGTTTTATTAGTGCGCAATGGTTTTAGTTATGAAACTCTATTGTAAATTTTTAAAATTTAAAGTACTGGAAAAAAATGCGAGAATGGATAAATTGAAATATTGTAGGTAAAACACGGATATTTTAAATACTGCCTATTATTTATGCTGATTTCTAATTATTATTCTATCTTTCGGGTTTTATAGGAGAGGCGTAGCGAGGGGGGCATATGTCCCCGGGTGCCGACCTTAGGAGCGCCAAAGTGGGTTGGAAAAAATTTGCGAGGGGGGGGGGGGTGGTGGAAATCGAAAGTTTTAGGGCGGGGGGGGGGGAGGAAGGGGTGCAAATCGAAAGTTTGAGGGGGGTGCAAATCACCGGAAAGGGCGCGATTTGGCGCTACGGGCTAGACTGTGAGCAATATGCCTGTATGATTGCATTTAAATTGTGTTTATGTTATGAGTGTTGTGTTTGTTTTTTCGTTTTTTTTTTGTTTGTTTTTTTTGCGTTCGTTTGTGTTGTGTTTAGTTTTGTTCTGTTCTGTTCCCAAGTTGGTACATTTAAAAAAGATTTACCGTGGCGGAGCACGGGATGCAGCTAGTATATATATATATATATATATATATATATATATATATATATATATATATATATATATATATATATATATATATAAAGCAAAGTGGTCAGGTGCCCGATAGGCGCGTCAAATTTGGCACGATGGTGCCTTGGGGCGATAGAACACGAGGGCAGGTGACGGTTTGCCGAAAAGTCTACGGAGAGAGGGTTAAAACTGACCTCGACTGAACGGCGCATCATATGGGCTCTATTACGAAAAATAATTTCCGACGACGACCCCCCTTGAAATTTTGTGAGGTGGTAGGAAAACGCCTTGGGGTGTCACAAAAAACTCGCCATGTCCGGGAAAATTCGGGAAATGGGTAAAAACTAACCAGTCGTATTTTCCTATATAATCTTTGTATTTTATGGGAAAAACAGAGGGTGATTACAAAACGGATTTTAGGGCACTTACCGTCTTTACATCTGGCTAATTTTTTGCATGCTCTTAGGTAAATGGCATGACCTTTAGGGAAAACTGTCGGTTTACTCAGAGCCCTCGACGAGGGCCAAAACATGACCGCGAGTGAAAATCTCCTTATTTGAGCTATATAACGAAAAAAAAATCTTGCCAGACGACCCCCCTTGAAATTTTGTGAGGCGGCAGGAGAACACATAGGGATGTCACAAAAAACGTGGCATATCTGGGAAAACTTCGTAAAGGGGTAAAAACTGACCAGTTGTATTTCCTTATATGATCTTTGTATTTTATGGGGAAAACGGAATTTTCAACACAATTTTTAGGTTATATAACCTCTGTACATCATGCTAATGTTTTGCATACACTTCTATAGATGACTAGGCCGTATGGAGAAACTGTTGGTCAGACTCAGCGCCCTCGACCAGGGCTAAAAGATGACCGCGAGTGAAATTCTCCTTATATGTGATATATATAAATAAATTGACGAACGATCCCCTTAATATTATTTGAGGTCGTAGACCGACCCAGGAGGGTAACAAAAAAACTTTATTCCCGTCGGAAAAAGCCATTGTAGTCGTTAAATATGTTTATATATCGTATTTTCTTATATAAGCATGGTAACTGTTTGTTTTTTAAAAAAAAGTAAACAAAGACACACGACAATCGGTCCATTTTCAAGGGAGGTAACCTTTTTAAATAATAATTTTTCAAATAATTGTATACTATTTTAAACAGAAACAGAAAACGACAAAGTATAGCATGCGTTTTAGAAAAAAATAAGTTGTTAATTAAGTTACGTATCATAATTAAATAAAAATTAATTTTAAAAGTCAATGTAATATAAATTATGAGATATACAGTTCATGGAACCTCTATAGTTCTAATTCCATTTTAGTTATAAATTGCTTACTTTCAAATATTCTCTGTGATGCGGATGTTAAACAACATACAAGATCTTCTCTAAAATTAGCATTACTGTTTAAATTTAAGCACTCCACGCCTCATCCATCACCAAATAATTAGTACTCAAATTATCAAATGTTTTTGAAAACCTAAGCGAAGCTAGGCAGTATGCCTAGTATATATATATATATATATATATATATATATATATATATATATATATATATATATATATATATATATATATATATATATATAAAATAACACCACACCTGTGTGACCTCACCTTAAAGTAACACCACACCCGTGTAGAAATATAAGGGCTGTGACCAGTTGGGCAGCATAAATCCTACACAAAAAAATGTTGAGCTTTCACAGACTAGCATAATAACACAGTCTATTCTTTTATAAACAACTTAGTATATAAATAGAGATAAATAGATGTACTGTACGACTGTAATTCATGTGCTTTATGGACGGGGTTGTCGGAAGACCTAAGCTAAACTCTAAATATGGGATTGTCAGCTGACTTGTTCAACTCTAAAGATGGGGTCAGTGACCTGTTAACTCTAAAGATGGGGTCAGTGACCTGTTAACTCTAAAGATGGGGTCAGTGACCTGTTAACTCTAAAGATAGGGTCAGTGACCTGTTAACTCTAAAGATAGGGTCAGTGACCTGTTAACTCTAAAGATGGGGTCAGTGACCTGTTAACTCTAAAGATAGGGTCAGTGACCTGTTAACTCTAAAGATAGGGTCAGTGACCTGTTAACTCTAAAGATAGGGTCAGTGACCTGTTAACTCTAAAGATGGGGTCAGTGACCTGTTGACTCTAAAGATGGGGTCAGTGACCTGTTAAACTCTAAAGATGGGATTGTCAGCAGTAGCGTAGCGAGGAGGGGGGGGCGGGGGGTACATATTTCCCCGGGCGCCGACCCTTAGGGGGCGCCAAAATCGAAAAGTTTGTCCCCGGGCGCCAGGAAGGGTCGCTACGCCTCTGATTGTCAGTGACCTGTTAACTCTAAAGATGGGGTCAGTGACCTGTTAACTCTAAAGATGGGGTCAGTGACCTGTTGACTCTAAAGATGGGGTCAGTGACCTGTTGACTCTAAAGATGGGATTGTCTCACCTGAGCTCCTCATCGATCAAGTGGAATTTGTTTTTGATCAGGTTGTGGAGCGTCGTCAGACCAAAGCTCTCCATCACCAGGTAGTGGCCGCTCTGAGGACATGTGGTTGCTATGGTAAATCTTGGTTTGTTTACAGTGGACATTTTTAAAACATAAGTTTCAAACATGGGGCCCTTTTAGGGTACGGTTTAAACACATTAAAGTTTGTTTTTCTGTCGATAATATCTTTAAAATGTAAATGTAATCCTACCATCATAGTCCAGTCTTACCACCCCCCCCCCCCTCTCCATTCATTCAGCTGAATCCTACCAAAGTTTTGAAGCACTCTTGAACGTTGACAACAAACGGACACTCTCGGGCCAGTTCCAGGATCTTTGCCTCCTGACAGATGAGGGCAATGGGCAACATATCTACACTTAGTACACTGACGACATTGGCAACATATCAAAACTTAGTACACTGACGACATGGGCAACATATCAACACTTAGTACACAGACGACATTTCAACACTTAGTACACAGACGACATTTCAACACTTAGTACACAGACGACATTTCAACACTTAGTACACAGACGACATTTCAACACATAGCAAATATCCAGACGTTTGTCGGGGTTGGGGACTGAAGTAAAAGACAGTCTGGGGTTGGGGACTGAAGTAAAAGACAGTCTGGGGTTGGGGACTGAAGTAAAAGACAGTCTGGGGTTGGGGACTGAAGTAAAAGACAGTCTGGGGTTGGGGACTGAAGTAAAAGACAGTCTGGGGTTGGGGACTGAAGTAAAAGACAGTCTGGGGTTGGGGACTGAAGTAAAAGACAGTCAGGGGTTGGGGACTGAAGTAAAAGACAGTCTGGGGTTGGGGACTGAAGTAAAAGACAGTCTGGGGTTGGGGACTGAAGTAAAAGACAGTCTGGGGTTGGGGACTGAAGTAAAAGACAGTCAGGGGTTGGGGACTGAAGTAAAAGACAGTCTGGGGTTGGGGACTGAAGTAAAAGACAGTCTGGGGTTGGGGACTGAAGTAAAAGACAGTCTGGGGTTGGGGACTGAAGTAAAAGACAGTCAGGGGTTGGGGACTGAAGTAAAAGACAGTCTGGGGTTGGGGACTGAATTAAAGACAGTCAGGGGTTGAGGACTGAAGTAAAAGACAGTCAGGGGTTGGAGACTGAAGTAAAAGACAGTCTGGGGTTGGGGACTGAAGTAAAAGACAGTCTGGGGTTGGGGACTGAAGTAAAAGACAGTCTGGGGTTGGGGACTGAAGTAAAAGACAGTCTGGGGTTGGGGACTGATGAAAAAGACAGTCTGGGGTGAGTCATTCTTATTCCTTCGGTGGATGTCAAGACACACAACCGACTCGTATAATTCACGATCGGATACGTGTACATAACACCACTGTCACCTTATGTGTACATAACACCACTGTCACCTTATGTTTACATAACACCACTGTCACCATAGTGTACATAACACCACTGTCATCATACATGTACACAACACCACTGTCACCATACATGTACATAACACCACTGTCACCATACATGCACATAACACCACTGTCATCATACATGTACACAACACCACTGTCATCATACATGTACATAACACCACTGTCATCATACATGTACATAACACCACTGTCATCATACATGTACACAACACCACTGTCACCATACATGTACACAACACCACTGTCACCTTATGTGCTAGCTTCTCCTGTTCTACTCCATTACAGTGGTACAACCTGATAGCGCAGAGGTCATCATTCTTTTTATTTTTAGCATAGTAAATCTAGATACATCGTTCGATCAATAAGCATATATATATATATATATATATATATATATATATATATATATATATATATATATATATATATATATATATATATATATTAAGCTTCCAACAATTAATATAGTTTTCTTTAAACATTTTAGCTGGGCAAAGGTCTTCAGTTTGGAATGGAGTGATTACAAAATCATTTTCACTTTATTATTTCTATTTTTTGTGTGTTTCCTTTTTCAGTCAGGTTTCACCTGAATTTGAACATTTTCTTGTGTTACGTGTGAGGTCAAAAGGTTCGTGTTTTTTTGCTTTGTTTTGTTCGAAAAAATTCTAATATTCTTGATTGTTTTTAGACGCACATTCATGTTTTATGTTACATTGAAATATAGCTATCTAAAGACAAAGCAAGTGTAGACAGAAAGACACACACACACACACATATATATCCACACTGAAAAACACATGCACACAGTTCGACAGAAAGAAGGACACACGGACACACAGACAGACAGACAGACACAAAAACTCACATACAAACTGACAGATAGACAAACAGACAGACAAACTGACAGACAGACAAACTGACAGACAGACAAACTGACAGACGGACAAACTCAAAGACTGACAAACTCAAAGACGGACAACCTCTCAGAAAGACGGACAGACAAACGTTTGAAGCCTACCAAAGAGTTTTTGGAGGTTGAGAAGATATCCAACAAAATGTACAGATCGTTAACAGTGTTCAAGTGCATGGACGTCTGCCTTCGTTGTAGTGACAAGTTTCTCGTATTGCGCTGCGGTTCAAGGTTGGGAGGTTAATGGTGACACTTCGGGGGTTAATGGTGACATGTGGGGGCTAATGGTGACATTTGGGGGACTAATGGTGACATGTGGGGGGCTAATGGTGACATGTGGGGGGCTAATGGTGACATGTGGGGGGCTAATGGTGACATGTGGGGGACTAATGGTGACATGTGGGGGGCTAATGGTGACATGTGGGGACTAATGGTGACATGTGGGGGGCTAATGGTGAGATGTGGGGACTAATGGTGAGATGTAGGGGGCTAATGGTGACATGTGGGGGACTAATGGTGACATGTGGGGGGCTAATGGTGAGATGTGGGGACTAATGGTGACATGTGGGGGGCTAATGGTGAGATGTGGGGACTAATGGTGACATGTGGGGGGCTAATGGTGACATGTGGGGGCTAATGGTGACATGTGGGGGACTAATGGTGACATGTGGGGGGCTAATGGTGAGATGTGGGGACTAATGGTGACATGTGGGGGGCTAATGGTGAGATGTGGGGACTAATGGTGACATGTGGGGGGCTAATGGTGACATGTGGGGGCTAATGGTGACATGTGGGGGGCTAATGGTGAGATGTGGGGGGGACTAATGGTGACATGTGGGGGGCTAATGGTGACATGTGGGTGGCTAATGGTGAGATGTGGGGACTAATGGTGACATGTGGGGGGCTAATGGTGACATGTGGGGGCTAATGGTGACATGTGGGGGGCTAATGGTGAGATGTGGGGGGGACTAATGGTGACATGTGGGGGGCTAATGGTGACATGTGGGGGGCTAATGGTGAGATGTGGGGACTAATGGTGACATGTGGGGGGCTAATGGTGACATGTGGGGGCTAATGGTGACATGTGGGGGGCTAATGGTGAGATGTGGGGGGGACTAATGGTGACATGTGGGGGGCTAATGGTGACATGTGGGGGCTAATGGTGACATGTGGGGGCTAATGGTGAGATGTGGGGGCTAATGGTGACATGTCGGTAGAAAGGCTTTTGGTGACATGCAAAAATAACTTATGTTAGGTAGGTTGACAGATGAGCTGGAACGCCAGACTTACAATGTACTCGTTGGTCAGCCAAGGAAAGGTCAAGTTTCTTGGGTTCTTCTTGTCCAGAAAATAGTTTTTCATTGACGCCGTTTTCTGTGTTTTCTGGGGATACATTCATTTACAAATGTAGAAAAAAATGGACACTTTTACAAATGTAGGACAAATGAAAACTTTTACAAATGTAGGACAAATGGAAACTTTTACAAATGTAGAACAAATGAAAACTTTTTATAAATGTAGAACAAATGAAAACTTTTTACAAATATAGAACAAAAGCATTTTCAAAAATAGAAAACATTTACCACTTGACTGTCGGCAGGAACTTTGTGCTGTGCGTGAATCAGTTCCTCTAACTCCAAGATTGAACTGTGAATACAAGTGTCAGAAAAAGCCATTCACGCGCCCTCTCGCTTTCTCGGATATATACATTTATGTAAAGTATATAATTATATATATATAAATTTTGGCGGCGGTTTAAATTACGCCTTGGGTTCCGGGTGGAGAGATGTCTGGGCGGACGTCAGAGGCGTAGCGACCCTTCCCGGCGCCCGGGGCGAACTTTCAATTTGGCGCCCCCCCCCCCCCCGCTTATATATATATTATATATATATATATATATATATATATATATATATATATATATATATATATATATATATATATATATATATATATATATATATATATATATATACATGTGTGTGTGTGTATAATTATGTGTGTGTGATAGTGTGTTTATATATAAGCTTGTGTGTGGGTAAGAGTGTATTTGTGTGTGTAAGCGTGTGAGTAAGCGTGTACGCTACAGTCCGGACAAGGTTTAATAATTACATTATATGATTTTCATTCCTTAAAACTTTACGACAATTTAATTCCCATTAAGATGCGTTTAACTTTTTTTTACGAAAGATTAGTAATGTCAGTAAAAAAAATAAGCCTGATCTGTGTTAGAGGGTAGTTTGTAGCTAACGCTAATATGTTTAGACCAGCCTTTAATGTTCTAGTTTTGGAACGATCTCTGTTGTGATATGGTACATAGTTGGATTCGAAGTTTGTTAGAGTAAGGACACACAAGTGACATACAAGAAGAAGTTATCAGAAATATTTATAGTTCACATTGGAATACGACATGGGTATTTCGTTGATTGGTTGATGGTATGACAAAACAAGCTAGAGAAAACAAACTGGAATCCAACGGATGTTAACAGCTCGTAGTCTTGGATTTCGCAGATTAGCCCTGCCTTCTCGCACACAGAGTTTCTTCCAGGCATCTCTTCGGGGGGGGGGGGGGGGCGAAGCCCCCCGAAAAATTTTACCGCCCCCCCCCGAACGAAATGAAATTTATATATAGAAAATATATACGTTTAACAGTGTCCGCCCCCCCACCCCGAAGAAAGTCTACCGCCCCCCCCCCCCCGAAAATTTCAAGTGCCCCCCCCCCCCCCCCCCCCCCGAAGAAAAAAGTCTGGAAGAAACACTGCTCGCACAACGTCAACAACAAATGCAGAACTAATTGTATTGATTGAAGAAGCAGTAACAATCAATTTAATGATAGCCCATGACGTTCTGATTATAATCAGCAGCAATAAAACGCGTTTTAATACTCTAAGAAAATGTAGAATTCAAATGCATTGTCAAAAAAATTCAATCAGGATCTATAACTAAATGTGGTCTCTTTTACTGTATGGCTTGGAGCTAGATTACAGACAGTGGAGAATGAAATAAGAGCATGGAAAAAAGTGGTGGTTAGTGGCTTAGGGATTCAAGAATCCGTGATATTTAGTTCTCTTTAATATAGTTCAGTGATCCAGGTAAGATGTAATGCAATCAATCAAAAGTATCTGATCTCTCACGTTGAAGTTGAGAGAATCGTAAGAATCTTACAAAGAACTAGTCGCGTCTTTTTTTTAAAACAAAACTGGCTATTGAAATTGTACATTACGCGTTAATACACTTGGTTTCTTTACTAAGTGTTAAGAGAGTTATCTGCTCACCAATCCAGTACAAATACTTGCGATTTTTTTAGCGAAAAAAGCGCCCCCACCCCCACCCACACACTCATCAAAACCATCTTGGACAAAGTTTGTAGAGCGGTTTTTAACGTAACAAACTTTTTTTTTAAAATGTTACACAATTATACAATGCACAGTACAATTCGTTTCTTTCTGAGAGCTAAAGGTTGTTTTCTCAGAATCCTGTGTAATTTTGCTATTTTATTTAGCCTAAAAGCGCCCCCCCCCCCTGCACCATCTTGATAAAAGTCACTAACGTATTTTACAGTTCAACAATCGTACAATACGTTTCAATACAATTGGTTTCTTTTAATAGTGGTAACGTTTATCGACTCAACAATCTAGTGTAAATTCTTCCGTTTTAAGTCTCGAAAAAGCGCCCCCCCCCCCCCATCTAGGTAAAGCTTCAAAGCGGTTTTGCCGGTCACTGTTTCTTAAGAGTATATGTTTTACATTAAGAAATCAAGGTAGAAAACAGTTAAATCAGTTTGTAAAGGCGTGTAGCCATTACATTTCTTAACTTAGACAGTTTATAATTCAAAACTGCAGTATAAAATCAGCTTTAAAAAAATTTTCCCACCCCTTTTGGCGCCCCCAAAGGGTCGGCGCCCGGGGCGGCCGCCCCCCCGCCCCCCCCCCCCCCCTAGCTACGCCTCTGGCGGACGTCCGTGAGAACTTTGGCTCTCAATTTTTTTTTTACCGTAATCTAATTTTCGTGAAAATCGGTATTCGCACCAAAGTGCTACCTGAGGTGACTGATATTGACCTGAGGTGACTGACCTTTAAGATGACTGAGGTGACTGAGATGAACCTGAGGTGACTGACCTTGAGATGGACCTGATGTGACAGACCTTGAGACTGGCCTGAACTGACTGAGATGAACCTGAGGTGACTTACGAGGGCGCCTCTAGCTTGTCCGGCATAAGTTTGCCACATTTGAAGCAGAAACAGTCGATCTGAGCCAGCACGGGGTAGCGCTCGGCCAGGGGCTGGCCATGTTTGATCTTGTTGACCCTCGGGGCCCGCGACATCGTCCAAGGCAGTTCCTGTAAGCCAGTGGAAGGGGGGAGGGGGGGTGGACTTTCAGACAATGGATCATCAGAACTGACCAGACGAATATCAGATGGGGTCACACCCACAGTAGACTTAATGACTGAATCTGGCATTAACGTGAACCCAAACTTTTTTTTACCAATCTTTAATTTACTTTCTCTCTCTCTCTCTCTCTCTCTCTCTCTCTCTCTCTCTCTCTCTCTCTCTCTCTCTGTGTACGTGTGTTTGTGTGTGTATGTTTGTGTATATATCAAATTGTGGTGATGTAATGTGTATGAAAGGTGAATACGTGGAACGGGTCACTGCGTGTGTGTATGTATCATGTAGTGAGACGCGAGGCCGGGTGTGTTGACGTGTATGTCAGTATGTTGTTGTACGGAGTGAACGAGAGTACAAGGGAAGCGACTGGTCGGGTGACAGTGGCTGTGCTGTGAGCGAGAGAAAGGTGGTGTGTAGCGATGAATGCGGAGGACAGTTAAAGGTTGAGTGTGGAAGCAAGGAGGTTGATGTTGGGACTGGAGGCACGGGAGATAGAGAAATAAAGAATACTGTAATAGCCCCAATCGTGTTGTGCTTTCTTTGAGATTCACATGTCCTCACACAAATGTGTAATTCTCTATCAACTTTTCCGGTAACAGGAAGTAATAGTCCACTTCCTGTTACTCAAAACTTGAGTACCTGTAAAGTTAGATGGACAACATTTCAAATCTAAGTATTGTATGCGAAGACTTATGTCAACTATTGAACTATTTTTGTTATAAGCTGAATTGGTAGGCCTATTTCTCGATAGCCTGAGTACTGTTTCAGTTAGGTAGATAAAATTTCATACGTAAGTATAAAATCTTAAAGTGAGAAGACACAGACTTTGAGTGACCGCCGACATTCGGAAGTGATACTGTAGCCTGTTGGAATCTTGTAGAGAAAAAAAATTGTGCACCAAATGAACAGCAAACAACGTGAGTATAATAGTGCGGATCATTAGTACTTTATGTGAGCGGGTGAATGGATGTACTATTTTATTTGGTGCGACTCTGCTGTGAGTAAATGGACAGCGGCCACGGGGCTCCCCTTCCGCCCGAAGCGGTCAGTATATAAACTGACCACTCGGATATTTTCTTTCTTTTTTGACCGCCAGAATGTAGATCAGGTCAGCTTCTGTGGTCGCGCTTTGTGCGTTGGAGTGAGGTTGCTTGGGCAACTTGGCTGGGTGTTTTGTTTGGTGGAAAAAGTTTGTTTGGTATATACTGTTTTGTACGTACTGTTTTCTACGTAATGTCTTTTGTGTGTGCTGAAGCGATGAGGTGAGGGCGAAGGCGTTCCTCTTTCCATCAAGTATAAATCTGTTTTGTTTTGTTTAGTCGTGTTTTGTTCCATTAAGTCTGTTTTGTTTTGTTCCGTTGAGTTCTGTTTTGTAAGGCTCGAGTGTTTTGCTTTGTCTAGATCTAGATTCTATGTTTTTTTATATAAGCTTTGATTCCATATATTATTAAATAAATTTTATTATATTGTTAAAGTTTTTGTTTTATTTTTAACACGTTTTTCTTAACTCAGCTTCGCGTTTGTTTGTGGGTTTGTTGTTAAAATTGACAACGAAAATTAGCCCACTTCTGATTGCTCTAGAGATCTGAAATTCGGCATGCAGGCTATTTTCGCCTAACAATTTCAGATGCAATCATAAAAACTAGCAATTAGAGACCTAAATTAGCTTAATTAAATTACGCCCCAAGGACCCTAAAATTGAGGACATGATTTCTAAAGATACCGACAAGACTGGAGGCCTATTGACACAGTTACTTAGTATAGTGGCTAGTACTTCGCGTTGTGGCCGCGACAACCCAGGTTCGAATCCTGGTCACGGCGTGTAGGCTGCTGTGGGTCTCGCGCTGCCAAGCTCACATAACAATTTCAGATGCAATCATAAAAAACTAGCAATTAGAGACCTAAATTAGCTTAATTAAATTACGCCCCTTCTCTGTTTAAAGCCTATCGGTCGCTCAAGATTTTTAGTCCGTGTATTTAAAAACACTTAGTCAAGTCATTCTTAATCAAGTCATTAGATAAAGTAGAAAGTAAACTATATAAAAAACTTTTCAAAAACCACGTTTTTCATGTGTAGCAACGGACTAAAAAGGAGAAAATAAAATACTTTTAAAAAACGTTTTAAAAAAACACGTTTTTCTTGTGGACTAAAAAGTAGAAAATAAATTTTTCTTCCGACCCTATGGGATCTACCAATGACTGCTCGTAGCTTCCTCGAGCTGTGCAGGTTCTTGTGATGACTGTTCATACATTTGATGACAAAAAACGTGGGTCGGGCAGATTTATGATTAAAGCGAAAAGCACACAACACACGAATTATGGAAATTTGATGGTGAACGTACCCACGTTTTTTGTCATCAAATGTATGAACAGTCATCACAAGAACCTGCACAGCTCGAGAAAGCACAAAATCTACGAGCAGTCATTGGTAGATCCCCTAGGGTCGGAAGAAAAAATTATTTTCTACTAGAAGGGTAGATTTTAGGTACCCCCCCCCCTAGCAGGGCTTACATTTATACAAAAAACGTAATTAATGTTCAAACAGTTAGTTAATCATCTAATCAACATTGCATGTAACAATAAATTGTCTTCGAGTCCTGACATGCGTGAAAAGTTTAAAATAACTCGGTCCGGTGGTAGTGTTCGAAATTTTGTTCGCAATTTTCCAAATGTAACAGACGCTATTCGAGAAATAAATTCATACACATTTTTAAGAGAAATGAGAAATAGCGTAAAGTACTACTTCAGATCACGGGAAATTACTCAAAATTTGATAAAAACAGAGAATTAGATCTTTTACTTGTAAGTGAAATTTCGTGTATTTATCAGAAACAGCACTCAAGTTATAGGCTTTTCAAACACCGAAAGTAGTATCAATTCCACTTTCGTTTACCGGAAATCGCTAAAAAGCTGATACAGAACTACAAATACAACATATATACGAATTTTCATCAACCAAGCTGTAACGGTACTCAAGTTATCATGTTAACAGCCAGACAGACAGACATACAGGCACACACACCTACTCTTTCTCTCTCTCTCTCTCTCTCTCTCTCTCTCTCTCTCTCTCTCTCTCTCTCTTCTCTCTCTCTCTCTCTCTCTCTTTCTCACACACACATACCCACACGGACTAAATTGGAAAATTAAGTTTTTCCGACTCAGGGAGATGTAAAACATCGAGATTTGTGACAATTTCTATTTCAGTTTTTTGCACGAGAACAATACTTCCTCTACAGACCTACTTCGCATACGAGAAAAAAAAATTAGAAACAATTTGAAATACATTTCTATAGCCAGATCGTACTGAACTTGCCATTTCCCTTGCTGATGTATAAAAATATTCGAGAAAGTTTAGGGGAGATCACTCCAGCTTTTTCTTGTTAGTAATATTAAAAGTGACCATATACACAAAAAACACAAAACCTTCGAGTATATTTTGTTAGTCATGTACCAGGAGACTGGCTTGACTGGGTAAATTTCAAGTGACCCGCAAAAAAAAAATGGTTTCTGTCGCAGGATTAAGTAAAGAGACCAGAAACCAATCCTTGTGAATGATGCACACCCAAACACTGCACTGCCGCGCTGGACCAAAAGCCAAGAATTCGATACTGAAGTCATACAAACCTTTAACCACGAAGCCAAGTCACTCAACCAAGTGTTGTGCTAAGTCATATCATTTGTTTTGCTAAATTTTACCTCACTTATATGAATAAAGTTGAATCAAGAAGAATCAAGAAGAATATTTGGCACATCTAAGTCTCGTAATGGAATTATTGTGCATGCATTTTTTTGCACTGGTGCTCAATGGGGTGCACACCATTCATTTTACCGGCGCTAGATTTTACCGGCGCTAGATTTTACAGGCGCGCAGTTTTTACACGCTTTTATTTAACTCACTTCCTCGTCAGCCGTCAGTCTGTCTAGAATAGTCTAGATTGAAACGACCTAGCGAAATTGCAGGCACTTCTACCTGACAGAAACGGTTCGTAGTTGGAGCGTGGGTCAAGACATGAAGACAATGCATCGTGACATTAAATTTGACTTATTTGTATGCCTAATTATTTTTTATGAATTAATTAAAATTTTGACCAAATTAGTAGGCATTTTTATCCAACTACTCCACACGCGTCATCACGTTAAAAGCGCGTCATCACGTTCAATAGGTGCGCAATGGTTTTTAGTCATGCAACTCTATTGTAAATTTGTTTAAAATAAAGTAAGGAAATTTTTTTTCATAAAAAACGTTTTTTTTTTAAACAAGCTTTTATGTAATAATGCACTAAAAAGTCGCTGTATCATCTATTGGATACCTTTACTATTATTTAGGAAGAGACCCACGCTTTTCTTTATAGTTATTTAAATAGTAGAGTATCACAATATATTTAAAGAAATTCGTTTATTTTCTACTTTTTAGCAAATTATTACATAAAAGCTTGTTATTAAAACGTGGTTATGATTTTTTTTTCAAGCTTTTATTTAACTTGCTTTCTCTGTCGTCATATCGTCATATCGTCATAGATCGAAACGAACGAGCGAAATTTCGAGAACATCTAACTGACAAAATCGATTCAAACTTGGCACGTGTGTCAAGACCTGATGAGAATGCAATCTGGCTTCAAATTTAACTTCATTGAATGTCTATTTTTTTATGAATTAATTCAAATTTCTGAAATTAGTATGGTACTACCTATTCCGCATTATCATATTCATTAGGTGCGCAATAGTTTTTAGTTATGAAACTTTTGCATTAAATTAGAGTACTGGAAAAAAAAAATGCATAAAACGTTTTAAAATCAAGCTTTTATGTAATCATTCACTGAAGAGGAGAAAATAAATTATGTTCTTTAAAAAATATATAATAATACACTCATAATAATACACTATAAAGAAAAGGGCGATTCACTTCCTAAATAATAGTAAAGGTATCTAATCTATAAAGTAGTGACCCACGCTTTTCTTTATAGTTAATTAAATAGTAGAGTATTATTATATATTTAAAGAAAAACATTTATTTTCTCTTTCTTTGTATATCTATCTATCTATATACTACTAAAACTCAAGTTTGTTTACATATTTGAATATTTATTTGTTTTTCTTTGTTTGTTTTTTGTTTGTCTGATTGACTACTGTAGAAGATCAGCGCTATGTGGAGAGCTGTAAAATAGTATGTAGGTAGAGAACAATTTTTGTTTTCAGACAGACTGTTAATCACAAATTTATTTAAAGACGTTAATTAATTTATTGATTTATTCATAGGTAGATTAACCACATTAATTTTAAAAGTTTAAAACATTGACTTCTCTTTGTGGGAATAGTGACGTCACATGCTTTGTTTACTTTTTAGTACAATAAATGGCGACTTCAATCCAAGATTTATTTGCCGATTCAGATGTTTAACGCGTTCTTAAACTAATTTTCTGTCTGCTATAACTTTAACAATGCGTCCTTTTGCTATTTTTTATTACGTTTCAACACTCTTATCAATGTTTTAACACTTCTTTTTATTTTATTATAAAATACGTTTAATTTGAAATAATTCTAGATCTAATTCTAGGGCTGATTCGCGTAGATTGTTACGCCGCTTAGAAGTAAAATATATAAGTTATTAACTTCTCGTGAGTACGAGCCTAGATAGCTAAGAGGTTAGCACATTAGGTAACCATGCTGGTGGCATGGGTTCTAGACATATCAGTGTTGTTGTTTTATTTTAAATTTTAATGTTTTTTTAGTTGTGAATGATGTTGCCTTTGCCTATTGGAACTTAGCGGGATACAGGGCAGTTGAAGTAGAGTTCATCTGTTTCTTTGTTCTCAGTATATAACGTGGATAGTGTCGTCAGAGCCATGCTCGACCGGAATAATTTTTTTAAAGATAAAACATGTTGTCTGAGGCTTGGCGGATCACTGGGCAGGTGAAGTAGTGTTGGGTAGGTGTAAAATTCACCTGTGACGACAGCATATGAAGAAATAGTGTGGTCAGACCCACGCTCAGCCAAAATCTGTGTTTTCACAGACAAAAACATGTCCAAGTTGAGAGGACACTGGGCAGGTGAAGTAGAGTTGACCTGTTTTTGTGACCTCAGTATATGAAAAGATTATGTTGTCAGACCCATGCTCAGACGAAGTCAGTGTTTTTAAAAGACAAAAAACGTCTGAGGTGTGACGCCTTTTTGAACGTAGGGTCGGGTTATTTTGTGATGATTAGTGACAGACGGAATGTCATTTATGGATGACCCCCGAAACCCACAGTTATCTAACTAGATAACGGGTAGTCTAGTATGCTACTAAAAGCGAAAAGTTTGTATAATTATTTTTTTTTTTTTAATTTCTTATTTTTATGTTTGTTCCCCTAGATTAGAGCATCTGTACTATGTGTAAAACTGTAAAATATACGTAATTATGTAGAGAATAATGTTCTTTTCCCCCAAAATGTTATACGCAGATTTATAGATTAAAATACACAATTTAAAAATCTAATGCCGAAAACAATACACAATAATAATGACGTCATCGATACTTGGTAATAAAGACTCTAACAATACCGGATGATTTATTTGTCTAATCTTAAAAGTGGTCTGCATGCAGAGTCTATTTCCAAATACTTTTTTACTTATTTTCCAAACGAATAAGGGTCCCATTCAAATGCTAAACGCATTATAAAGATAAATTTTCTGTCTTCTGTAGATGAGGTTTGACTACTTTTTAGATTTGAATGAAAAAAATTGCCTTTTGGAGCATTTGAAGGGATTTTGTGGTCAGACCCATGCTCAACCGGGTGTTTTAAAAGATATGGACATTTTGTCTGAGGTGTGACGTCTTTTTAAATGTATGATCTGGCATTTTTTGACGATGTGAGACAGTGGGGAGGGGGAGGGGAAAGAAAATGGTTAAACAAACGTGACGTCATTTATGGATAACACCCGTAACCGACAGTTATTCAAGGATAACGGGTAGTCTAGTTAGTACATCAAAGCTTGTTAAAACGTTTTTTATGTTGTTTTTATTTTAAATAAATTATGATTGGGGACAAAAGCGACGACTTATAAAACCTAACTTTATTAAAACATCGAAAGTTTCAAATTTAAATTTATCAACTTTTCAAATGTAATTCTTCTCTCGTTCCTTCAATCTCCGCCAATGTTTTTAAAAATAAAACCATTCACGGGAGGCACCAGATAGTCAATCGTCAGAGTACCTATCACGTGTTGACCTTCACCTTGGCCTTGATCCATGAAAAAGTCATGGTCTACACGAGAGTGTGTAGATCGCTGGTATCTTTGTACGGGAGCTTCTTCACGACACGGCGTTATGGCGTCCAGCCATGCAACACCCAAACCTCGAGTCGAGACAACAGTCCGGGGGACTCGAACGCTAAGGTTGGCCGACCGTTCCAGTAAATTCTGAGCCTCATGTTCAAGGTGCCTTGCTTGTGGTGATACATTTTCAAGTTCTAGGCATGAAGTTGAATGCTCTGGTTCTAGGCCTTCAGTAGAATGTTCTGGCTCTAGGCCTTCAGTAGAATTTTCTGGTTCTAGGACTCTAGCGGTATATTCTAGGCCTGTTACACGTTCCAATTCTAGGTCTTCTTGTTCTGCATTGAGCGACACAATATTTAGGCGCTCTGTGCCATCTTGATCTTGTGAGTAATGTCCAGCAAAAGTTGAGCCATGTACGACAATAGTTGAGCCATGTCCAACATCAGTTGAGCCATGTCCAACATCAGTTGAGCCATGTCCAGCATCAGTTGAGCCATGTCCAACATCAGTTGAGCCATGTCCAGCAAAAGTTGAGCCATGTCCAACATCAGTTGAGCCATGTCCAGCAAAAGTTGAGCCATGTACGACATCAGTTGAGCCATGTCCAACATCAGTTGAGCCATGTCCAGCATCAGTTGAGCCATGTCCAACATCAGTTGAGCCATGTCCAGCAAAAGTTGAGCCATGTCCAACATCAGTTGAGCCATGTCCAGCACTAGTTGAGCCATGTACGACAACAGTTGAGCCATGTCCGACATCAGTTGAGCCATGTCCGACAACAGTTGAGCCGTGTCCAGTAAAAGTTGAGCCATGTCCCGCATCAGTTGAGCCATGTCCAACAACAGTTGAGCCATGTCCAACATCAGTTGAGCCATGTCCGACAACAGTTGAGCCGTGTCCAGCAAAAGTTGAGCCATGTCCGACAACAGTTGAGCCGTGTCCAGCAAAAGTTGTGCCATGTCCCGCATCAGTTGAGCCATGTCCGACAACAGTTGAGCCGTGTCCAGCAAAAGTTGAGCCATGTCCCGCATCAGTTGAGCCATGTCCGACAACAGTTGAGCCATGTCCGACAACAGTTGAGCCGTGTCCAGCAAAAGTTGAGCCATGTCCGACAACAGTTGAGCCATGTCCAACATCAGTTGAGCCATGTCCAACATCAGTTGAGCCATGTCCAACATCAGTTGAGCCATGTCTACCATCACTTGAGCCATGTCCGACATCACTTGAGCCACTGAGGACGTGGGTGTACACAGTGTGATCGTCGTCCCTGAGGCATCTCATCAAGGTAGATTGAGGCTGGCATGTGACGTCAGTGAACACGTCGATGTCGTAGGTTGTGTCCTGTAACTGGATTGGAAATCTGCCTCGCCTGCTGGATGTGTGGGTCAGCTGTGTGGGGCTGGATGTGTGGGTTAGCTGTGTGGGGCATGTGGGGACGTCGTCCTCTGACGAGGCTAGGAGCGCCCTCTGGAACTCCTCCACCGAGTCGACCAGCGAGCCCTGCGAGAAGCCGCTACTCGGCCCAGACGAGGAGCTGACCTGCGAGCACATGTCGGGGATGGGGGCGGGCCGGTTCCAGAGAGTGGCCAGCTTGAGCTTGAGCCAGCTGCCCAGCTGGCCGGGTCTCGAGGCGGACCTGATGACCCATCGCTTCTTTTTCCGTCTCCGCTTGTAGGAGACGCTGAACGTTCGCTGTAGCAGCTTGCTCAGGATGGACGGCTTGGGCTGGGTCTTCAGGTTGATTTTACTGTCGTACCTCAACACCTCGTTGGAACGGTAGCCGGAGGGTAAAATAGTGACGGGGAACATCTGGGCTGGCGCGGATACGTGCAAGTCAGGAGATCCGTGTCTGTCGCTTGATTGCAGGGGCATATCGTAGTCTGTACTGTAGATGGTGCTCAGGAAATGCAGCTGGTCTTTTTCAGCGTGTTCTTCCAGTTTTGTGGCGAGGAAATGGAGAAACGACGAGTACTGGAAGCTTGGGCGGCTCGCTGCTGGCTTCAGCAGGGCCAACCTTCGCCTGCCATCGTGTGGCTCATTGAGCCGTGCTCCAGGCCAGGCGGAGCAGCGCCTGTCGGCCGGGGCGAGGCTGGCAGCCTGAGATGGGCCACCAGCACGGGCCAGGTTTGGTGGGCGTTTACTCTCGTGTCTGGCTCTCTGGTCAGATGGACGGTCGCTGTACGTGATGACGTTGGAATGGTCGCCAGAACCAACAGACGGACGCCCCGACCCCCATAAAGGAGACTGTGAGAAATATGGTGGCTCAACATGTACCCCCGGAGGACACACGCCTCTGTTGACAGCAGTCCTAGAGAAGTTCTCATTGGTTAACACAGACGGAGGCGTGGCCAACCCAAAAGAAGGGGTGGCTAGACTACGTGTTAGGACTTGATGTGTCCTGAGAGCTACACCTGTAGCTCCTGCACCCCCGGCTAGTCTCGTCACACCTGTACTCGGGTTTGTACAACATGTGGGACTCGCCTCGCCTTCCAGGATGATGGAGTCACTTTTCGAGCTCTCGGCATCTGGGTTATCGCCCCTGCTGGTCTGGGTGGTGTTCTCGTGTCCCTGGCTCGCGTGGTCGTCCACCCAGGTCGTGTGGCTGTTGTTACAGTCCACGTGCACGGTATCGTCTGCTGTCTGCTCGTATCCCTCACTCGCATCCGGCTGACCATCCGGCTGACCATCGGACTGCGAGTCACGTGACTTCACTGCGTTCATGTTTGCGTTCGGCAGGTGCCCAGACAAGCCAATGGGCATCTGGTTTGTGTTGTGCTGATGGGCATACAGGACGATGGGCAGCTCCAGCGTCAGGTCGCTCAGCTCGCCCATCTCTTGCTGAAGCTCATCTCTGAAGACCTGGGAGCGGCTCAGGTAGGTGTTGACCGGCAACACGGGCGTCTCCAGGGCCTCCTTCAGCCGCCGCAAGCACGCCATGTTGTGCCGGTTCCTGAACCAGTTCCGGTTGGCGATGTTGACCACGGACAGGACGGCGGAGCGCGAGTCCATGTTCAGCAGGTGCTTGCTCCGCTCAAACAGGATAGACTGGCCGGGCGGCGGCAGGTAGCTGGGGACAGACAGGGGTCATAGTCAGAGCTAACAGGGGTCATATAGCTCACAGGGGCCATAGTCAGAGCTAATAGGGATCATAGTCAGAGCTTACAGGGGTCATAGTCAGAGCTAACTGGGGTCATAGTCAGAGCTAACAGGGGCATAGTCAGAGCATACAGGGGTTTTAGTCACAAGATGTGCAGACCAATCTAAAGTGCAGACTAATCTAAAGTGTAGACTAACCTAAAGTGTAGACTAACCTAAAGTGTAGACTAACCTAAAGTGTAGACTAACCTAAAGTGCAGACCAACCTAAAGTGCAGACCAACCTAAAGTGCAGACCAATCTAAAGTGCAGACCAACCTAAAGTGCAGACCAACCTAAAGTGCAGACCAACCTAAAGTGCAGACCAACCTAAAGTGCAGACCAACCTAAAGTGCAGACCAACCTAAAGTGCAGACCAACCTAAAGTGCAGACCAACCTAAAGTGCAGACCAACCTAAAGTGCAGACCAACCTAAAGTGCAGACCAACCTAAAGTGCAGACCAACCTAAAGTGCAGACCAACCTAAAGTGCAGACCAACCTAAAGTGCAGACCAACCTAAAGTGCAGACCAACCTAAAGTGCAGACCAACCTAAAGTGCAGACCAACCTAAAGTGCAGACCCACCTAAAGTGCAGACCCACCTAAAGTGCAGACCCACCTAAAGTGCAGACCAACCTAAAGTGCAGACCCACCTAAAGTGCAGACCAACCTAAAGTGCAGACCAACCTAAAGTGCAGACCAACCTAAAGTGCAGACCAACCTAAAGTGCAGACCAACCTAAAGTGCAGACCAACCTAAAGTGCAGACCAACCTAAAGTGCAGACCAACCTAAAGTGCAGACCAACCTAAAGTGCAGACCAACCTAAAGTGCAGACCAACCTAAAGTGCAGACCCACCTAAAGTGCAGACCCACCTAAAGTGCAGACCCACCTAAAGTGCAGACCAACCTAAAGTGCAGACCCACCTAAAGTGCAGACCAACCTAAAGTGCAGACCAACCTAAAGTGCAGACCAACCTAAAGTGCAGACCAACCTAAAGTGCAGACCAACCTAAAGTGCAGACCAACCTAAAGTGCAGACCAACCTAAAGTGCAGACCAACCTAAAGTGCAGACCCACCTAAAGTGCACCATGTATTTCTTGTCCTTGTCTGTGGAGATGGTCAACCAGTCGGCCAGCGACGTGTCCGAGCCTGCAGGACACACACTGGTCAGTTCAGCGGGGTTTTTGGCCAACGTCGTGAGAGCTGGAGAGAGAGGGTTGGCACGTTAGATGGGGGAGAGAGGGTTGGCACATTAGCTGGGGGAGAGAGGGTTGGCACGTTAGCTGGGGGAGAGAGAGGGTTGGCACATTAGCTGGGGGAGAGAGTGTTGGCACATTAGCTGGGGGAGAGAGGGTTGGTACGTTAGCTGGGGGAGAGAGGGTTGGCACATTAGCTGGGGGAGGGTTGGCACGTTAGCTGGGGAGAGAGGTTTGGCACGTTAGCTGGGAGAGAGAGGGTTGGCACGTTAGCTGGGGGAGGGTTGGCACGTTAGCTGGGGAGAGAGGTTTGGCACGTTAGCTGGGAGAGAGAGGGTTGGCACGTTAGCTGGGGGAGAGAGGGTTGGCACATTAGCTGGGGAGAGAGGTTTGGCACGTTAGCTGGGAGAGAGAGGGTTGGCACGTTAGCTGGGGGAGGGTTGGCACGTTAGCTGGGGAGAGAGGTTTGGCACGTTAGCTGGGAGAGAGAGGGTTGGCACGTTAGCTGGGGGAGGGTTGGCACGTTAGCTGGGGAGAGAGGTTTGGCACGTTAGCTGGGAGAGAGAGGGTTGGCACGTTAGCTGGGGGAGGGTTGGCACGTTAGCTGGGGAGAGAGGTTTGGCACGTTAGCTGGGAGAGAGAGGGTTGGCACGTTAGCTGGGGGAGAGAGGGTTGGCACATTAGCTGGGGAGAGAGGTTTGGCACGTTAGCTGGGAGAGAGAGGGTTGGCACGTTAGCTGGGGGAGGGTTGGCACGTTAGCTGGGGAGAGAGGTTTGGCACGTTAGCTGGGAGAGAGAGGGTTGGCACGTTAGCTGGGGGAGAGAGGGTTGGTACGTTAGCTGGGGAGAGGGTTGGCACATTAGCTGGGGAGAGAGGGTTGGCACGTTAGCTGGGAGAGAGAGAGGGTTGGCACGTTAGCTAGGAGGGAGAGGGTTGACACGTTAGCTGGGAGAGAGAGAGGGTTGGCACGTTAGCTGGGAGAGAGAGAGAGGGGGTTGGCGAGTTAGTTGGGGGAGAGAGGGTTGGCACGTTAGCTATGGGAGAGAGGGTTGGCACGTTAGCTGGGAGAGAGAGAGAGAAGGTTGGCGAGTTAGTTGGGGGAGAGAGGGTTGGCACGTTAGCTAGGGGAGAGAGGGTTGGCACGTTAGCTGAGAGAGAGAGAGGGTCGGCAGGTTAGCTGGGAGAGGGTTGGTACGTTAGCAGGGGGAGAGAGAGGGTTGGCACGTTAGCTCGGAGAGAGAGAGGGTTGGCACGTTAGCTGGGAGAGAGAGGGTTGGCACGTTAGCTGGAAGAGAGAGAGAGGGTTGGCACGTTAGCTGGGAGAGAGAGAGGGTTGGCACGTTAGCTGGGAGAGGGTTGGCACGTTAGCTGGGAGAGAGAGAGAGGGTTGGCACGTTAGTTGGGGGAGAGAGGGTTGGCGCGTTCGCTGGGAGAGATAGAGGTTGGCAAAATGATTGTTGCCATGGATAAAAAAAAATTACTTTCAGTTATTAGCCGTTAAAACAAATGAACAAAACAAACTTAAGTTTGAAGAACGTTCATTTTCATCGTGAAAACATTTACACTGGCTTAAAAATACTGTGATCGTAGTTTAAAGAATTAATGTATGTTTTCTTAGATTTTTCAGTGGTCTGTATCATTTCTTAAAGATAAACATTCGTGGAAACAATAGGGAATGACATAATGAACTCCTTTCCAATGGAGAACTCATGATCAAATGTTACCATTGAAAACCTGTTGATCTATCTTAATTAATCTAAGTAGCTTAATTATGTCGGTTCCACACATACAGACGAACTTAGCTCAAGCAAGGGGTTCGAACATTCGTCGTCTGTCTAGCAAGGGGTTCGAACATTCGTCGTCTGTCTAGCAAGGGGTTCGAACATTCGTCGTCTTTCTAGCAAGGGGTTCGAACATTCGTCGTCTGTCTAGCAAGGGGTTCGAACATTCGTCGTCTGTCTATCAAGGGGTTCGAAAATTTGTCGTCTGTCTAGCAAGGGGTTCGAACATTCGTCGTCTGTCTAGCAAGGGGTTCGAACATTCGTCGTCTGTCTATCAAGGGGTTCGAAAATTCGTCGTCTGTCTAGCAAGGGGTTCGAACATTCGTCGTCTGTCTAGCAAGGGGTTCGAAAATTCGTCGTCTGTCTAGCAAAGGGTTCGAACATTCGTCGTCTGTCTAGCAAGGGGTTCGAACATTAGTCGTCTGTCTTGCATGATGGTTGTGCTTACCTTCTGGCACCATAGGCGGTACCAAGAGCTTCTGATCGATATGTGCCCAATCGATTGGTCTAAAGAATTGGTGATTGAGAACTTTCAAGCTGCCAGATTTGCCGTAGCCGAGCCTCTTGGCGGGGTTCTTGTTTAACAGCTGCCATTGAAATAATTGTAGTAGCAGTTGTATGGACCGACAACAGAGGACAGACGACAGAGGATAGGCAACAGATAAGAGACGACTGAAGATCTTTCCAATTTGTGATTGACGTTTTTTGGTGTAAAACGCTTGAAAGTTTGCAACGATGTTTGGTTAACATGATGAAACTAAGTAAAAATCCTTTTTATAACTCAGTGAACCCCCCCCCTACAATAACCAGCAACACAGTGACTCCTCTCCCCCCCCCCCACACACAATAGCCAGTTACACAGTGACCGCCCTACACAATAACCAGATACACTGTGACCCCCTTCCCCACACACAATAACCAGCTACACAGTGACCCCCAGACAATAACCAGCTACACAGTAACACCCCCCCCCCCACAACAACTAGCGAGACGGAACTCACAGCCCTACAGAAGCTGATAGCCCACATGTTGTCCCTCTGTGTCTTGTACACCCCACCCCACACACACACAACAACTAGCGAGACAGAACTCACAGCCCTACAGAAGCTGATAGCCCAAATGTTGTCCCTCTGTGTCTTGTACACCACTCCCCCCCCCCTACACAACAACTAGCGAGACAGAACTCACAGCCCTACAGAAGCTGATAGCCCACATGTTGTCCCTCTGTGTCTTGTACACCCCCCCCCCCACACACACACAACAACTAGCGAGACAGAACTCACAGCCCTACAGAAGCTGATAGCCCACATGTTGTCCCTCTGTCTCTTGTACACCACTCCCCCCCCCCCACACACACACAACAACAACTAGCGCGACAGAACACACAGCCCTACAGAAGCTGATAGCCCAAATGTTGTCCCTCTGTGTCTTGTACACCCCCCCCCCCACACACACACAACAACAACTAGCGAGACAAAACTCACAGCCCTACAGAAGCTGATAGCCCAAATGTTGTCCCTCTGTGTCTTGTACACCCCCCCCCCACACAACAACTAGCGAGACAGAACTCACAGCCCTACAGAAGCTGATAGCCCAAATGTTGTCCCTCTGTGTCTTGTACACCCCCCCCCCACACACACACAACAACAACTAGCGAGACAAAACTCACAGCCCTACAGAAGCTGATAGCCCAAATGTTGTCCCTTTGTGTCTTGTACACCCCCCCCCCCTACACAACAACTAGCGAGAGAGAACTCACTGCCATACAGAAGCTGATAGCGCACATGTTGTCCCTCTATGTCTTGTACACCCCCCCTCACACACACAACAACTAGCGAGACAGAACTCACAGCCCTACAGAAGCTGATAGCCCAAATGTTGTCCCTTTGTGTCTTGTACACCCCCCCCCCCTACACAACAACTAGCGAGAGAGAACTCACTGCCATACAGAAGCTGATAGCGCACATGTTGTCCCTCTATGTCTTGTACACCCCCCCCTCACACACACAACAATTAGCGAGACAGAACTCACAGCCCTACAGAAGCTGATAGCCCAAATGTTGTCCCTTTGTGTCTTGTACACCCCCCCCCCCCACACACACACAACAATTAGCGAGACAGAACTCACAGCCCTACAGAAACTGATAGCCCAAATGTTGTCCCTCTGTGTCTTGTACACCACTCCCCCCTACACAACAACTAGCGAGACAGAACTCACAGCTCTACAGAAGCTGATAGCCCAAATGTTGTTCCTCTGTGTCTTGTACACCACCACCCCCCCACCCCCCACACACACACAACAACAACTAGCGAGACAGAACTCACAGCCCTACAGAAGCTGATAGCCCAAATGTTGTCCCTCTGTGTCTTGTACACCACTCCCCCCCCCACACACACAACTAGCGCGACAGAACTCACAGCCCTACAGAAGCTGATAGCCCACATGTTGTCCCTCTGTGTCTTGTACACCCCCCCCCCCCCTCACACACACACAACAACTAGCGAGACAGAACTCACAGCCCTACAGAAGCTGATAGCCCAAATGTTGTCCCTCTGTGTCTTATACACCACTCCCCCCTACACAACAACTAGCGAGACAGAACTCACAGCTCTACAGAAGCTGATAGCCCAAATGTTGTCCCTCTGTGTCTTGTACACCCCCCCCCCTACACAACAATTAGCGAGACAGAACTCACAGCCCTACAGAAGCTGATAGCCCAAATGTTGTCCCTCTGTGTCTTGTACACCCCCCCCCCCACACACACACAACAACTAGCGAGACAGAACTCACAGCCCTACAGAAGCTGATAGCCCGAATGTTGCCCCTCTGTGTCTTGTACACCCCCCCCCCCCACACACAACAACTAGCGAAACAGAACACACAGCCCTACAGAAGCTGATAGCCCAAATGTTGTCCCTCTGTGTCTTGTACACCGATCCCCCCCCCCCCCACACAACAACTAGCGAGACAGAACTCACAGCCCTACAGAAGCTGATAGCCCAAATGTTGTCCCTCTGTGTCTTGTACACCCCCCCCCCACACACACACACAACAACAACTAGCGAGACAGAACTCACAGCCCTACAGAAGCTGATAGCCTAAATGTTGTCCCTCTGTGTCTTGTACACCACTCTCCCCCCCCAAACACACACACAACTAGCGCGACAGAACTCACAGCCCTACAGAAGCTGATAGCCCAAATGTTGTCCCTCTGTGTCTTGTACACCCCCCCTACACAACAACCAGCGAGAGAGAACTCACAGCCCTACAGAAGCTGATAGCCCAAATGTTGTCCCTCTGTGTCTTGTACACCCCCCCTACACAACAATTAGCGAGACAGAACTCACAGCCCTACAGAAGCTGATAGCCCAAATGTTGTCCCTCTGTGTCTTGTACACCACTCCCCCCCCCCCACACAACAACTAGCGAGACAGAACTCACAGCCCTACAGAAGCTGATAGCCCAAATGTTGTCCCTCTGTGTCTTGTACACCACTCCCCCCCACACACACACACAACTAGCGCGACAGAACTCACAGCCCTACAGAAGCTGATAGCCCACATGTTGTCCCTCTGTGTCTTGTACACCCCCCCCCCACACACAACAACAACTAGCGAGACAGAACTCACAGCCCTACAGAAGCTGATAGCCCAAATGTTGTCCCTCTGTGTCTTGTACACCACCCCCCCCCCTACACAACAATTAGCGAGACAGAACTCACAGCCCTACAGAAGCTGATAGCCCAAATGTTGTCCCTTTGTGTCTTGTACACCACTCCCCCCCCCCACACAACAACTAGCGAGACAGAACTCACAGCCCTACAGAAGCTGATAGCCCAAATGTTGTCCCTCTGTGTCTTGTACACCACTCCCCCCCCCCCCACACACACACAACTAGTGCGACAGAACTCACAGCCCTACAGAAGCTGATAGCCCAAATGTTGTCCCTCTGTGTCTTGTACACCACTCCCCCCCCCACACACACACAACTAGTGCGACAGAACTCACAGCCCTACAGAAGCTGATAGCCCAAATCTTGTCCCTCTGTGTCTTGTACACCACTCCCCCCCCACACAACAACTAGCGAGACAGAACTCACAGCTCTACAGAAGCTGATAGCCCAAATGTTGTCCATCTGTGTCTTGTACACCACCACCCCCCCCCCCCCACACACACACACAACAACAACTAGCGAGACAGAACTCACAGCCCTACAGAAGCTGATAGCCCAAATGTTGTCCCTATGTGTCTTGTACACCCCCCCCCCCCCTACACAACAACTAGCGAGAGAGAACTCATAGCCCTACAGAAGCTGATAGCCCAAATGTTGTTCCTCTGTGTCTTGTACACCACTCCCCCCCCCCACACAACAACTAGCGAGACAGAACTCACAGCCCTACAGAAGCTGATAGCCCAAATGTTGTCCCTCTGTGTCTTGTACACCCCCCCCCCCCCCACACACAACAACTAGCGAGACAGAACTCACAGCCCTACAGAAGCTGATAGCCCAAATGTTGTCCCTCTGTGTCTTGTACACCCCCCCCCCTCACACACACACAACAACTAGCGAGACAGAACTCACAGCCCTACAGAAGCTGATAGCCCAAATGTTGTCCCTCTGTGTCTTGTACACCCCCCCCCCCTACACAACAATTAGCGAGACAGAACTCACAGCCCTACAGAAGCTGATAGCCCAAATGTTGTCCCTCTGTGTCTTGTACAACCCCCCCCCCCCACACACACACAACAACTAGCGAGACAGAACTCACAGCCCTACAGAAGCTGATAGCCCAAATGTTGCCCCTCTGTGTCTTGTACACCCCCCCCCCCCCACACACAACAACTAGCGAGACAGAACTCACAGCTCTACAGAAGCTGATAGCCCAAATGTTGTCCCTCTGTGTCTTGTACACCCCCCCCCCCCACACACACAACAACTAGCGAGACAGAACTCACAGCCCTACAGAAGCTGATAGCCCAAATGTTGTCCCTCTGTGTCTTGTACACCCCCCCCCCCCACACACAACAACTAGCGAGACAGAACTCACAGCTCTACAGAAGCTGATAGCCCACATGTTGTCCCTCTGTGTCTTGTACACCCCCCCCCCTACACAACAACTAGCGAGAGAGAACTCACAGCCCTACAGAAGCTGATAGCCCACATGTTGTCCCTCTGTGTCTTGTACACCCCCCCACACACACACACACAACAACTAGCGAGACAGAACTCACAGCCCTACAGAAGCTGATAGCCCAAATGTTGTCCCTCTGTGTCTTGTACACCGGCTCGCTGGCCAGGATCGAGCTGATGACCAGCATCAGGTTGGTGCCGTCAAACGGGAGCTGAGGAGACAGGGGACATAATCGGTTGTGGAGACAGGGGACATAATCGGTTGAGGAGACAGGGCACATAATCGGTTGAGGAGACAGGGGACATAATCGGTTGAGGAGACAGGGGACATAATCGGTTGAGGAGACAGGGCACATAATCGGTTGAGGAGACAGGGGACATAATCGGTTGAGGAGACAGGGGACATAATCGGTTGTGGAGACAGGGCACATAATCGGTTGAGAAGACAGGGGACATAATCGGTTGAGGAGACAGGGGACATAATCACCTGTTATTTAAGATTCTAAACCTCAGTCAAATCTCGGTTAATCTAGGCCCACCATTCAGCTAAAACAGCGGATGACCCCCAGTAAACCAGTCAGCCCCAGTCATACAATAACCCTGACGTATACCCAGTGATCCCCGGACAGAGAGGCCCCAGTGAGAAGGACACACAGTGATCCCCGGACAGAGAGGCCCCAGTGAGAAGGACACACAGTGATCCCCGACAGAGAGGCCCCAGTGAGAAGGACACACAGTGATCCCCGGACAGAGAGGCCCCAGTGAGGCCCAGAAGGACACCAAGTGACCCCCGGACAGACACAACACCGTGAAAGTAATGGCGGCTGACCACACATAATGCCTTTAAATGTCACATCAACTCTACTTGATCTACTTTATAGACCGCTCGCCTAGCGACCCCTAGACTTACCACCCTGTACATCATGTAGTAGACTAAGACCCCCAGTGACCCCTAGACTTACCACCCTGTACATAATGTAGTAGACTAAGACCCCCAAGTGACCCCTAGACTTACCACCCTGTACATAATGTAGTAGACTAAGACCCCAATGACCCCTAGACTTACCACCCTGTACATCATGTAGTAGACTAAGACCCCCAGTGACCCCTAGACTTACCACCCTGTACATAATGTAGTAGACTAAGACCCCCAAGTGACCCCTAGACTTACCACCCTGTACATCATGTAGTAGACTAAGACCCCCAAGTGACCCCTAGACTTACCACCCTGTACATCATGTAGTAGACTAAGACCCCCAGTGACCCCTAGACCCCCAATGACCCCTAGACTTACCACCCTGTACATCATGTAGTAGACTAAGACCCCCAGTGACCCCTAGACCCCCAATGACCCCTAGACTTACCACCCTGTACATCATGTAGTAGACTAAGACCCCCAAGTGACCCCTAGACTTACCACCCTGTACATCATGTAGTAGACTAAGACCCCCAGTGACCCCTAGACCCCCAATGACCCCTAGACTTACCACCCTGTACATCATGTAGTAGACTAAGACCCCCAGTGACCCCTAGACCCCCAATGACCCCTAGACTTACCACCCTGTACATCATGTAGTAGACTAAGACCTCCAGTGACCCCTAGACCCCCAATGACCCCTAGACTTACCACCCTGTACATCATGTAGTAGACTAAGACCCCAATGACCCCTAGACTTACCACCCTGTACATCATGTAGTAGACTAAGACCCCAGTGACCCCTAGACTTACCACCCTGTACATCATGTAGTAGACTAAGACCCCAATGACCCCTAGACTTACCACCCTGTACATCATGTAGTAGACTAAGACCCCCAAGTGACCCCTAGACTTACCACCCTGTACATCATGTAGTAGACTAAGACCCCCAAGTGACCCCTAAACTTACCACCCTGTACATCATGTAGTAGACTAAGACCCCCAAGTGACCCCTAGACTTACCACCCTGTACATCATGTAGTAGACTAAGACCCCCAAGTGACCCCTAAACTTACCACCCTGTACATCATGTAGTAGACTAAGACCCCCAATGACCCCTAGACTTACCACCCTGTACATCATGTAGTAGACTAAGACCCCCAATGACCACCAGTCGATAGCTGATGTATAGATAGAGCCCAGCACAATCTGAGGAGAGTTAATACAGGTCAGATGTAGGTAACGTCACGTTACAGATGTAGGTGACGTCACGCTACAGATGTAGGTGACGTCACGCTACCGCTACAGATGTAGGTGACGTCACGCTACAGATGTAGCTGACGTCACGCTACAGGTGTAGGTGACGTCACGTTACAGATGTAGGTGACGTCACGTTACAGATGTAGGTGACGTCACGCTACAGATGTAGCTGACGTCACGTTACAGATGTAGCTGACGTCAAATGACATGTGTAGCTGGTGTCCAGTTGGGTAGCATGGGTGGTTGGGCGGAGTGAGGGGGGGTAGCCGCCCCGGGCGCTGACCCTAGGGGGGGCGCCAAAAGGGGTAGAAAAAATGTAAAGCTCATTTTAAGCTGCAGTTTTGAATTATAAACAAAGTTAAGAATGTGTAACTGTAAAACATATACCTTTCAGAAACAGTGACCGGCAAAAACCGCCGGCAAAAACCGATTTCCAGTTTTTCCTAGATAGGAAGGGGGGGGGGGGGGGGGGGGCAAGGGAGGGCACTTTTTCGCTGAATAAAGTCGGAAGGCTTCACACTGGAATGGTGAGTTAATAAACTTATAAAAGAAACCAATTGTATTAAAGCGTATTATACGATTGTATGAAAGAATAAAAGTAGTGACGTTAAAATCCTCTCTACCGACGTTGTAGCTTTACTCAAGATGGCGGGGACGCGTGGGGGGGCGTTTTTTTTTTTTTGCCAATAAAAATTGCAAGGATTTTAACTTATTTGTTGAGAAGATAACTCTTTTAAAAAACTTAGAAAATAAACCAATTTTATTAAAGCATATTGTGTAGCAGTAAAATAAGAAAAAGGTGGTTGGTGGGGGGGGGCGCTTTTTTGCCAAGGCAAATTGGAAGGATTTATACTGGAACGGTGAGTAGATAAAGCGCTTAATACTTAGAATAGAAACCAATTGTATTAACGTGTAATGTACTATTTTACTAGCCAGTTTAGTTAAGAAATGACGCGACTAATTCTTTATACGATTCTTATGATTCTCTTACCTGCTTAATGATGTTATTTACTGTCTTTCTGATATTGTGCCCTAATTACCACCTTTTCGATTATCTTAAAAACGTATTATCCAACTATGTAACATATCATCAACAAAGTTTATTCCGAATATAGAACATAAAAGACTGGCCTAAACGAATTCGCGTCTGCTACAAACTTCGCTCTAAACTCTGATGAGAATATTTTTTCTTACAATACTAATCTGTAATTGAAAGAATGGCGCATGTTAAAGAGAATTTATTGGCGTTGAGCAAAGTTTCAGGGAACGAAAATGTAAATCAAAAGCGTAATTATAAAATCTTTTCCGGACTGTCGTATACACACACATATATATATATATATATATATATATATATATATATATATATATATATATATATATATATATATATATATATATATATATATATATATATATATGCTGGTAGTGTGTCAGTCATTCCGTCATCGCTATAGATTTTAAGAACTTTAAAGCAAACACATATCATGTCGTGCTTTTTACTTGCATTGCAGTGTCTTATTTTACGTGGTAAGGTAGGGTTTATTTATATGAGGACTAAAAAATTGTGTATATTTGGCACTGTTTTTACTCTTTAGCATAACGTGAATAAAATATTAAATAAACGCACATTGCTAAAACATACTAAATGGATCAATGTCAAATAATATTTTCGCTTTGATTACCAGAGCAATCGGATACATTTTAATAACAGTAGGGTAAAAAAACTAATTAATTAAAATCTTTTAAAATTTTGCCAGGGGAGGTAATTTAAAAAGAAATTCAACCCACGCTAATAAATAAATGTGAATGTAAATTCTGCGGACGTGGAAGAGGACATTATTTTTAGAATATTATATTTAGGATGGATTGAAAAAAAAAGGCACTGTGGTAGGTAAAACATGGATATTTTAAATATTGCCTTTTGTTTATTTTATGAATAAGTTGGGGTATTATAGTAGTTAACAAAGTTCAATCAGGCGGTTCCGCCGGCGTCCCGGCCGGTTCCGATTTAGCGCCCCGGGCTAGACGGTGAGCACAAGTGTTTAGGTTTGCATTTAAGTTGTGTTTGTGTTATGCCTTTGCGTTTTCGTTTTCGTTTGTTTTTTGCGTTTGCATTTGTGTTTGCATTGCGTTTGTTTTTTTTCTATTGTGTTTGCGAGTTGCGTTTGTGTTTATGTTTTTTTTTTTTTTGCGTTGGCATTTTCATTGGGTTTGTGTTTTCTTTTGTGTTTGTGTTTAGTTTCGACCTGTTCCCAAGTTGGTACATTTGAAAAAGATTCACCGTGGTGGAGCACGGGTATGCAGCTAGTATATATATATATATATATATATATATATATATATATATATATATATATATATATATATATATATATGGGGGGAGCCAAATTGAAAGTTCGAGGCCGGGAGGGGTCACTACGCCTCTGCTAGCGTCACGTGAAACGTGGTGTTGACAACTCTGTTACCTCTGGAGCGAAGTAGGTCAGTGAGGTTGTATCAGGGATTTTCTCTTTGGAGTTACATTCGAAGATGACCAGTCCTAGATCAGCTATAAATAGATGACCTTCCTTGTCGATCATGATGTTTCTAGCGTTGATGGCTCTGACAAGATTTACAAAGATGGCACGTATTAAAATTTTAAAAGTTCTGAACATGTTAATCATACACAACCTTAACTAAATAGACATTAACAGATCAGGCTGCCTGTAGCTTTTACACCAACCTACCTAGGGACGAACACACCAACCTACCTGAGGACGAACACACCAACCTACCTGTGGATTAAGACACCAACCTACCAGAAGATCACAGCAACCTACGTGAGGACGCACACATCAACTTAGAAGACACCAACCTACCTAGGGACGAACACACCAACCTACCTGTAGATTAAGACACCAACCTACCAGAAGATCACAGCAACCTACGTGAGGACGCACACATCAACTTAGAAGACACCAACCTACCTGTGAATTAAGACACCAACCTACCTGTAGATTAAGACACCAACCTACCAGAAGATCACAGCAACCTACCTGTGGATGATCGTCATTCGATGTAGATAAACTATAGCATGAGACAGCTCTGCTGCGTAGAACCTGTGGAAAATATGTTTGTATAACACCATTTTGTCCCTTAAGCTGGGTATTTGATTAAACTGAGTGAATGTGTGTTTGTATAACATCATCTTGTCCCTTATGCTGGGTATTTGATTAAGCTGAGTGAATGTGTGTTTGTATTTGATTCAGCTGAGTGAATGTGTGTTTGTATAACATCATCTTGTCCCTTATGCTGGGTATTTGATTCAGCTGAGTGAATGTGTGTTTGTATAACATCATCTTGTCCCTTATGCTGGGTATTTGATTCAGCTGAGTGAATGTGTGTTTGTATAACACCATCTTGTCCCTTATGCTGGGTATTTGATTCAGCTGAGTGAATGTGTGTTTGTATTTGATTCAGCTGAGTGAATGTATGTTTGTATAACATCATCTTGTCCCGTATGCTGGGTATTTGATTCAGCTGAGTGAATGTGTCAAATCAAATACCCAGCATAAGGGACAAGATGATGTTATACAAACACACATTATGTTATACATAACACCATCTTGTCCCTTATGCTGGGTATTTGATTCAGCTGAGTGAATGTGTGTTTGTATAACATCATCTTGTCCCTTATGCTGATAAATAACAATGGTCATAGTGCTGTCTTCTTCGTTCTTAATTTTTTAGTGTTGGAAGGTATCGAGCCTTATCTGCCAGAAGGTTTGAACTCGAGACTTTTTTCGAATTTATCAGCCATGAGCTATTGCCGACTCGACCACGCCTCCATCACAATTAAGGATACGTGTCAACTGGTTATGCGCCATTGAGGCCATTGACTCTGATTTCAGCCTGCTTTTCTTTTTGGATTTGCTTCCATAGCCTTTGTCCAAACAAGAACAAACTACAAGGCAGCAGATGTTTGATTTTGGAGTTGTCTCTCCTAGAAGAGTGGCTGTCCCCAGCTAACGAGCCTCATCTGCCCGAGGGTTCGAACTCGAGACTTTTCGGTTTAGCAACCATAAGCTTTACCGACTCGACCACGCCGAACCCTAATAGTGCTGTCAACGTTCGTTGTTTCTTGAGTACTTGGTTTTGTTGGCTTGCCTAATGTGCTGCCGAGAAAAGATTGTACTAATGGTTGTCAAAACAGCAAGCTACTTGTGACAACTTCGAAATTACCTGACGTCATCAGTAGAAAATTCCCTGCTTTGAATCAGATCCTCCATGGTACAGCTGGCCTGGTATGGCGAGACTAGGTAGTAGCCAGTCTGTGAACATTTAACCCTATACAGTTTGTGAACATTTAACCCTCTACAGTCTGTGAACATTTAACCCTCTACAGTCTGTGAACATTTAACCCTATACAGTCTGTGAACATTTAACCCTCTACAGTCTGTGAACATTTAACCCTCTACAGTCTGTGAACATTTAACCCTATACAGTTTGTGAACATTTAACCCTCTACAGTCTGTGAACATTTAACCCTCTACAGTCTGTGAACATTTAACCCTCTACAGTCTGTGAACATTTAACCCTATACAGTTTGTGAACATTTAACCCTCTACAGTCTGTGAACATTTAACCCTATACAGTTTGTGAACATTTAACCCTCTACAGTCTGTGAACATTTAACCCTCTACAGTCTGTGAACATTTAACCCTATACAGTTTGTGAACATTTAACCCTCTACAGTCTGTGAACATTTAACCCTCTACAGTCTGTGAACATTTAACATTAATTTCATAGATTGTGAGAAGGCCTTTGATAGTCTGGATAGACAGTCAATGTGAAAATTGTCGAGACACTAAGGGGTGCCACAGAAAATAGTCAACATTATTATGTCTTCATATGAAGGTCTGAAATGTAGAGTAGTGCATGGCCAACAGAGGCCTTCCCAGTACAGACCGGAGTAAGGCAGGGTTGCCTAGTTTCACCATTCCTGTTCCTGCTGGCCATAGACTGGATTATGAAGGTGACAACAGAGAAAATGCGAAACGGTATACAGTGGACACTGTGGAGCCAGCTGGATGACCTGGACTTTGCTGACGACCTGACCCTTCTTTCTCACACACAACAGCAAATGCAAGATAAAACCGACAAACTAGTAAAACCTGTTTTACTCTATGGAGCTGAGACATGGAGAATAACTGCTATAAATAAAAAGAAAATACAATCATTTATAAATGCATGCCTCAGAAAGATCCTGTGAATTTGCTGGCCTAAGACCATCAGAAATGATGTTCTATGGCAACGGACAAATCAACTGCCAGCTGAAGTAGAGATCCTTCAAAGAAAATGGAAATGGTTTGGCCACACACTCAGGAAGCCTGTATCCAGCATAACAAGACAGGCCCTAACCTGGAATCCACAGGGCAGGAGGAGAAGAGGCAGACCAAGAAAGACCTCGAGACGTGACCTGGAAGAAGACACCAAGAAGATTGGATACACTTGGGGACAGTTGGAGAGACTAGCCCAGGACGGAGGCGCCTGAAAAGCTCTTGTAAGCGGCCTATGTCCCAAGAGGGGCGACAGGCAAACCTAACCTAACCTAACCTCAGTAAAGTTCTGTCAAATGTCGCAGATTGAAAAGCTGACAAGTTTAATGGTTTATGTTACATTAGGCTAGTTTACGTTTGTCTGAAAGGCCGATAGCATGGTAAGAAAAAACGGTTGATCCTTAAGTAGTGTCAAACATTTCACTTCATTTGTGATTCGCTTAGGGCCAGCAGACTCGGCGCTTTTCTTCACAACTTTGATCCACAGCCACTCCTTCGTGTTGCGGCGGCAAGCTGCATACACCTATATATATATATATATATATATATATATATATATATATATATATATATATATATATATATATATATATATATATATATATATATATATATATATATATATACAATGTATATGCAATGTTAAATAATATGTAGATCAGGGGTTCCCAACCCTGTGCCCGCGGGCGCCATGGCGCCCGCCGAACGATTCGTATGTGCCCGCCTCTCACTATTCGACAGAGACAGAATTTTTTTTCATAAACATTATTGAAAGGTTGAAGGAGATGGAAATCGAAAGTTTGAGGGGGGGGGTGCAAATCGAAAGTTTTGTCCCTGGGTGACGGGAAGGGTCGCTACGCCTCTGGAAGGAGTTTGTCGATTTAAAATAGGTGGTGCCCGCCACCCTACCGATATTTTAGAATGTGCTCTAGAGTAAAAAAAAAAAGGTTGGGAACCCCTGATGTATATGATCGCCAATAATATTAAAACCTATTTTGAAGTCTTACAAATTTCGTACAACACAAAGTTCAACCTAAATTTTAATTGAATTATATATAATCCACTTACCACGGCCTAATCCACTTACCACGGCCTAATCCACTTACCACGGCCTAATCCACTTACCACGGCCTAATCCACTTACCACGTCCTAATCCACTTACCACGGCCTAATCCACTTACCACGGCCTAATCCACTTACCACGTCCTAATCCACTTACCACGGCCTAATTCACTTACCACGGCGTAGTCCAGCTCCCTGAAAACGTAGACGAAGTGGAAGACATCTCGAACGTGCAGCATCTTGCCTGTCGTGATCTTTTCACTCTGGGGGAGGGGTCTCGAGATCTGGGGGTGGGGCCTCGGCTCCGGCTGGACGAACTTTGTTTTCTGGGCAAGATGGAACTGATTTATCATCACGTGACCGTGAAGACGTCATGATGTGCCATAATGTGACACTTCTAGTCGTCCTTTACGTGACAATTTTTGTAACCATTTTTTAGCGCAATTTCCATACTGACAATTGCGATTATTAATTCGTTATTTCTGGGGATGGATGGATGTGTGTCCGCAGCTTTAAGTCGTATCTCCTCCTCAACGAAGCAATATTGAGGACTAGATTCAAAAGCAAATATGTTAAGCAAGTTTCGAGGATGATTGTGGGCCAAAAAAATTCCCGGAATCCCTTCCTGGATTTCCCGGAAAAGCCAAAAAACCTCGAAAAATGCAGTTTTTGGCCCATGTCTCGGCAACCAGACCACTTAGCGACTTGAAACATTTACCAATCGATTCCTGCCATAATTTAAAACAATATTGCCGAAGAAAGTTTTCAAAAATATCCTTTCGTTCGGTCATAAAAAATTAATTAAGGAAATTGCGCTTAAATTGTCACTAGTTTAAGGTAATGTGACGATTTTCGTGAGGAGTCTTTAAGGAAATTTTTACATTGATCAAATAGGTTATTGCGTAAGGAATCAATTTTTTTAAGAACTTTTGGCACGTCGTTCGTTGTAAAGATGTGTAACAGTGTGTGACAGTGTATGACAGTGTGTGACAGTGTTTCACAATGTCTGAAGGAGTAACGACGACAACAAACTGTCAACACTAAACTCACAAAAAATTTCTCCGTAAAGAACGGGAAGTCTTCGAATGTCATGGATAAAACAGTTCCATCAAATGAAAACCTGTGGATATATATATATATATATATATATATATATATATATATATATATATATATATATATATATATATATATATATATATATATATATATATATATAAATAGAGAGAGCTGATTTATGTGAAGATATATAGAGAAAGATAGGTAGATAACTATGAAAAAGAGGAAACGAAATTAATTATTTTTATAGTCGTGGTACTTGACAAAATAACAAATTCTGACAAAATAACAAATGCTGAAAAAATAACAAAAAAAAAAACAACAACATTCACCACTTTAACACACACACAAAACTTACCCAAGGTCAGTGAGAGCTTTTGTCTCGCGACAAAGCTCAAATTCCAGTGACGTCATCGATACATTGGACATGATACGTGCTGATCGCTGAAAATTCATTTTAATTTTTTAAGGCCCTATACAAAACTTTTTTTTTCAATTTTAATGTTTTATACAAAACAATTTTGTTTTTCAATTTTAATGTTTTATACAAAAAAAAATTTCAATTTTAATGTTTTATACAAAACTATTTTTTTTCAATTTTAATGTTTTATATAAGACTATTTTTTCCAATTTTTTAAATTTGAATGTTTTATACAAAACTATTTTTTTTTCAATTATAATGTTTTATACAAAACTATTGTTTTTCATTTTTTTTTCAATTTTAATGTTTTATACAAAAAAAAATGTTCAAGTTTTTCAATTTTAATGTTTTATGCTAAACTTTTTTTTTCAATTTTAATGTTTTATGCAAAACTTTTTTTTTCAATTTTAATGTTTTTATAATAAAAAAAATTAGACATTAATAGAGAATTGAAGTTTTTATATTGTTCTTAGTCATTTTGAGATGAGTCATTCGGAACACACCAAAAAGATATAGAGTTCTTTCGTCGACATGAAGCTAGTTGCAAACGTCAGAGACTTGGTCGAACAGGAAGTTTTCACCAAGGAAACACAGCATTAGTGCAATCATTATATGAAGTCGCATTAGAGAAAATCTCATCAAACCCTGCATATTGAACATGCAACAAATACCTATTTCCAATAATACTATTTAGCGGCGTATAGCACACATCTCCGTCTTCTCCGTAGATGTTAAAGAACAAATATTGAATGAAATCAAGCTTTCGCCAAGTGTTTGCCTTTCAAGTTGATGAGTCAACTGACGTGAGTTCGTGTTCGCACTTGCTTGTCTTAAAATAAAAATTATTCATTCTGATAATAGCAAAGAGGAGTTTCTATTTTGCAAGCAAGATTCTCCCGACTCTTTTGCTAGACGCACTTAATTTGATAGTAAAAGTCGTAAATTATATTAAACTAGCCGTCCCGGCCAGGCCTTGCTCTGGCTTCTGTGAAAAACCTTTCTGTTAAAGACCATTACCTGTGTGTTTAGTAATCATCATAAACCCGGCATTGCCCACCCAAACCACAACCAACCAAAACCAAAACAACAAAACGCAAACATAACGCTATCACAATTACAAATACAAACGAAAACAAAAACCTAACAACAAACCCAACCACAGCCACAAACACCAATACAAACACAAAGAAAAAACAAACAAAAAAGCAAACGAAAACAAAAACCTAACAACAAACCCAACCACAACCACAAACACCAATACGAACACAAAGAAAAAAAACAAACGAAAAAGCAAACGAAAACAAACCAAATCCAAACGCAAAACCAACCACAAACACAAATACAAACCCAAAGAAAAAAACACAAACGAAAAAAGAAAGAACAAAAACGAACCAAATCAAAACGCAACCACTAACGCGAACATAAACGCAAAGAGCTCACAGTCTAGCCCGGGGCAGAATCGCCTGTTTCAGCTTAATAAACTACTATAGTACCCCAACTTATTCATAGTCTTTTGCCCTCACTTAAACGAACGTAGGTGCCAAACCAAACCAAATGAACAATTATAATACTCCAAGCTTATCCGTAAAATGCCTACAACATTTGCACTTGATCAATCCCCGCTAATTATGTAATTATTTTTTTCCCAACACCAAAACAAAGTAATAAAAGTAAATTCTTTTCCACTAATGCAATGTTTTATAAAGGGCAGTAATTGTGTTTTCCTAATTTATCAAAGGGAAGTAAGTGCTAAAGGACTAAATATAAATAATTTTCAGACATAATTAGAATTTATGTAAAAGATTATATTTCTTTTAAAATTGTGTTTAATGAACATGCCGACAATTATTACTATCAGTATGAAAAATGAAAATTATTTCCCACACATACAGTAGTAATTTTTTAACTCAGATTAAATTTAGACCTTGAGCACGATAATAATCTAACACTTAAATCCATCGAAGTATCCACGACAAACACATTTATTTTTACATACAGAATTGAGCTTTATATATTAGATCTGCAGCCCTATTCACCCGTCTGTTTAAAGACCTGTGCAAAGAGACGAATTCTCCTTTTCCTCAGTACAGTACGCTGGCTGTCAAAAGGAAATGTTGTGAATCGCGTTTTTAATTGAAAGATTAAAGGTTGTTCTTGGAAGTGCAAGGGAAATAAGACCTTTTGATATACTTTAACGAAGAATAGTGGTTGGAGAGACCAGCATACCTAGCAGATATATTGGAACAGCAGAATAGGCTTAAGCTGAGGAGTCGGGGAAAAGAAAACGAATATTAGAATCTCTTTTCGTAATAATCTCGGGGTATTTTCATCACGTACCGTGTTTAATGAAAACCTGCTCACACAATTTTCGTGTAGTTCATAACCAAACGTGAAATTGATTGTCTTTCAAGTTTTAGTTCCTTTTGTGTCTACATATTTAAGAACTCAACCGCGAATTTTGAGGCTAGTTAAGTTAAAGCATAAAATTTCACCATTCGCATTAAAAACAGTTATCAAAAGTAATTTAAATTAAAATTATACTAGAAAATCATATTAATCCTTAATAATTTCAACTTTTTAATTCTATAGAGTCGTGGGTGACTTACTTTGTATAAAAGGGGGTCGCCACTCGCAAAAATTTGGGAACCTATGGTTTAGTGCCTTAGGAAATTTTAAAATTAAAAGTAGGCATTTGAAATGCTTATTTTGAAAGAAATCCCCAAAAGAAATCTCCAAAAGAAATCCCCAAAAGAAATCTCCAAAAGAAATCCTCAAAAGAAATCCACAAAAGAAATCCTCAAAAGAAATCCCCAAAAGAAATCCACAAAAGAAATCCTCAAAAGAAATCCCCAAAAGAAATCCCTGAAAGAAATCCCCAAAAGAAATCCCCAAAAGAAATCCCCAAAAGAATTCCTCAAAAGAAATCCTCAAAAAATAAATCCTCAAAAGAAATCCCCAAAAGAAATCCCCAAAAGAAATCTAGAAAAAACCAACCTGTTTTTGTTCCACGTCATTCTTGGCGCAGCACATAATGTAGCTGGCCCAGTTTCTTTTCTCTCCAGGTTCCTGTGTTAGAGGTCAAGGTAAGAGGTCTAGGTTAGAGGTCAAGGTTAGAGGTCAGGTCTAGTGTTCAGGGTTAATGTCTTGGGTTAGTTCAGGGCTAGAGATTATTCCAAACAACATTCGCCACTTCAACAAACAACAACATTCACCACTTCAACAAACAAACAACAACATTCACCACCTCAACAAACAAACAACAACATTCACCACTTCAACAAACAAACAACAACATTCACCACTTCATTAAACAAACAACAACATTCACCACTTCAACAAACAAACAACAACATTCACCACTTCATCAAACAAACAACAACATTCACCATATCATCAAACAAACAACAACATTCACCACTTCAACAAACAAACAACAACATTCACCACTTCAACAAACAACAACATTCACCACTTCATCAAACAAACAACAACATTCACCACTTTAACAAACAACAACAACATTCACCACCTCAACAAACAACAACATTCACCACTTCATCAAACAAACAACAACATTCACCACTTCAACAAACAAACAACAACATTCACCACTTCAACAAACAACAACATTCACCACTTCATCAAACAAACAACAACATTCACCACTTTAACAAACAACAACAACATTCACCACCTCAACAAACAACAACATTCACCACTTCATCAAACAAACAACAACATTCACCACTTTAACAAACAACAACAACATTCACCACTTCAACAAACAAACAACAACATTCACCACTTCATCAAACAAACAACAACATTCACCACCTCAACAAACAAACAACAGCATTCACCACTTTAACAAACAAACAACAACATTCACCACTTCAACAAACAAACAACAACATTCACCACTTCAACAAACAACAACATTCACCACTTCAACAAACAAACAACAACATTCACCACTTTAACAAACAAACAACAACATTCTAACGTCAAATGCTGAACGTAGCTACAACAACAACAAAAACAGTAGAGGAGGCTATACATGTTTCGCGATATATTTGTTTTCTTGCTCTGTTACATATATATGTCGATGTCAAATATATTATGTTAGTTACCTTTAAGGATTTTTTTGAGCTTCTCCCAGTTAGCCGTCTGAAATTTTTGTTGAAAATGTTTTTAGAATTTTACATTAACATTTTTCTTTAGTCTCTTGTAAAAGTTGTTGATCATTGTGGACATGAAATTTAAAGTTTGTTGATCATAACCCTACCAGTGTAGACAGATGAAATGTTGTTGATCATAACCCTACCTGTGTAGACAGATGAAATGTTGTTGATCATAACCCTACCAGTGTAGACAGATGAAATGTTGTTGATCATAACCCTACCAGTGTAGACAGATGAAATGTTGTTGATCATAACCCTACCCGTGTAGACAGATGAAATTTTGTTGATCATAACCCTACCAGTGTAGACAGATGAAATTTAAAGGATCCTAGGATTGCTGTAGCTAAGTGGTTGTGGCATTTGTTTTAGCTGTGGCTTTTGTGGTGGCTGTGATGCTATGGTGGTTGTGATTTTGTGGTGGTTGTGATGTTGTGGTCGAGTGTGGTGGTTGTGATGTTGTGGTGGTTGTGATGTTGTGGTCGAGGGTGGTGGTTGTGATGTTGTGGTCGAGTGTGGTGGTTGTGATGTTGTGATGTTGTGGTCATGTGTACTGGTTGTGATGTTGTGGTGGTTGTGATGTTGTGGTCGAGGGTGGTGGTTGTGGTGTTGTGGTCGAGGGTGGTGGTTGTGATGTTGTGGTCGAGTGTTGTTGTTATGTTGTGGTTTGACTCACATGATCCTGTGCTTGTTCTTGGGGTCAGACTGCAGTGGTCTGTGATGTCGTTGGGTGAATCGTGCCCTCATCTTCACAGGGCACGGCTCTCCTTAATTCATATATATTCATATATATATATATATATATATATGTTTGTGTGAGGTGTCTGTGTGTGGTGTTTGTGTGAGGTGAGGTGTTTGTGTGAGGTGGGGTTTTTGTGTGAGGTGAGGTGTTTATGTGAGGTGTTTGTGTGAGGTGTTTGGTCTTTGTGTGAGGTGTCTATGTGTTCGCCGTAGCCTCCAACGTTATCTACCCCGTTCAGTTGTACCTTGTGTGTGAAATAACAGGCGGGAAGTTTTTGTAAACAAACAACTTGCTGGTCAACTTAAATCGCTGAACTTGTGCTGCACTTCCGCTCGGTGCGGCTGTGTGCAAACTTCACGCGTGCCCCGTGTTTTTCTTTTGGAAATTTGCGCAATGTTTTCTCTGGATGTAGGCCCTTACATTACTTAAAATGTTTTCTCTGGATGTAGGCCCTTACATTACTTACAATGTTTTCTCTGGATGTAGGCCCTTACATTACTGACGTTTTCTCTGGATGTAGGCCCTTACAATACTTACAATGTTTTCTCTGGATGTAGGCCCTTACATTACTTACAATGTTTTCTCTGGATGTAGGCCCTTACATTACTTACAATGTTTTCTCTGGATGTAGGCCCTTACATTACTTACAATGTTTTCTCTGGATGTATGCCCTTACAATGTTTTCTCTGGATGTAGGCCCTTACAATGTTTTCTCTGGATGTAGGCCCTTACAATGTAGTTCCCGTCCCGGCGCCACCAGCCCATGACATGGAGGAAGTTTTTAAAAAAAAATTTTATTGGCTCAAGTTCTGAGTACACTTATAAATTTGGGTTGGCAGAAGTTCGATCAGAGTTCCTATACAACATAACAATGTATATCGTACTAAAATCAAAAATTCAGTTTATAACTTGGGCTTGATGAAAACATAAAGTGTTGCATCTGCAATTTCACATTGTAATGTAAGTAAAAGATCTAATTCTCTGCCTTCTGTCAAATTCTGAGTAATTTCCCTTGACTGGAAGTAGTAATTTATGCTATTTCCGATTTCTCAAAAAACGCATGTGAATTTATAAAGTACCAATAATTTTCTGCACTATTAATTATACACATATTGTTTGCCATTTACTTGGTGCGCAATACTTTTTTTTCTACGAGATTCTATTCTATTTTTAAAAGTTTAAGTAATTAAAAATGGATTAAAAATCATATCAATTTTATCATGTCTATTTCCAGAGTTGACATCTCCCTCAGTGTAATATAAGAATACGAGCCGGCCCGCGGCATAACATACGCCGCTATTTAGTTGTTTCTAATTTTCAATAATTCATAATTTGTGAATTCGACAGTACCAACGCTGACACTGAAAATATTTCTTTAAAACACTATAAGTAGCTCGTTAAGGACCATAACCCCCCCCCCTCCGCTTCCTTCCCCCCCCCCCTACGTTTAAAATCGTTGGCTCTGCTTGTAAACATTTAGAGTGAACACAGCTCACTAAAACCATGTAGGGGTGGGGAGGTAGGGAGAGCGTTTGCAGCTTGTTTTCTAACGGCTCGAAGAGGAGAATTATATATATAGATAGATTAGTTGTTTCTAATTTTCAATAATTCATAATTTGTGAATTCGACAGTACCAACGCTGACACTGAAAATATTTCTTTAAAACACTATAAGTAGCTCGTTAAGGACCATAACCCCCCCCCCTTCCTTCCCCCCCCCTCCCCCCCCCCTACGTTTAAAATCGTTGGCTCTGCTTGTAAACATTTAGAGTGAACACAGCTCACTAAAACCATGTAGGGGTGGGGAGGTAGGGAGAACGTTTGCAGCTTGTTTTCTAACGGCTCGAAGAAGAGAATTATATATATAGATTCGAGAAAGTTTAGGGGAGATCACTCCCGGTTTATTTTATTTCAGAACTGCTATTAGGTACGTGAATCAATCAATGAACATACATACACTATGTCCAACTAATGCATGACATTCCTACAGTACTAGAGAGAAATGTGTGATAATCATAGCAATAGTCATACAAAACCAGGGTAACCACACTATCATACATCAGCAAGACAATATCAAACAGCAACACACTATCATACATCAGCAAGACAATATCAAACAGCAACACACTATCATACATCAGCAAGACAATATCAAACAGCAACACACTATCATACATCAGCACCAGCTATCCCATCTCCTATAGTCAGATCTGTGGCCAGTGTTTGAAGAACAAGTTTCAGTCGCTGCCCCAGCAGGGCGAGGTGGACTCAATGACGTCACATTAAGAAAACCAACTCGTCTTGTTGCACCTCGGCCACAGCCAGTGGTTTGCACATCATGTAGAATAGACTCCCCCCCCCCAACCAAAGCCAGACTGGTGGAACAGTGGGGACAATACTCTGTGAATGGATGCATCAATCTTCTGCTCACACTTCCTCCATGTCATCACCCTCTGTGACCTCAGAAAGGTCAACACTGTCATGCAACACAACATACTCGCGTGTGCTGAATCCAAATTTAAGGACGTCTTTTTCTCGCAGCTCATAGTAGCGTCTAGCGTCAATTTTTTCATTGTTTAAGAATGTCCCATTGGCTGAGTCCAGGTCGATGATGTAGGGTCTGACCCTCCGGCCTGGGGTGCCGTCTGGCCTTGTGTAGGGCATGGCTCGGAACTGTAAGACAGCCTGTTGTTTGGAGCAAGACGGATGGTCAACTGGGATGTCTGCAATTTTACGATCCCGCCCCAGCAGGTATGCGCTCTGTCTGTGAATGTGTAGAACAGGTAGAGCAGTCTCCCCCTTGAAGGGATAGAGTCGCCACCTGCGCTTGGGTTTCATGGCTTCGTGGGGCTCGTTATATTTGATAACAACTCCACGGAATGTATTGGTGTCCTCAGTCAACTTCCCTGACAGCTGAAAATTGGGCTTTTGCTTCTCCGCTGGTTGCCCCTCCTCACCCTCCCCTTTCACCTGCACTGTGTTGAGACCAAAGTCCCCACCATTCTGCTCCCTCTCTCTGCGCTGATCTCGTCTCTGAGCATTGTTACGTGATCTGTCTCTCTGTTGATCTTCAAAGTTTTCCTCGTCTCTTTCCTCTTTGATCCGCAGATGTGGGTCATACTCAGAGTCTCTGTGTCTCCTCCGATGACGTGAATGTTTTTCACCATCGTCCCCTGTACGCTCATTACGTGAATGTCTTTCACCATTGCCCCCTGTACGCTCATTACGTGAAGGTCTTTCACCATCGTCCCCTGTACGCTCATTACGTGAAGGTCTTTCACCATCGTCCCCTGTACGCTCATTACGTGAAGGTCTTTCACCATCGTCCCCTGTACGCTCATTACGAGATTTGTGTGCTTTCTTTCTTTGCTCTCCATCATCCGAAGAGCTATCACTATTGTGTCTCTTCTTTTTAAAACTTATTCCAGGGGAACTGTGACCACCATGCTTTTTGTGGTGTTTCTGAAAATAGGTTTCAAATACATGATTAAGTACAGTACAACAAAATAAGATGTCAGGAATGACAGATCTTAGTGCAATTAAAATCATTTTTATCCAACTTCTATTAAATTATCTTGTAACTCACCAACCATGTTGGTCCAAAAAAAAAGAAAACTCTAACTCTAAAGAAAATTCCAATCCAATCCACAGAAATAACCCAACATTTTAGTTTAAAACCAATTAATTCTTTTTTTAAAACTAATAGAACTTTTAAAATATCAACCTGAGGAGTAAAAAATGAGCAGACAAGTGTAGCCTTATTAGGCTAATCAGTCTATAGAAAAAAAGAAATAAAATATTGTGAGCCACGAAAGTGATAACCAATTTGTTTTTTAAACCACATGACCGCTATTTGGTGTTCAATAGTGAGGAACTCTGGTGCATAGCCAGTTAGAAAGTCACACCCAATAGTGGCTTTCTGTGGCTTCAACCATAAGAGTGAAATAAAATGGTTGTACTGGAAAGGTGTGCAGTTCCATGGCATTGAGTTTTAATAAAGTACTTAAATTTAGTCTTAAACGAGCTACAACCCTCAAAATGAGTGCCTGATCTGCTGGATTAAAATTAAATATGGATGTCTATTACTCAGTAATCATGTTTAAAATTGAAATTTTAGATAATCTAAGTAGTAAAAAGTAAGGGTAATCTATCGTTTTAGTTACGTAAAATCGCCCGCGACTAATAATGTGAAAAACAGGTGACTCCTTAAATGTTAATAATTATTTCACATTTTGAGGAGGATTTATATTTCGAAGTGATTACTCGGAAGAAGATTTTTCTCCCCAACGTCTCCACTTAGTCAGCAAAAGATAGCTCTGCGCATGCGCAGTGACCTATGGCTAGGGTTAGGATTAGGATTAGGGCTAGGGTTAGGATTAGGGATAGGATTGGTATTAGTATTAGGGTTCTGCGGTTGTAAACACACGCATGCGCAGTACCATCGAAAACATCGCCGCAAAGGCAAGTCGTAATTTCTCTCCATTGCGCATGCGTAACACATGCGTATCTTATTCCAGCTAGCATCGGCCTTTATATTTTGAAAAATACAAAAATGATTCCTTGTTTCATTTATGTACCTGTTTTTAAACAATTGAATTAAAACTTTTCAGTAATAAACGAAGACTAGCAAAGTTTTCAACAGATGCAACCATGCTCATTTACTATAGCAGCCATCTTGTTTATGTTCTTTTATTGTAAACTTAGAGCGAGGTTCAGGGAAAGGCAACTCTATTTTACAAATGGCTGTAAGAAATCTTGCTCTCAAACACTGCTGTTTATTGTTTAAAGTTAATTTCTGGCCTATAATATATTGATATATTTAGCCATTGATTTAGGTTTATTATTCATTTTTCTATAATATTTGACACAAATATATCACAATGTACTTCTATTAATAAAGCCTTGACAATGAGGTAACTTTTTCGTACATTGTTAATTATTAATAGTCGCGGACGATGATTTATATCTGATATATTCACCGTTTTTACTTACGCTACTCATCTGTCTGTGTGAGTTAATCAATGGCGATAAATATAGGATTTAACTAATAATAATAAATATTTTTTAATCAATAGAGAATAAGCCTTAATCTAAAATCCAAGCCTAAATCATTCCACTCTGATCACTCTGTAAGTCGAAAACACTTCGTAGAGATTCAGGGATATCCGGAAGTAGAGCTAGATCTATTTATAGATTCTAGCGATGCAAACATAAAAACTCAAAACTCTATCTAATATTTATATTAAAATATAAATAAGTAGGCAAAGCTAGATCCAGATCTATTATTTTTTTAATCATACCTGTAAAGTTAATTTTATTTACATTAAACTGTTATTATAATGTGAGCAGTGTTTTATACTTTTGTGTAGTCTAGAAAATTTTAAAACAATGACAATGACAATGCTATTCGCAACTTTTGTAAAAACCACTTTGGCCAATCAAGTCTAATGTCACATGACTTTGTTTACATTTGTTTTCATTGTATTAAACTTTTTCTACAGTTTACAACAAAATAGTGAAAATAAGATTATTAATAATATTATCTGGATAATCTATATCAGGGAGAATGGATAGGGATTATAAAACGGTCGTGCAAGGTGAAGCATCAGAATCTGAAGATGATTCAGAAGAAGCTAAGTTGGTAATTCAAAATTAAAATTTCAATGCTAAGCCAAGAAGTTCAAGAAGATGTGAAGATTAGCTCTGCATTTCAAGCTGCTGATTACTGATTTGTAATTGTTGACTAACTTATTGCCAAAAATTTTTAAATTCTAAGGATAAGTAAAGTATTTAAAGTAATCTATCGTTTTAGGTGCTTACCGTATTTAATTATGAAACTAAACTAAAAACTAGGGTGGTTCTTGTGTTGTTAATATAGTTAATAATATAAATATTAAATAATAAACTATTAACTAGTATTAACTATTAATATTAGCCATTAGCCTACTATAGGACTATTTGAATAACTCAGTTTTAGAAAACATGGTCATATTTTCTAAATATTAGTAAATATACACGGTAACACATTGTTAAAATCCTCTAAAATATTGTGTAAGCCTTTCTTCTAACACGGCAGCACTGTGCTGTACTGGTCTCTAAAGTCTAGTTATTAGTTAAATATAATGTTTAATGTAGAGTAATGTATAGTATTAAGTAGAGTTATAATTTTAAGTAAGCTATTAAGGCCAACTTAAGTAATAAAATAAGTATCTATCACAATATTTAAATTGTTTTCGTTTAAACTAAAATGCTCCAAATTTTCAGGAACAGAATGAACCTAATGCCATTGTGATTGAAGGGGAAGCTTCAGAATCTGATGAAGAAGAACTTGACACAAGTCTGCAAAGTCCCAATAGAGAATTACCTCCCCTTAAACGTAGGGGAAATATTTTATTGTTAATAGAATTTAATAAGAAACATGCAGAGTCATCATCTTAATCATTATCCTGGGTCTAAGAACATTACCACCCCTCTCTTCCCCCCCCCCCCAACCCCAGCAACTATCCCTACCTTTCTTTAGGATACACAACATATCCTTTCTCCATATGTAGCTTCCTATCCTTAACCCAATCCATATCTTCATCCTTCACATCCTGCACCTCCCCTGGTGTGGGGAGGAATGCCCTACTCCCTATTATCCTACACAATCAGGGTTTTGTTCTCATCTGTGTTGTAGATAAGTGAGGTGAACTTTGACACTGCTAGAGAGGTGAACTTTGACACTGCTAGAGAGGTCAACTTTGACACTGCTAGAGAGGTCAACTTTGACACTCCTAGAGAGGTGAACTTTGACACTGCTAGAGAGGTGAACTTTGACACTGCTAGAGAGGTCAACTTTGACACTGCTAGAGAGGTGAACTTTGACACTGCTAGAGAGGTCAACTTTGACACTGCTAGAGAGGTCAACTTTGACACTGCTAGAGAGGTCAACTTTGACACTGCTAGAGAGGTCAACTTTGACACTGCTAGAGAGGTCAACTTTGACACTGCTAGAGAGGTCAACTTTGACACTGCTAGAGAGGTCAACTTTGACACTGCTAAGAGAGGTCAAGTTTGACACTGCTAAGAGAGGTCAAGTTTGACACTGCTAAGAGAGGTCAAGTTTGACACTGGAGACTTGTCTATTTTCATAGGATTTTTTTTATCTTCAATTGTTTCTTTGCCATCATATATGAGACAAATTTACTTTGAAGTTTAACAGTTTTCTTGAAACTGTCAAGTTAATTTATTTTAAGTTTTTTAGCTTCAATGAAATGAGTTTTGGACAATTTTCAGTGGAGCACTCTGTGTCATTTGATTCTAATGATGACATTTCCAATGTACCAACACTGTCATTAAAACAAGCAGGAAAGCCCAAGTTTGAGAAGTAAGTTGCCAAATATGTAAGTTACCAAATATGTAAGTTGCCAAATATGTAAGTTATCAAATATGTAAGTTGCCAAATATGACCCCAGCAGTTTTAACAAACAGCATAACCTATACAGCTGAGCTCGGTTGAGCAGTTCATATTGTTGACACACAAAACACCACATATTGTAAAGATTATCAACCAAATCACTATCCCCACTAGTTGTAAAGACTATCAACCAAATCACTATCCCACTAGTTGTAAAGATTATCAACCAAATCACTATCCCCACTAGTTGTAAAGACTATCAACCAAATCACTATCCCCACTAGTTGTAAAGATTATCAACCAAATCACTATACCACTAGTTGTAAAGATTATCAACCTAATGACAACCACTCAGTTTTTGAAGGTTGATAACCAAAAAGGTCTCAAGTTTGATTTAAGATCTCACATCTAAGGCTCCACTTGGCTCACGTTTGATTTAAGATCTCACATCTAAGGCTCCATTTGGCTCAAGTTTGATTTAAGATCTCACATCTAAGACTCCACTTGGCTCAAGTTTGATTTAAGATCTCACATCTAAGACTCCACTTGGCTCAAGTTTGATTTAAGATCTCACATCTAAGACTCCACTTGGCTCAAGTTTGATTTAAGATCTCACATCTAAGACTCCACTTGGCTCAAGTTAGATTTAAGATCTCACATCTAAGGCTCCACTTGGCTCAAGTTTGATTTAAGATCTCACATCTAAGACTCCACTTGGCTCAAGTTAGATTTAAGATCTCACATCTAAGACTCCACTTGGCTCAAGTTTGATTTAAGATCTCACATCTAAGGCTCCACTTGGCTCAAGTTTGATTTAAGATCTCACATCTAAGACTCCACTTGGCTCAAGTTTGATTTAAGATCTCACATCTAAGACTCCACTTGGCTCAAGTTAGATTTAAGATCTCACATCTAAGGCTCCACTTGGCTCACGTTTGATTTAAGATCTCACATCTAAGACTCCACTTGGCTCAAGTTTGATTTAAGATCTCACATCTAAGACTCCACTTGGCTCAAGTTAGATTTAAGATCTCACATCTAAGGCTCCACTTGGCTCACGTTTGATTTAAGATCTCACATCTAAGACTCCACTTGGCTCAAGTTTGATTTAAGATCTCACATCTAAGACTCCACTTGGCTCAAGTTTGATTTAAGATCTCACATCTAAGACTCCACTTGGCTCAAGTTTGTTTTAAGATCTCACATCTAAGACTCCACTTGGCTCAAGTTTGATTTAAGATCTCACATCTAAGACTCCACTTGGCTCAAGTTAGATTTAAGATCTCACATCTAAGACTCCACTTGGCTCAAGTTAGATTTAAGATATCACATCTAAGACTCCACTTGGCTCACCTAGCTGAAAAAATTCAACGCACCCGGCATGGTGTTGTCAGCTCCACCCCTTGATAGGGCAATAGATACATAGCTGAGCTGAGTTTATGTTGCTACAAGAGTGATTTCAATCAATATCATATACGATGAATTATTTTGTAACTATTAAAATATGTTAACATTTGTTAGAAAAATATTTGAAGGGTGAGAGTGGAAGTGTGATCATTTTGGTGGGTCAGTAAAAGTAAGCCATCTATCTGCTGCATTTTGTTTCTCACATTGACAATATCTGCCCTCCACAGTGTGCTCAACAGAAAACTATGTAAGTAATATAACAATTTGTTCTAGTCATTTCTTTTATTTTAACAAATAGCTATGTAAGTAATATAACAATTTGTTCTAGTCATTTCTTTTATTTTAACAAATAGCTATGGGGTCATCCATAAATGACGTCACCCTTTTTTGGATGATTTCCCCCCCCCCCTTTCCCTTCCATCACACATTGTCACAAAAAGCCAGACCCCCCCCCCCCCCCCTAATATGACGTCACACCCCAGCCTACAATCCCTCTCAAAATTTCAGTTGAATTTTTCTTAAAACATCCATATTTTCCCAAAATCTTGTCTGGAATCAATTCCTATTGCAATTTATTAAAACAGTTTACTAAATCGTGAAATAACGTCTAATATTCGTTTTCTAACATTTCTTTTTTATAATGCAAAAGTGTGACGTCGCACCATCTCTAAGCCCCCCCCTCCCCTCGTCACACACCGTCACAAAATTATGGACCCCCCACCCTCTCCCTGTCAGTGTGACGTCATTTATGGACGACCCCTATGTAAGTAATATAACATATTGGTAGAGTTGATTGTTTATTTTAACAAAAGACTATGTAATCTAACAATATTGGTAGAGTTGATTGTTTATTTTAACAAAAGACTATGTAATCTAACAATATTGGTAGAGTTGATTGTTTATTTTAACAAAAGACTATGTAATCTAACAATATTGGTAGAGTTGATTGTTTATTTTAACAAAAGACTATGTAATCTAACAATATTGGTAGAGTTGATTGTTTATTTTAACAAAAGACTGTAATCTAACAATATTGGTAGAGTTGATTGTTTATTTTAACAAAAGACTATGTAATCTAACAATATTGGTAGAGTTGATTGTTTATTTTAACAAAAGACTATGTAATCTAACAATATTGGTAGAGTTGATTGTTTATTTTAACAAAAAACTATGTAATCTAACAATAAGTTTAGTCATATCTTTAACATAATAAAAAGCTTTTATTACGGCAATTAGAATTTTAGAAAATATTTATTTCATCCATAATCTGTCTAGGGGAGAGCAATTTGTCACTGTGCAATAATTTGAATGGTATTGCGAGTCAGGCATTTTTATCTGCTGCTAAGGACCTGAACAACTGTGGTCAGCAGCTGTCTAGATCACATGCATCCATTCAGGTAGATTCTCTTTGATTCTTTCTTTGTAGTTTAGGACAAAAGTTTTGTTTTTTAGGAGAAAAGTTGTTTTTTTTTTTGTATTTTAGGAGAAAAGATGTTTTTTGTATTTTAGGAGAAAAGTTTTGTATTTTAGGAGAAAAGTTTTCTGATTAGTTTTAGTGCCAAAAATGTATTTTGATTTTCCAGGATGTGTCCCATCATATGCGACTGATGACAAATGATTTATTTAATCTTCAAGACAAGATTGACATCATTGCTACTTGCAAAATTTTACCACATATTAACATACCAATATAGCCCAACTTGTCTGTACCTATGTAATTTCTATTGAAATTTTAAAAATGTATTTGTATTAAATGTCTTGTGAATAAAAAGAGCCTTCCTTTGATGCTATAATTGCTACTGAATATTTTGTTTTGTATTTATCAATTACTAAAATTAACAAATAAGTCAATCTAACTACATTCTTCTCCTTTCACTTCTATTATACTACCATAACTAAATGTTACTGTTACATTCTTTTTGCAATTATCAATTACTAAAGCAAAACTGATTAGGGGTCATCCTTGTGGGTGTGTGTGTGATCTATTTTGTGAAGATCTAAAAAAAAATGTAGAGGACATCATAAATGGATGACTTTTTAAAGACATGAAAAAAAAATCATGTTAGGATTTTTACATAACTTAAGTAGTCTCCCTTTTATTTACATTACCTTTTAAACTATAGTCTGTTTTACTTGAGATTAAAGAAAGTAAACAAATAGTACACACAATTCTGTAGCAAAGTAACATTGGGGGGGGGGGGGGGGGGGGGCAGGGGAATGACAAATGTAGCATTGAGAATTTGTAGTTTAGTTAGGGTATAAAAGGTGGGGGTTAGGAAAGTTTAGTGGTCCATTCTCTCATAGGTAAGGCATAAAAGGTGGGGGTTAGGTTTAGTGGTCCATTTTATCATAGGCAGCCATATTTTATTGATGTCTGTTCTACAAAAAATAAAAGAAGATATAATGCACACGTTGTTTAATTGTAAACATAGGCCTAATCAAGTGTCAACTCACTTCACCACAGGGTGGACCAATACATTCTAATTTCTGTTGAAAGGTGGACAAATACATTCTAAAGTCTGTTGATGTGTGGACAAATACATTCTAAAGTCTGTTGATGGGTGGACAAATACATTCTAAAGTCTGTTGATGTGTGGACAAATACATGCTAAAGTCTGTTGATGTGTGGACAAATACATTCTAAAGTCTGTTGAAAGTGGACAAATACATTCTAAAGTCTGTTGATGGGTGGACAAATACATTCTAAAGTCTGTTGATGTGTGGACAAATACATTCTAAAGTCTGTTGATGTGTGGACAAATACATTCTAAAGTCTGTTGATGTGTGGACAAATACATTCTAAAGTCTGTTGAAAGGTGGACAAATACATTCTAAAGTCTGTTGATGGGTGGACAAATACATTCTAAAGTCTGTTGATGTGTGGACAAATACATTCTAAAGTCTGTTGATGTGTGGACAAATACATTCTAAACACTGTTGATGTGTGGACAAATACATTCTAAAGTCTGTTGATGTGTGGACAAATACATTCTAAAGTCTGTTGAAAGGTGGACAAATACATTCTAAAGTCTGTTGATGGGTGGACAAATACATTCTAAACACTGTTGATGTGTGGACAAATACATTCTAAAGTCTGTTGATGTGTGGACAAATACATTCTAAAGTCTGTTGATGTGTGGACAAATACATTCTAAAGTCTGTTGATGGGTGGACAAATACATTTTGTAATTGTTTCCTACATTTACAATTAAATAAAAGAACAGATATAATGATGGGATGGTTGAATGGTAGAGCATTTGGCTGCTAGCCTGAAGGTTTCAGGTCACAGACTTTGGCCTGTTGGACATCCCTGAGTCCACCCAGCTCTAATGGGTACCTGACTTATGTTGGGGAAAGTAAAGGCATAGTGCTGACCACACTATCTCTTCATATGCATAGATCAAGAAACATGAACTGTACTTCATCTGCCCAATGAATTACTAGGTCTAAAGAGAAACTTTACTTACTCATGCATGTAATTGATATTATATACTAATTTAATCTTAACATATTATAAATCTTGCTTGTGCATACAACTTGATGCTTTGAGTTGAATGATGATACACCCCAAAGTTCAGTTAAGTGTTCAACTGCCAGTCTTCAAGATTAAACTCATCAAATTAACTTTTACACATGTAGTTGAACAAATACTTTTATTAAGAACTTTTTATTGAAAAGCTTGAAATTTTAGAACTACAATGTAATACCTGCTAACATAATCAACCTGACTGACACACCCCTTAAAATAGTCATCATAACAATTACAAAGTACTAGCACAAGTATTTCTTGTTGAATCTTCACTGAATTGGTCAGCTTTATTTCTTGGGCTGATTGAATAGCTTTATGAGGTCAGACTTTTTAATGCGATGTTTCAGAAGATCATCGTCTGGCTCTGGCTCCTTAGCAACCAACAACTGCTCCAGAAAATCACGGCCCAGCCCATACTTTCCAAGATCCGCTTCCATCTTACTCAGGATTACTTTCTTCTCTTCAAAGAATGCCTTCTTTTCTTCTTCAAATTTAGCCTGGAAAATTTTGAAACATTGATCACATAAATGACAGACAGCGGAAACAACAAATCACCGGGAATGAGTCACAAGATTTTAAACTCGTATTCAAGATTTTTAGTTGCTTGTTTGTATTTACCCGAAGCTCTTTTAACTTTTCTCGCTGTTTTTCATTTGCTATCTTCTTTATGGATTCTCTTAGATTGTGCTTCCAACCTTTATATTCTTCCTTATCTCTGGGTATAACATACTGAATTTTTAACTCTCTAAGCAGCCATTCAAAGCGCTCGTGATCCAACTCTCTAAGCCGTGTTAGCAATCTTTTTCGTTTAAAGATGCACTTCACGAGATGGACTTTCTTTACTTTGTCCTGAGGAGAAAGTTTTCATTTGCAACAAAATTCATCGGTACAAAATTTATCGTTTACAAACAATCAGAAATCTTCCAGCCGAACCATAGAATAGAAATACTAAAAAAAATTCAATCGGTATAACTTAAATACACCTGTGTGAGGGATACATGGACTAGTTCAATTTTTTAAAATCTGTATAACTTACACTCCTGTAAGTGATACAGCGAGGAACCATCTGTCGTATCTCTAAGGTAAGTGATGCAACTGCAAGACAGGAAACAACATGGCATTAAAATATTAGCACCACAAAGATTTCCTACCACATAAAATATTAGCACCACAAAGATTTCCTGCCACATAAAATATTAGCACCACAAAGATTTCCTACCACATAAAATATTAGCACCACAAAGATTTCCTACCACATAAAATATTAGCACCACAAAGATTTCCTGCCACATAAAATATGTCAAATCATGAGCACATTTGTTGTGTACTTGATACTTACTTGACTGCTCCAGTTCAGAGTTAGGGCCAAATAACTCAATTATTCTGTCACGTATCAATTCCTTTTTATGATGTGAAACATCTCTCTAGAAAAAACATGTTCGTTCAAGTATCAACACAATGAATACAGTTTACAGCCCATTTCAATTTTAAATGAGATATTCAGAAGTTGCCGTAAAGACAATAGCATCTAGAAAAAGTTCTAGCGTAAAACATAAGCAACTGTGACCAGATACGTAAAACATAAGCAACTGTGACCAGATACGTAAAACATAAGCAACTGTGACCAGATACGTAAAACATAAGCAACTGTGACCAGATACGTAAAACATAATCAACTGTGACCAGATACGTAAAACATAAGCAACTGTGAACAGATACGTAAAACATAAGCAACTGTGAACAGATACGTAAAACATAAGCAACTGTGAACAGATACGTAAAACATAAGCAACTGTGACCAGATACGTAAAACATAAGCAACTGAGACCAGATACGTAAAACATAAGCAACTGTGACCAGATACGTAAAACATAAGCAACTGAGACCAGATACGTAAAACATAAGCAACTGAGACCAGATACGTAAAAATAAGCAACTGTGACAAGATACGTAAAACATAAGCAACTGTGACCAGATACGTAAAACATAAGCAACTGTGACCAGATACGTAAAACATAAGCAACTGTGACCAGATACGTAAAACATAAGCAACTGTGACCAGATACGTAAAACATAAGTAACTGTGACCAGATACGTAAAACATAAGCAACTGTGACCAGATACGTAAAACATAAGCAACTGTGACCAGATACGTAAAACATAAGCAACTGTGACCAGATACGTAAAACATAAGCAACTGTGACCAGATACGTAAAACATAAGCAACTGTGACCAGATACGTAAAACATAAGCAACTGTGACCAGATACGTAAAACATAAGCAACTGTGAACAGATACCATCTACACTCACCGCTTTGGCTAAGTCTGCACTAACTAATCTTTTTAGAACTCCGTCACTAGAAACAAAAATGATGTGTTATATCAGAATAATAGAATGTTCAATGTAAGACGACAAAGTTTTCAACTAAAGGTCTTAAGAGCGAGATACCCTGACGACAAAGTTTTCAACTAAAGGTCTTAAGAGCGAGATACCCTTGAAGAAGTTGATCACAAGTTTGGTACTGGTAGAGCGTTGTATCTTTGTCTAGGGCTGGCAGTTGTCTCAAGTCCCCTGTAACACACACAAACATTGCTAACCAATAAACAGATGGTTTAATTAGAGAAAACACAAACATTGCTAACCAATAAACAGATGGTTTAATTAGAGAAAACACAAACATTGCTAACCAATAAACTGATGGTTTAATTAGAGAAAACACACACAAACATTGCTAACCAATAAACTGATGGTTTAATTAGAGAAAACACAAACATTGCTAACCAATAAACTGATGGTTTACAAACATTGCTAACCAATAAACTGATGGTTTAATTAGAGAAAACACAAACATTGCTAACCAATAAACTGATGGTTTACAAACATTGCTAACCAATAAACTGATGGTTTAATTAGAGAAAACACAAACATTGCTAACCAATAAACTGATGGTTTACAAACATTGCTAACCAATAAACTGATGGTTTAATTAGAGAAAACACAAACATTGCTAACCAATAAACTGATGGTTTAATTAGAGAAAACACACATAAACATTGCTAACCAATAAACTGATGGTTTAATTAGAGAAAACACACACAAACATTGCTAACCAATAAACTGATGGTTTAATTAGAGAAAACACACACAAACATTGCTAACCAATAAACTGATGGTTTAATTAGAGAAAACACACATAAACATTGCTAATCAATAAACTGATGGTTTAATTAGAGAAAACACACACAAACATTGCTAACCAATAAACTGATGGTTTAATTAGAGAAAACACACACAAACATTGCTAACCAATAAACTGATGGTTTAATTAGAGAAAACACAAACATTGCTAACCAATAAACTGATGGTTTAATTAGAGAAAACACAAACATTGCTAACCAATAAACAGATGGTTTAATTAGAGAAAACACACACAAACATTGCTAACCAATAAACTGATGGTTTAATTAGAGAAAACACACACAAACATTGCTAACCAATAAACTGATGGTTTAATTAGAGAAAACACACACAAACATTGCTAACCAATAAACAGATGGTTTAATTAGAGAAAACACAAACATTGCTAACCAATAAACTGATGGTTTAATTAGAGAAAACACACACAAACATTGCTAACCAATAAACTGATGGTTTAATTAGAGAAAACACAAACATTGCTAATCAATAAACAGATGGTTTAATTAGAGAAAACACACACAAACATTGCTAACCAATAAACTGATGGTTTAATTAGAGAAAACACACACAAACATTGCTAACCAATAAACTGATGGTTTAATTAGAGAAAACACACACAAACATTGCTAACCAATAAACTGATGGTTTAATTAGAGAAAACACACACAAACATTGCTAACCAATAAACTGATGGTTTAATTAGAGAAAACACAAACATTGCTAACCAATAAACTGATGGTTTAATTAGAGAAAACACACACAAACATTGCTAACCAATAAACTTATGGTTTAATTAGAGAAAACACACACAAACATTGCTAACCAATAAACTGATGGTTTAATTAGAGAAAACACAAACATTGCTAACCAATAAACTGATGGTTTAATTAGAGAAAACACAAACATTGCTAACCAATAAACTGATGGTTTAATTAGAGAAAACACACACAAACATTGCTAACCAATAAACTGATGGTTTAATTAGAGAAAACACACACAAACATTGCTAACCAATAAACAGATGGTTTAATTAGAGAAAACACAAACATTGCTAACCAATAAACTGATGGTTTACAAACATTGCTAACCAATAAACTGATGGTTTAATTAGAGAAAACACACACAAACATTGCTAACCAATAAACAGATGGTTTAATTAGAGAAAACACACACACAAACATTGCTAACCAATAAACTGATGGTTTAATTAGAGAAAACACACACAAACATTGCTAACCAATAAACTGATGGTTTAATTAGAGAAAACACACACAAACATTGCTAACCAATAAACTGATGGTTTAATTAGAGAAAACACAAACATTGCTAACCAATAAACTGATGGTTTAATTAGAGAAAACACACACAAACATTGCTAACCAATAAACTGATGGTTTAATTAGAGAAAACACACACAAACATTGCTAACCAATAAACAGATGGTTTGATTAGAGAAAACACACACAAACATTGCTAACCAATAAACAGATGGTTTACAAACATTGCTAACCAATAAACTGATGGTTTAATTAGAGAAAACACACACAAACATTGCTAACCAATAAACTGATGGTTTAATTAGAGAAAACACAAACATTGCTAATCAATAAACAGATGGTTTAATTAGAGAAAACACACACAAACATTGCTAACCAATAAACTGATGGTTTAATTAGAGAAAACACACACAAACATTGCTAACCAATAAACTGATGGTTTAATTAGAGAAAACACACACAAACATTGCTAACCAATAAACTGATGGTTTAATTAGAGAAAACACACACAAACATTGCTAACCAATAAACTGATGGTTTAATTAGAGAAAACACACACAAACATTGCTAACCAATAAACTGATGGTTTAATTAGAGAAAACACAAACATTGCTAACCAATAAACTGATGGTTTAATTAGAGAAAACACACACAAACATTGCTAACCAATAAACTGATGGTTTAATTAGAGAAAACACACACAAACATTGCTAACCAATAAACAGATGGTTTGATTAGAGAAAACACACACAAACATTGCTAACCAATAAACAGATGGTTTACAAACATTGCTAACCAATAAACTGATGGTTTAATTAGAGAAAACACACACAAACATTGCTAACCAATAAACTGATGGTTTGATTAGAGAAAACACAAACATTGCTAACCAATAAACTGATGGTTTAATTAGAGAAAACACAAACATTGCTAACCAATAAACTGATGGTTTAATTAGAGAAAACACAAACATTGCTAACCAATAAACTGATGGTTTAATTAGAGAAAACACACACAAACATTGCTAACCAATAAACTGATGGTTTAATTAGAGAAAACACACACAAACATTGCTAACCAATAAACTGATGGTTTAATTAGAGAAAACACACACAAACATTGCTAACCAATAAACTGATGGTTTAATTAGAGAAAACACACACAAACATTGCTAACCAATAAACTGATGGTTTAATTAGAGAAAACACATACAAACATTGCTAACCAATAAACTGATGGTTTAATTAGAGAAAACACACACAAACATTGCTAACCAATAAACTGATGGTTTAATTAGAGAAAACACACACAAACATTGCTAACCAATAAACTGATGGTTTAATTAGAGAAAACACACAAACATTGCTAACCAATAAACTGATGGTTTAATTAGAGAAAACACACACAAACATTGCTAACCAATAAACTGATGGTTTAATTAGAGAAAACACATACAAACATTGCTAACCAATAAACTGATGGTTTAATTAGAGAAAACACACACAAACATTGCTAACCAATAAACTGATGGTTTAATTAGAGAAAACACACACAAACATTGCTAACCAATAAACTGATGGTTTAATTAGAGAAAACACACACAAACATTGCTAACCAATAAACTGATGGTTTAATTAGAGAAAACACACACAAACATTGCTAACCAATAAACTGATGGTTTAATTAGAGAAAACACACACAAACATTGCTAACCAATAAACTGATGGTTTAATTAGAGAAAACACACACAAACATTGCTAACCAATAAACTGATGGTTTAATTAGAGAAAACACATACAAACATTGCTAACCAATAAACTGATGGTTTAATTAGAGAAAACACACACAAACATTGCTAACCAATAAACTGATGGTTTAATTAGAGAAAACACACACAAACATTGCTAACCAATAAACTGATGGTTTAATTAAACAGATTGATTAGAGAAATTACTACAAAATTCTTGACCTGTTAGTCCTACCTTACCTACATTGTGATACATGTTTGTCTTACCTGCATATTTAAAGGTGGGATATCTTGGAGGTTTTATAATTGTTTTTCTGCCATAATGCCTTGAAGGAACATCTCTTTGTGTCTGACCTAAAACCAAAACAAAACTATAAAACTGTACACATCAACTCTAAAACTGTACACATCAACTCTAAAACTAACTGTACACATCAACTCTAAAACTGTACACATCAACTCTAAAACTGTACACATCAACTCTAAAAATGTACACATCAACTCTAAAAATGTACACATCAACTCTAAAAATGTACACATCAACTCTAAAAATGTACACATCAACTCTAAAAATGTACACATCAACTCTAAAACTGTACACAGCAACTCTAAAACTACACACATCAACTCTGTACACATCAACTCTAAAACTGTACACATCAACTCTAAAAATGTACACATCAACTCTGTACACATCAACTCTAAAACTGTACACATCAACTCTGTACACATCAACTCTAAAACTGTACACATTAACTCTGTACACATCAACTCTAAAACTGTACACATCAACTCTGTACATATCAACTCTAAAACTGTACATATCAACTCTAAAACTGTACACATCAACTCTAAAAATGTACACATCAACTCTAAAAATGTACACATCAACTCTAAAAATGTACACATCAACTCTAAAAATGTACACATCAACTCTAAAAATGTACACATCAACTCTAAAACTGTACACATCAACTCTAAACTGTACACATCAACTCTAAAACTGTACACATCAACTCTATACACACATCAACTCTAAAACTGTACACATCAACTCTAAAACTGTACACATCAACTCTAAAAATGTACACATCAACTCTAAAACTGTACACATCAACTCTAAAACTGTACACATCAACTCTAAAACTGTACACATCAACTCTAAAAATGTACACATCAACTGTGTACACATCAACTCTAAAACATGACAACCAGAGACAAGAGCAGGAAAATTCTGGAATCATTATTTCTGTCAAACCAAATCAAATTCTGGAATCATTATTTCTGTCAAACCAAATCAAATTCTGGAATCATTATTTCTGTCAAACCAAATCAAATTCTGGAATCATTATTTCTGTCAAACCAAATCAAATTCTTGTAGGATTTTCTTAAAATAAAATCTCTTTTCCCAATCATGTGTTTTAGAAATAAGAAATTATTGAATTTTCGAAGAGATGCCTCTAAGAAAATCTGATACATGAAACTCTGATAAAGAGAGCTATATATGTATGCATGTAGTTTATAGTATTTCAAAGTGAAGTTTTTGGGAAAAAGATTCATAAAAAAGTTTTGTGGAGGTGAGAAATTTTTAGGAGGAGCAATGGGATTGATTCCTAATTTAGGGTGTCGCCTAAGATTTTAAACTTCATTATTGTTCATGATGACATTAAAAATTAAAATCTACATTTATTTACCTTTAATTTGATACCAATTTTATTTATCCGATTTAATCGGTAGCCTAGAAAATGATTTGTGAAAAAAAGCGTTTGTTTTTAAATGGCTAAGATGATAAATTTCCAAAATTGTCACTCATGTGATTGCTTCTTATGTTTTCTATCCAAAAATCCCACCACAGTCGGCGGGTCACTGTGAGTTCAGCAGGCCTATAGCATATGTCATAGAATGAACACAAGTTCTAATTGAGATCATCTGTGTCTTCACTTCTCCCCCCTCCCCTTCAAGCAAATTGAAAAACAGATCTACTTCAAGTTCACATAGGCTTATAGACTTAGAATATTAATAGATATTATTAGATCAAATGCTGCCATTTTTTTAGACCTTTCTCATATTACTGACATTACTTATTAATTTCTAAGTGACTAAGCGTATCGCAGGGGATCTGCCATCTTATGATTAAAAATGCTTACTTTTTCCTATTCTAGCACATCTGGTGTGGCAGCTGAAGCTCCTAGACCTGGAGCTCAGAGTTCAAACCCGGGGTTAGCAGGACTGGTATTTTTCATATAGAAAACATGACGTGTGATTTTTTTTTTATATATATAAAATTTTCCGAACATCGTCACTTGCGTGATTGCTTGCTTATGTTTACTGTACAGTGGGTGAAAAATCCCACCACGATCAGGCCTATAGCATACGCCATAGAATGAACACAAGTTCACGAGATCGTCAGTGTCTTCGCTTATCTCTCCCCCCCCCCCCTCTCAAGCAAATTGAAACAGACCTACTTCTGGTCATTTTTTAAAGTTCACATAGGCTTAATAATATAGACTTAGATCTACTGCTAGATAGCTGTAAAAACAATTTACTAAAGAGCAGTTTGATTTAGCTAGATCTAAGACCATTGTCTGACCTACTACTGACACAGGTGTTGGGAAATTGCGAGGCGCGAAAAGCTAAATGGCAAGGCGGTAAACTGTGAGAAGGGCGCAAAAACGGTCAGTCACGTGACATTTTTGTCTTGCATCTTACCACCACCCGATACTAACGCTGGATGGTGTTAAAATGCGAAGATATCTGCGAAAAATTTATCCGCACCCGATTTACAGTTGTATTTGATGCAGACTTCAAAGACGTTTCATTTACTATAAATTACATAACTAAAACTTCAGATTTTTCCGTCGCTAGACATACTGATGATTTATCAACTTCCACATCTTTAGTTTCGACTTAGAGTACCACCTTGTTCAAAACCGCCCAAAATACCGCTGACGATAGATCAATTTCTTTCTTTTGTGTGGAACACCGAGACTGCTTGATTTACCGTCTTTGAAGATCATCGTGCCCGAAACCACTGCCACTGCAAACATATTTTGTATTGCTGCATAGAAATTTTATACCAAGATTATACCAATTCACAATGACCCCGCTGACGTTTGTAAAAACATGAGCGGGTTAAATTTTAAAAATTAATGTCGACTGCGATGGGATTTTCCTCTTGCTAACGAGAGCGGGCCATGACAGTAGCACAACAAGGATGTTAGGACTTTTTAATAGATAGATCTATATCTATCTATCTTCTTAGTAACTATCTATATATATAATGAAAACTAGATAAAAAATAACAATATACAACACTCGTGTTAAAGGGTATGGCTATATGCTTGTTTAGTTGTTTCTTTTTAAATTAAATAAATTTGCATGAAAAAAGCATGAAAAAACTTTTTTTCACAAAAGGTGTCTCGCTATTTACCCGTGATTACACAGGTATGTCTTGCATTATCTTCTTGCAGTTAACCGCCTCACCATTTCGCTATTTCCCTACACCCTACTGACACTGTTCTGTCTTTTTGCAAGTACTAATAACTAGAATCTAGATACTTAGGTGTTTAAATAAAACACTCAAACTAGATCTAGATTATTCTAGATCTATGCCAACATTAAACTGCTAAAATGAAAAAAAATTGGGCAGTCATGATATTTATTTTTTTAGATTGCGTGCGACAGTAAAATCGTCTGAAGCTAGGTCTAGTAAAGAACTTAATAGGCCGCATTTGCGTGGTTCGCTCCGTATTACGCTAAATCTTTACCCTAGGTCCTAAAACGATAAAAGTACCTGCCATTCAAAACTAGGTAATCCCTTAGTTTAGCGTCGGAAATTATCGGGTAATGTTTGTTGAGTTTCGGTAACTAGAGTTACAGTAAACCATGGTTTATTTGACCATTAAAATATAAATAAATTGAAAGTCGATTGTAGTAAATTAATATTTTAATTTTTTAAGTTTAATCGACAAAACAAGAATAAATATAATAGTAGATTTAAATTAGTAGATCTAAAAATGAAAACATATAGGCCTATAAATATAAATAGGCCTAATGTATCAAATGTAATAAATAATTTAATGCTTTTGGCTTGCAGCGGATTTGCAACCATTAGGCAGAGGCGTAGCGACCCTTCCCGGCGCCCGGGCGAATTTTCAGTTTGGCGCCCCCCCCCCTCCCAATATATATATATATATATATATATATGTATATATATATATATACATATACATACATATATATATATATATATATATATATATATATACATATATATATATATATATATATATATATATATATATATATATATATATATATATATATATATATATATATATATATATATATATATGGTGTATGTGTGTGTGACAGTCCGGAAAAAAAATTAATAATTAAGCTGTATGATTGTTGTTCCCTAAAACTTTACTCGACGTTAATTAAATTCCCCATTAGATGCATTATCCTTTTAAAAATTGTAGCAGGTGCTAATTCGTTTATGACAGTCTTTTTATGTTTTTTTTCTTTGGAACAGTCTCTGTTACTGTTATGATATAGTACACACTTGGATTATAAGTTTGTTAGATTAAAGTCATACAATTAACATAATTAACATACAATAGCAAATTATTGTTCACATCGGAATACGATATGGGTATTTTGTTGACTGGTTGATTGTATAATGAAACAAGCTAGAGGAAATAAATTAGAATCCAAAGGACACAAGAGCTCGAAGTCTTGGATTTATCAGATGTGTGCTGCCTTCTCACACACAGTCAACAAAAAATTCAGAACTAATTGTACTGGTTGAAGAAGCTGTAGTAACCGGTTTAATGATAGTAGCTGACGTCCATGACGTTCAGATTAGTATCAGCAGCGATAAAATGCGTATTAACATTCTAAGTTGACGTGGAATTCAAATGCATTGTCAAAAATATTCAATCAGGATCTATAGCTAAATATGATGTATCTTTCACTGTATGGCTTGGAGATATGCTAAAAAACAGTGGAGAATGAAAAGGTGGTGGTAAGGACACAATATGAGAAAGACAAAAAATAACATCACTATGAGGGTGCTTGTGTGAAGACAGACCATGGGGAAAGAGGAAGAGAAAAAGACGAAATAAGTTCTGAAGAAAATCGTTTGAAATGGAGAAGGAGGAGGCTGGATTATTAGAGTTCGATCTTCATAAAAATGAGTTGACGAAGTATTGCCTACGCCTCTGTTCCTTATAAAGCCGAAACGAATAAAAAGAAGAAAATCAAAAGAGTTTAGAACAGTGGGTTCCATCGAACCCGAGAGGTTCGGTAATTCAGTCTCAGGGCTTCCGCGGAGAGGTGAAGACACACACCCGACTCATATGATTCACGATCGGATTTTATCAGTGTGGACGATACAACTATTAAGAAGGGTTCGGTGATTGCGCATATGAAACTGGCGGGGTTCGGTACCTCCAAAAAGTTAAGAACCACTGCTTTAGAGTGTATTTTGTGGAAGGTGCAAGCTTATTTGGTCTACGTTTGGTAACACTTTTAAGTGTTAAAAGACTTATCTAGTCACCGATCCAGTACAAATCCTGCGGTTTTTGTTGGTGAAAACTCTTTTTTTTTTTAATGTTAAACAGTCGTAAAATAGCATCTGAGTGATATCGGTTATTTATTCCTTAATCCGGTGTGATATTTTTCCGATTCTAGTCTTCGATAAAGCGCCCCCTCCCTCATCTAGGAAAGCTGGAAAGCGGTTTTTCCGGTCACTGTTTCTGAAGGATATACGGTTTACAGTTACACAATCAAGGTAGAAGACAGTTAAATCAGTATGCAAAGGCTCTCAGCCTTAAATGTGTTTACTTTGACTGTTTATAATTCAAAACTGCAGCTTAAAATGAGCTTTTAAAATTATGTTCTACCCCTTTTGGCGCCCCCCTAGGGTCGGCGCCCGGGGCGGCCGCCCTCCCCGCCCTCCCCTAGCTACGCCTCTGCCATTAGGCCTAATTAATTAATTAGATCTAGCTAGATATCTAGCTGCTAGGCCAAGTAAAAAAATCTAGATTACGAAAATAGTAAAAATGATTACAAAATGTAAAAATGATTACAAAAATAAATCTATCCAAATTTTAAACATTCTGTATAAAAATAAAAAAAAGACGCCAAATAAAGTATGGTTTACGGTACTTCCGGTGAATTCCGGAAGTGTGTGACAGACTTTGGCATTGTTTTACTGTTTTTTACTGCTATACGATTCCGGAATAATAACCGACGCTAAACTAAGGGATTACCCAAAACTAAGATAGGCAAATGTCACCAATTTGTTTTCAATCGAATTAAAATTTCAACTTTCAGGATCTACCTGCAATGACAGCTGGCATCAAAAGTTTCACTTTGTTTGGTGGATTCACAGAAATTGTTGACATCCAATTCGACAATGCTCTTATAGAATTACTGTGTTTCATAAGTATAGAATTCGCCATATTACTATGCAGTAAACTGAAAATGGGATTCTTGACAGATCTACCATTCATTACCATTAGCATTTTTGGTAAAAACCCTTGCGACAAGGGCGCAGCCATTTTCAATTACATTAAAATAATCTTTTTAGTAAGTGAGTTCCAATTCCGGTATGTTGCTAAGGTAGAGTTTACAAATAGCAATTGTCTATTTGCAAATCCATGTATTTGTTTTTTACGATTTTACACCCACCTCCTCCTTGCTCCCCCCCCCAACCCATTCACACATTATCGCAAAAGCCAGACGCCCCTCCTTAATATAACGAAACGCATAAACCTATAACCACCAACAACCTCAAAATTACAGGTTTTTTTTTATTAACATCAAATTATTTCTAAAATATTTACTAAACTGGTCTAAACTCAGTCTACGTGTCGTATATTATTAATTTAATTAATTTCTATTAGGTCTAGCAATTATAAACAAAAATAACAGTTAAAATCAGTTTCTAGCATTTACCTTTTTAAAATGACAAACTGTGACTTTACTCTATCTGAACACCCCCCCCCCCCCCCCATTTTTCCCTAATACATTGTCGCAAAATTACGATCCCTCCCTTTAGGAGTGGGACGAATCTTGGAGTTAAAATTAGATAACAGTAAAACTTTGTTCCCAAATACCTATTCGTTACACGTTATAATGTAAGACGGCTGCGGCTAGCAGCCTCACTCTAACAATAAAACAGGTAATTGGACTAATAAATACAGTTTTAATTTTTTTTAAATATAGTAGCCCCCTACCCAATAATATTTTATAAATATTAAATATTGTTATGTAAATGTCGTTTTATTTAACCAGTCTGCTAAAATACAATTAGAATAATCTAACCATGAAAGAAAGTTTAAATATCCGCTTTTAATTGTATTCAATGTAACACTTGGACTTGGGCTTGGGAGCAGATAGGGCAAATAGAAAGCTATGTTTATTTTGAGCAGCCTTGCCAAATGAAGTATTATAAATATTCGACGTTAAGATATAGATTAAAAATGTCGCTCAATAGACTTAATTAATAATTTCTTACTTTAGATGGTATAGCAGCAAAGTAAACCTTTTTGCTCAGTCTTAACTCATTAGTAGCAATTAACCAGACAAAAATGACACTCCAAATTGAGGGTATCGACGTAAATCCAAATGATTTTTACAATGATTGCTGTTCAGAGAAATCCATTTACATACTGAAAAGAAAGAATTTGTACAAATACAAAATATGTTAACAAATAATCTTAAAAATGATATAGAAGGGTGCAGATTTGTAGCCCCCCCCCTACCCCGTGTAGCTCTCTTCCTAGAGTGATATTAATTTAGGCACAATAAAATAAAACGAACGCAGTTTTTTTCGGTGTTTTGAGGGTGTTTAATCTAATTATAATCTAATAGAATTTATTATTTGGTTAGGCCTACATTCTATTCATACATTTTCTTCAAAATAATATTTTTTCGAAAAAGTATATATTATCTGCTTTTGTTTTTCATTCAAACTTAGGCTTATTTTGATATGAAATGGTAAGTTACAAAGGATTAATAGCATAACGTACCCATACTTCGTAAGGAAAACATACAGATAGCCAACGAAATCTCTAAATGAACATACGGGTCCTTTGGGAGTCGCATGGCAACCGATGCTTTACGGAGCTCCATCTTTGAGTGTAACAGGACGCAAAGTTACTTGTTTTACAAGTCCTGTTAGAAATTTTGACGGTTTTGCAAAATGATGAAAACAAGGCAACAGCAGCCGTGTTTGAATAAGGTAAAACAACCAGGAAAAGTAGTCTGTCTGAGAGAAAGAGTACCTTTCTCTCATGAAGTAGAAATATTTCAAAAAAACAACCTAACGGTAAGTTAGAATTGAAAGTTAAAGTTCCTGTTGATACTGTTGACGTTGAGTTGAGTATTGACGTAATAAATAATTTCATGATTCTGCTCATCTCTGTTAACAATTTAATTCATTGGATTATCACTGTAAATTTTTTAAAACTCGTTTTTGCTTTCATTTCTTAAAAAAAACTGTTTTAAGTTTTTCAACAAGCATTTGATAAATAGGCCCATGCCATGGGCGCAGCAATAATAAAAAATAAAATATTAATACAGTAATACTAATTTAGTAATTAAATATATGGGTAATCTATCGTTTTAGGTACGTAAAATCGCCCGCGACTAGTAATGTGTAAAACAGGTAACTCCTTAAATTTTAATAATTATTTCACATTTTGAGGAGGATTTATGTTTTGAAAAATACAAAAATGCGTCCTTGTTTCATTTATCATTCATTATGTAGTCTACCTGTTTTTAAACAATTGAATTAAAACTTTTCAGTAATAAATGAAGACTAGTGATGTTTCCAACAGATGCAACCATGCTCCTTTACTATAGCAGCCATCTTGTTTAAGTTGTTTGTTTTTTTGTAAACTTATAGTGCGAGATTCATGGGAAGCCACTGCTGTTTAAAGTTAATTTCTGGCCTATATTGATATATTTAGCCATTGATTTAGGTTTATTATTCATTTATCTATAATATTTGATACAAATATATCACAATATATATACTTCTATTAAAGCCTTGACATTGAGGTAACTTTTTCGTACATTACTAGCTGCTGGCGATTTTACGTACTTAAAATGATAGATTACCAATATTTGTATTATTAATATTATTTACTATGATAATTATGCCTAGGCCTACCTAATAAAATTAATTAACTGATTAATCAGGCCTACTAGAATTTACTAGATCTATTTACTATTTGATTTCAGCATTTTCTAGACCTAGATTTCTTAGAAATTTTCTAGCCCTTTAGAGATTCTAGAAGTAGGCCAAGCTCAAGTCTAGATCTAGATAAATAAAATATTACATTAGGCTAGGTTTGCCTGCCGCCCCTCCACTGACAAGCGCTCTCCAGGCGCTTCTGTCCTGGGCTAGTCTCTCCAACTGTCCCCAGGTGTATCCAATCTTCTTGGTGTCTTCTTCCAGGTCACGTCTCCAGGTCTTTCTTGGTCTACCTCTCCTCCTCCTGCCCTGTGGATTCCAGGTGAGGGCCTTTCTGGATACAGGCTTCCTGAGTGTGTGGCCAATCTATTTCCATTTTCTCTGGAGGATTTCTACTACAGCTGGCTGTTGATTTGTCCGTTGCCATAGAACATCATTTCTGATGGTTTTAGGCCAGCAAAGTCACAGGATCTTTCTGAAGCATGCGTTTATAAATGATTGTATTTTCTTCTTGTTTATAAAAGTTATTTTCCATGACTCTTTGTCTGCATTTCTGTAGCGAGTTGTTTTTTGCAATATAAGGTTGCTGACCTTATGCTCAACCCCCAACCTGGATGACCAGGGTGTTAGCTTTCGTCTGACCCCTACCCGCGCAGCTTGGTTGAACCTGTCAGGAGTTAACACTCCCGTTGGTATAGCTCTGGGGGTCATCGGGGTACACAAGCTTTCAAGCCACGGCAATGCCCTAGCACCAGATGACAGAAAATTTTACATTACCAAACTTAATATAGAAAATAGATGTAGATCTTAGTACTAAGATGTAGGGCCTAAAATCTAAATGTAAATAATTGTAACTGATTTTAAAGTTTATTAAAATTTTAAAGTTTATTAATCTTAATTAATTAAATAGCTAGACTAAACTCTAAACTAAACATTTATAAATAGATTTGTTTAAAACTAACCTGCTAACTTGAATTCAACTAAATTTAATTTAATTTATAATGTAAACAAATGAACTAATTAGATCTAGTAATTACTAAGCCATATGCATTATTCATTTTTAGAATAGAATTTAATTAATTGGGGACTACTTAGCATAAGTAATTAAGTTATTAATTTGTTAAATTGTATAACCCTAAACACTTGTGTCAATAAAAATGTTTTCAATGATTAAAATTGGATTTATCTACTAACAGAAACCTGAACCCCCTTGTGCTGGGGCTTTTAAAGAACGAAACACAGGTGGCACTTCTTTTAAGAAATTCTATGAGCGAGGGGACTTCCCCATAGCTTTAGAGCATGATACCAAAGGAAACAAAATTGCATGGAAGGTAAGCACATTTTTTAAAATTACAAATTTGTTGAGATTAGCTAAAGTTAGTTGCCAAATGCTTTTTATTTTAATGTATGCTAGCTGTAGTGAATAGCTGTAGTGGCATTGAATTCTGGAGATCATACTAGATCTATTACTTAAACTTTTTTGTTGAAAAAAATGTGTAATTTTCACTTATGTTAGAAAAAAAATGTGGGCACTTTCTTGTAAAAAAAGCATTATGTTACTAATTTAATTAATTATTGTATTGTTTATGAAAATTAGTTCTCTGATCACAATTATCACTTTTTAAAATCACAAGTTGCAGTCTTTTAGCAATTATACTTAAACTTAGTGCAATCTTGATTTATTTATTTTTGTTTGTTAACTAACCAGAAGGGTTTTGGAATTTATGTGAGAATAACATTTTTTTTTCTAACCTGTATTTTTACAGGTGGAAATAGAAAAACTTGACTACCACCACTATCTTCCTCTGTTTTTTGATGGTCTGTGTGAAACCACTCACCCTTATGAGTTCTTTGCCAGACAAGGTGTTCATGACATGTTGGAGCATGGAGGCACAAAAATACTGCCTGTCATTCCACAGCTTATTATCCCCATTAAAAGTATGCTCCCATGATTTAGATTTTATTTTACTTGTGTGCATGTGTGCTAAGAAAACACCATATTTAATAATACTTCCATGATAGGCTATGATTATGTTAAATTTATTTTTGATTAGATGCTTTGAACACACGCAACCACAAAGTGTTGTGCACAACACTGAAAGTACTTCAACATTTAGTTGTTTCTGCTGACATGGTTGGTGAAGCCTTGGTACCTTATTATAGACAGATTCTTCCTGTGATGAACATCTTCAAAAACAAAAACTGTAAGTTTTCTTAGAACACGTATTTTGTTTTTAAATGCTCTGTTAGAAAATAAGTATGAACAGCTCTGCCATCAAACTTGTGTTCCTGACCAGGTAATTTAGTTGGAAATTTAATTTTAACAACGCTCTTGCCTAAGCTACAAAAAAGTATCACACAGAGAGAGGTCCACCATAAACTGAACTAATTTATATTAGGCTTTAAAGTATTGCTTTTAATTTTGGGTTCTTCTGAGTGTTTCTATTTTTTCTTTCCAGTGAATTCAGGGGATGGCATTGACTACAGTCAGCAAAAGCGAGAAAATGTTGGCGATCTAATTCAAGAGACTTTGGAAGCTTTTGAAAAGTTTGGTGGCGAGGATGCTTTTATTAATATCAAATACATGGTTCCCACATATGAATCATGCATGCTCAATTAAATATTTAAGCTCAACAGATATTGATAAGAAATTTTTAAGATTCATCAAAATGGACACTGAAAGAAAAATATTAAGGTTGTGCTTGATTGATCTAAGTATTAATGTTTTTCAGTATTGTGGAAAAAGATAAGCATTGTAATCTGTTTGAGTATTTAGTTCTTGTTTTGAAAAGCAATCTATTCAATATAAATATTCAGTTTTTTCTTAGAAAAGCAATCTATTGAATGCGAATATTTAGTTTCCCCAAAAAAGCTATCTATTCAGTATGAATATTTAGTTGTTTAAGAAAAGCAATCTATTTTGTATGAGCTGTTTATCAAGCATTGTGATACACTTTTAATTTTGTCCCTGTAATAACTATCTGTTGGCTATGCAATCAATATAAGTTCCATTCTCCATCTAGCTGGGTTAACATGCACCACATGTCAAGTCAGCTGATTGTATAAAATGTTGTACTTAACCTGTTGCCTGTTTGATACATTAGGATTTACTGCTGATAATTATGCAACTAATTTTTTTTTATTTGGGCCAGCAATGAAATTGTATCAACACTAAGAAACTGGCTGTACAGTTTGTATTTTTTTATAGTTGGTCAGTGTTGAAACTGGATATTTGTAACATCACTTCCAAGTTAAATAGAGCAGCCGTTGTTTCCCTACATTGTAATGACAATTTTCAGCAAGTGCTATAACATCAGTCTCACATTTTTATTTCAAACTTTGGACCTTAACTGCTGATTGATTTATTGCATTCACTTTTATTGGCTTGTGTGGATGGAAAAAAATTCAGTTTATAAAAGTATAACAATAAAGTGTATATAATACATGCATGTGTTCTTTCATGTATTAAAGCCAAGCAAATGTTGAATAACACTATTTATTGTCAGTCTCACACATGTAACAAATCAATATTATGACACTCAGTTCTCAACTATCTGAACCAGGAACATCACATTGAAATGCTCACTGATTCAAATACAAACAATATTTGTGTAAGAAATATCTAAAAATGTTACAACACATTGTATCAAACAATTTTATTATTTGATGTCTTCATTTTAACACAATAGGTAGCTTTAGAACTAGTTGTATTGATGTCAAAACATTTTTGTATTGTCTCAGCTGCATAAATCTTAGCCCACTGAAGGCACAGAGACGTAGCAATAAAAAACTTGATGAAAAAGCAGGGCTTGTGACTTGAAATAAAAAAATACCCTTAAACCACACAAAAAAAAGCACGCAGATCTTTCTTTTTTGAAACATTGAGTGCCATAGGCTGGAGATTATATTATTAGAACAAGGCATGGAAAATGTGATAAATGTAAATTATATACACACAGTTTGTAAAACTACTTGTTGGTGCCAAAGGCACTCCACACAAAAGCTATTCTGAATTGTTTGTATTCAGAATACTTAAATATAATCACAATAATTTTGATGTAAAACATTTTTATGAGCATATAAACAGATCTCTTTGCTGTAAAGAAGAAAATGACATTATTTTTTTAAAAATTGATATTTTTAAGCTGATAAAAACGGATTTAATTTTCTTGGTACATTTTTATTTTAGAGAATTTTAAAAAAGTTATTTTCAAGCATGTCAGTAAGCAGCAGACTATTCTAAAAAGTTGCACAAAATAGAACCTGACTTCAGCTGAATCTTGATTTCAAAACACAGAGCAGATAGAAATAATGATATGATCAAACATTTCTACCATGAGAAGAAATATTGTACTCATCAATATAATCAAACACTTGTACCAAGAGAAGAAATATTGTACTCATCAATATAATCAAACACTTGTACCATGGAATGTTTAAACAACAGGGAAGCTGGCAGCTGTAGCTATACCACACTGGTTATCTTTATTTCTGGCCATCAGGATGTAGCCTTTATCTCCCCAGCTTGTACCCCAGCTGTGGACAGAAACAATGGCGTGGTCAGTGTGGGCATGGTATCTTAGGTACTGCTGGCATGCTCAGTGTGGGCATGGTAGCTTAGGTACTGCTGGGGTGTGAGAGGATGGGTGGTATCTTAGGTACTGCTGGCATGCTCAATGTGTGCATGGTATCTTAGGTACTGCTGGGGTGTGAGAGGTTGGGTAGTATCTTAGGTACTGCTGGGGTGTGAGAGGATGGGTAGTATCTTAGGTACTGCTGGGGGTGTGAGAGGATGGGTAGTATCTTAGGTACTGCTGGCATGCTCAGTGTGGGCATGGTATCTTAGGTACTGCTGGGGTGTGAGAGGTTGGGTAGTATCTTAGGTACTGCTGGGGGTGTGAGAGGATGGGTGGTATCTTAGGTACTGCTGGCATGCTCAGTGTGGGCATGGTATCTTAGGTACTGCTGGGGTGTGAGAGGATGGGTAGTATCTTAGGTACTGCTGGGGTGTGAGAGGATGGGTAGTATCTTAGGTACTGCTGGGGGTGTGAGAGGATGGGTGGTATCTTAGGTACTGCTGGGGGTGTGAGAGGATGGGTGGTATCTTAGGTACTGCTGGCATGCTCAGTGTGGGCATGGTATCTTAGGTACTGCTGGGGTGTGAGAGGATGGGTGGTATCTTAGGTACTGCAGGGGGTGTGAGAGGATGGGTGTTGTTCAATGATTTATATTAAAAAAGATTGTGACAAGGTACATAGAGATGTGAGGTTTGACTTGTTGGTGGGGAAATAGTGCAATAAACCATGGATTGAAACTGTCCAGTCCTGTTGAGTGATTGTATCAGTAGTAGCCAAAGTCTTGTTGGTGGGGAAATAGTGCAATAAACCATGGATTGAAACTGTCCAGTCCTGTTGAGTCATTGTATCAGTAGTAGCCAAAGTCTTGTTGGTAACGAGATTTTGAAGATACCAGCACAAGTTTTATTAATGTTGTCTCTTGTTGCTCTATTACTAGTGGTCCATTATCTACCATTTTTCTAAAGTTGAGAATTATTTGATTCAACTCCCTTTCTGTATTTTTAGCCATGGCTCATTAGACAATTTTTGAATGATATTTTCAACAAAATCCTAACCTGTTTTTACATTGATATTTTCAACAAAATCCTAACCTGTTTTTGACAATCCAGAAGTCCTGACCATTCTTGCTGCCATAGCCTACAGCCAAAACTCCATGGTCCAACTGTGTCTGGCTACAGTCTGGGTTGTTGTAGACACCTGCAGCGGAGCACCACACAATAGTCACACGAGGAACATACAATAGTCACATGGGTAACACAATAGTCACACGAGGAACATACAATAGTCACATGGGTAACACAATAGTCACACGAGGAACATACAGTAGTCACAAGAGGAACATACAATAGTTACAATTGTTAGCCACCATAAAAACCTTAAACTCCCAATAAAATCCAAGCAGCCACCCCTCCCTCTGTCAAAAAAAAAACTCACCCCCTCTGTAAGACTGGAATGATGAGCCACTGGCATCAATAGCAATAGACACAGGTCCAATGTTTCCTACTGCAATTTTTAAAGCGTCTTCACTCTCTTGTGGGACTACATCGGAGCAAGCACTGATGGTGGCCACAACTTTATCTTTCTCAAAGCGACAGGTGTCGTCCTGGCAGAGGTGTTCAGTTAATGTTACAACACATCAAACTATTTTATAATCCAGCACTCTACACATTTTTACTTTAATCCAGCACTCTACACATCTGACTTTAATCAGTCATTCAGCGCTCTACACATTTGACTTTAATCAGTCTTTCAGCGCTCTACACATTTGACTTTAATCAGTCTTTCAGCGCTCTACACATTTGACTTAAATCAGTCATTCAGCGCTCTACACATTTGACTTTAATCAGTCATTCAGCGCTCTACACATTTGACTTTAATCAGTCTTTCAGCGCTCTACACATTTGACTTTAATCAGTCTTTCAGCGCTCTACACATTTGACTTTAATCAGTCTTTCAGCGCTCTACACATTTGACTTTAATCAGTCATTCAGCGCTCTACACATTTGACTTTAATCAGTCTTTCAGCGCTCTACACATTTGACTTTAATCAGTCATTCAGCGCTCTACACATTTGACTTTAATCAGTCTTTCAGCGCTCTACACATTTGACTTTAATCAGTCTTTCAGCGCTCTACACATTTGACTTTAATCAGTCATTCAGCGCTCTACACATTTGACTTTAATCAGTCTTTCAGCGCTCTACACATTTGACTTTAATCAGTCATCCAGTGCTCTACACATTGGACTTTAATCAGTCATCCAGTGCTCTACACATTGGACTTTAATCAGTCATCCAGTGCTCTACACATTGGACTTTAATCAGTCATCCAGCGCTCTACACATTGGACTTTAATCAGTCATCCAGTGCTCTACACATTTGACTTTAATCAGTCACCCAGCATTCTACACACCTGACTTTAATCAGTCATCCAGTACTCTACATATCATGATACCAAATGCTTCCCTTACCACAGCCTCATATGGGTAGGTATCTTCAGCCTCCAGGCCACCAGCGTTAATGATGTACTCAAAGGCGTAGTCCATGAGTCCCCCGTTACAGCCCTGGTCACCAAACTGGCTGGAGCAGTCCACCAGCTGTTGCTCAGACAGGACCGCCAGGCTCCCACTCTTCTTGAACCACTGGCCCTCCACTGACCCCGTCTGCCAGGACCACACAAACATGGCAGCATTAGGCCACGAACCAGCATTTGGTTCAATAGGTTAGACCAAACATGGCAGCATTAGGCCATGAACCAGCATTTGGTTCAATAAGTTAGACCAAACATGGCAGCATTAGGCCATGAACCAGCATTTGGTTCAATAGGTTAGACCAAACATGGCAGCATTAGGCCATGAACCAGCATTTGGTTCAATAGGTTAGACCAAACATGGTAGCATTAGGCCATGAACCAGCATTTGGTTCAATAGGTTAGACCAAACATGGCAGCATTAGGCCACGAACCAGCATTTGGTTCAATGGGTTAGACCAAACATGGCAGCATTAGGCCACGAACCAGCATTTGGTTCAATGGGTTAGACCAAACATGGCAGCATTAGGCCATGAACCAGCAATGGCTCAGACCAAACATGGCAGCATTAGGCCACGAACCAGCATTTGGTTCAATAGGTTAGACCAAACATGGTAGCATTAGGCCACGAACCAGCATTTGGTTCAATAGGTTAGACCAAACATGGTAGCATTAGGCCATGAACCAGCATTTGGTTCAATAGGTTAGACCAAACATGGTAGCATTAGGCCATGAACCAGCATTTGGTTCAATAGGTTAGACCAAACATGGTAGCATTAGGCCATGAACCAGCATTTGGTTCAATAGGTTAGACCAAACATGGTAGCATTAGGCCATGAACCAGCATTTGGTTCAATAGGTTAGACCAAACATGGCAGCATTAGGCCACGAACCAGCAATGGGTTATATAAAACATGGCAGCATTAGGCCATGGACCAGCAATGGCTCAGACCAAACATGGTAGCATTAGGCCATGAACCAGCATTTGGTTCAATAGGTTAGACCAAACATGGTAGCATTAGGCCACGAACCAGCATTTGGTTCAATGGGTTAGACCAAACATGGCAGCATTAGGCCACGAACCAGCATTTGGTTCAATGGGTTAGACCAAACATGGCAGCATTAGGCCATGAACCAGCAATGGCTCAGACCAAACATGGCAGCATTAGGCCACGAACCAGCATTTGGTTCAATAGGTTAGACCAAACATGGTAGCATTAGGCCACGAACCAGCATTTGGTTCAATAGGTTAGACCAAACATGGTAGCATTAGGCCATGAACCAGCATTTGGTTCAATAGGTTAGACCAAACATGGTAGCATTAGGCCATGAACCAGCATTTGGTTCAATAGGTTAGACCAAACATGGTAGCATTAGGCCATGAACCAGCATTTGGTTCAATAGGTTAGACCAAACATGGTAGCATTAGGCCATGAACCAGCATTTGGTTCAATAGGTTAGACCAAACATGGCAGCATTAGGCCACGAACCAGCAATGGGTTATATAAAACATGGCAGCATTAGGCCATGGACCAGCAATGGCTCAGACCAAACATGGTAGCATTAGGCCATGAACCAGCAATGGGTTATATAAAACATGGCAGCATTAGGCCATGGACCAGCAATGGCTCAGACCAAACATGGTAGCATTAGGCCATGAACCAGCATTTGGTTCAATGGGTTAGACCAAACATGGCAGCATTAGGCCACGAACCAGCAATGGGTTATATAAAACATGGCAGCATTAGGCCATGGACCAGCAATGGCTCAGACCAAACATGGTAGCATTAGGCCATGAACCAACATTTGGTTCAATGGGTTAGACCAAACATGGCAGCATTAGGCCATGAACCAGCATCTGGTTCAATGGGTTAGACCAAATCACAAGAAACTAATTTACTAAGATATATCACTTAAGTACTTGCATTTGTTTCAATCAAATAAAGAGTAATATAGTCAATTATATTTTGTAGAATTTATCAAAAGATGCACAAATTGCAAAAGAAACAAAATGTATTGGGGTTTGTGATACTTGGTTGCTATCTTGTCCATTGTTAATAAATAAACCAGGAGTGATCTCCCCTAAATTTTCTCGAATATTCTTATATAACACTACCCGGGATGGCAACTCGGGATATAAACAATATTTTTAATCCATTTTTAATTACTTAAACTTTTTATAATAGAATAGAATCTTGTAGAAAAAAATTGCACACCAAGTGAACGACAAACAAAATGTGCATAATAGTGCGGGATACTATCAGTACTTTATAAATTCACATAGTACTCAAGTTATAGGCTTTTGAAAAAATTGAAAGTAAAAAAGTTTCACTTCCAGTTATCAGAAATCTCTCAAAAGTCGAGGCGGATCTACGATTTTGATATAATACTTGTATATGAAATTTCATCAACCTAGCTATAACGGTACTCAAGTTATCGTGTTTACAGACATACATACATACACACACACATACAGACATACGGACAAGACTTTCTCTATACTCTGTAATTAGATTTCTACCATAAAGTAAAAAAGTGGCAAGAGGAAACTTACAGTGCTAAAGGACCAGCAGGAGCCACATTGTCCCTGTAAAAACAAATTATTGAAACATGTCAATACAAAATTCTAAAAGGTCATTCAGGGAAACATGCCAATACAAAATTCTAAAAGGTCATTCAAGGAAACATGTCAATACAAAATTCTAAAAGGTCATTCAGGGAAACATGCCAATACAAAATTCTAAAAGGTCATTCAAGGAAACATGTCAATACAAAATTCTAAAAGGTCATTCAAGGAGTTTGAAACATGTCAATACAAAATTCTAAAAAGGTCATTCAAGGAGTTTGAAACATGTCAATACAAAATTCTAAAAGGTCATTCAAGGAAACATGTCAATACAAAATTCTAAAAGGTCATTCAAGGAGTTTGAAACTTGTCAATACAAAGTTCTAAAAGGTGATTCAAGGAAACATGTCAATACAAAATTCTTTTTGGTCATTCAAGGAGTTTGAAACTTGTCAATACAAAATTCTAATTGGTCATTCAAGGAGTTTGAAACTTGTCAATACAAAATTCTAAAAAGGTCATTCAAGGAGTTTGAAACTGGTGTGACATATCGCTAAAATACCTGGTTTTTAATTGGTGTGACATATCCCTAAAATACCTGATTTTTAATTGGTGTGACATATCCCTAAAATACCTGGTTTTTAATTGGTGTGACATATCCCTAAAATACCTGGTTTTTAATTGGTGTGACATATCCCTCACTTCTCCAGTCAATGCTGTCTGCCACTGTCTTGGAGGAGGGGTGATATTCATTGCAGTTGCGATTGGGCTTGGTGCGGTTGCTGAAAAATCCATTCAGCTGCCTGTATTCTTCATTGGTCTGAAGTTGGTCAAAACAAATGACAGTCATGTGTTGACATTTGTATTTAAGAGTGAATATTATGTGTTGACATTTGTATTTAAGAGAGAATATTATTTATGTGTTGACATTTGTATTAAAGAGTGAATATTATGTGACGACATTTGTATTTTAGAGTGAATATTATGTGTTGACATTTGTATTTTAGAGTGAATATTATGTGTTGACATTTGTATTTAAGAGTGAATATTATGTGTTGACATTTGTATTAAAGAGTGAATATTATGTGTTGACATTTGTATTTAAGAGTGAATATTATGTGTTGACATTTGTATTAAAGAGTGAATATTATGTGTTGACATTTGTATTTAAGAGTGAATATTATGTGTTGACATTTGTATTTAAGAGTGAATATTATGTGTTGACATTTGTATTTAAGAGTGACAGTTGACACATACCAGGTCAGTGAACTGGTTGACATCCATGTAGAAGGTGGAATGGCCGTTGTGATACTTCCAGTTGTGGGACTCAATGAAGTTGATGTTCTCCATAAAGATGCCATATCTCTTCCTCTCTTCCTCCTCACTGCTGTACTTCTTGTCTGGGGGGACAGGCAACTAGTGTTACAGTACCTTCTCTAAATAATACGGATATGGGGGGGGGGGGGGGGGGGAGACAGGCAACTACACCTACAGTACCTTGTCTAAATAATACAGCTATGTGGGGGGGGGGGGACAGGCAACTAGTGCTACAGCACAATGTCTTGTCGAAATAATGGCGGGGGGGGGGGGGGGGGGGGGTCAGTAAGTAAGCAGTGAGTATCATCTTGTCTATAGCTACACAGCTATGACTTGAAGCAAAGTAGAAACTACAATAGAAAAAAATCTGCCGTATCTAATCTAGATGATATGACTTATAAAGTCAAGAAACTACAGCACCTTCAAGCTGCCTTGTATCTTACCATGAGTGGCCTTAAAACTGAGCCATGTGTCCTGGTAGTCAGCATAGGAAAGTTTGAGATCTTACCATGAGTGGCCTTAAAACTGAGCCATGTGTCCTGGTAGTCAGCATAGGAAAGTTTGAGATCTTACCATGAGTGGCCTTAAAACTGAGCCATGTGTCCTGGTAGTCAGCATAGGAAAGTTTGAGATCTTACCATGAGTGGCCTTAAAACTGAGCCATGTGTCCTGGTAGTCAGCATAGGAAAGTTTGAGATCTTACCATGAGTGGCCTTAAAACTGAGCCATGTGTCCTGGTAGTCAGCATAGGAAAGTTTGAGATCTTACCATGAGTGGCCTTAAAACTGAGCCATGTGTCCTGGTAGTCAGCATAGGAAAGTTTGAGATCTTACCATGAGTGGCCTTAAAACTGAGCCATGTGTCCTGGTAGTCAGCATAGGAAAGTTTGAGATCTTACCATGAGTGGCCTTAAAACTGAGCCATGTGTCCTGGTAGTCAGCATAGGAAAGTTTGAGATCTTACCATGAGTGGCCTTAAAACTGAGCCATGTGTCCTGGTAGTCAGCATAGGAAAGTTTGTACACGGCCCCAGCAGCGTCCCCAAGCTTGTTGACCCCATGGTCAGGGTAGGCAGGAGCTTTCAAGTCTGCCACCTTCATGGAGGGTTCTATCTTAAAATACTTCATGTACGTTGGCCCAGCTATGGCATAGCCCACACACAACAAGACAAGGGCTGACTTCAGCATGGTGGCAAGTCTCTGAGGAAATAATTTTACTTTAAAATCTCACACGAAGATATCAGGTTTGAGGCACCAAGGAGAATGTGTAGTGTGTAGGTTTGCACTAAGGTAATGTTAGACTTCCAGGAAGTAAAAACGCCTGATATTTCTCTCACAGACAATGTGGTGACTCATTGTGGTAACGTTGGGTAACAAGAACAAAATAGATTCTAGCTTGGTTAGAAAGGTAGCCAGGATCTTAGTTGCCTTGTTATTTACGATCTGATGTAAGGCCCATTCAAATCTATGCGTAAAATAGCCGTGACCTTTACAACAGACTAGATCTTTTTCCGATGTACTAACATACTTGGCTACACACTTAACAAAACACAGCAGACCGTAGTTAGGCCTACCATAACTCTCCGTCTGACTGCCCATAACAGACTACATAACTACATAAAGTTGTTCAGTAAAGTAGGCTAAAAATGCCTTTAGGCCATACTATACTATAGGTCTACTGTTACTATTTATAAAATTATTCATACCTATAAATAAATTGTTATTATACTATACAATACACTGATACAGTGTCAGTAAGTAATAAGTAAGTATGCATGCTACATACACTGTTGCTATGATGTTATACTAGGCCTACGTAGAAAAAAAAACAAAGGATCTAGGCTCTAGACATCTACTTTCAAAATACTTAAGCTTCGAATATACCAGGATAAAAATTACCAACTTACTTTTACCAGCGAGGATCTAGACTAGAGATGTTAAGATCTAGATCTAGTTGATTCTATATCTATTATCTATAGTGCGTCGAATTCGTCCGCGACACTTTATAAACCTGGTGTCACATGCTCATAGATCACATGACCCAAACAACAATAGTGTCACGTGGTACGACTACACACGGTACCACCTTAGGCTGACCCACTTTTTGTCGTTTGGACTTTCGGTGTGTTCTGCTACAAGAAATTAGTAGGCGTTCACACAATGACGCAGTTGACCGGTCACACGACTAATTAGGGTTGTTTCATTAGCTAAAGGAAGTTGAAGAGTCCGATGCATGCTACTTTGGTCGTATACTTTTAGAGAAGTACGAAGGGGGGAGTGACATTTCTATCCTGTTAGACCCTTGAAGTTGTTGACACTATGGTGTGTTAATAATGCGTATGTGCAGCAGTTATCAATAATGTATAAATCAGGTGTGTGTCAATGTAGCGGATGTTGTAGCATGTATGTAGCTGGTGCTGTAGTGTGTATGTAGCTTTTGTAGCACGTTTAGGAACAGTGTGTCAACTGTGGGCGATAATTTGAGAAAACCAACGATCTAGCAACATATTTGAATTGATAAAAAATGTTGGACAAGTTGTGCTGTACTTCCACTCTAGGAAGTAAAAAAACCTGTCAAAGTTCCACACTTCGGTCAGTGACTCATGGTGGAAACTTCAGGGTAACCCGTTACTGAGAGTCATCTTCCTTCAGGCCGACCTTGAGTCAGATCAGTTGTTTTGTCACAACAACTCATCGCTGTCCTCGTGACTAGAGGTCACGTGAGAGAGGCCGCCTCAATATCTCAACACAGTGAACGGCCTGCTCGATGTCTAGAGTCACGTGACTAGATGGCATCAAAATGGGTTAAATGGCTCAGTATATCAAATACTTTCCGCCGCGCATTCAATGGCACTCAATGACTTAAGGATGTTTTTTTAATCACACACCAACACAATGGGATGTGTACATCACACAAGATCATGGGATGTGTACATCACACAAGATCATGGGATGTGTACATCACACACCAACACAATGGGATGTGTACATCACACACATGGGATGTGTACATCAAACACCAACACAATGGGATGTGTACATCACACACCAACACCATGGGATGTGTACATCACACACCAACACAATGGGATGTGTACATCACACACCAACACAATGGGATGTGTACATCACACCAACACCTTGGGATGTGTACATCACACACATGGGATGTGTACATCACACACCAACACAATGGGATGTGTACATCACACACCAACACCATGGGATGTGTACATCACACACCAACACCATGGGATGTGTACATCACACACCAACACAATGGGATGTGTACATCACACACCAACACAATGGGATGTGTACATCACACACATGGGATGTGTACATCAAACACCAACACAATGGGATGTGTACATCACACACCAACACCATGGGATGTGTACATCACACACCAACACAATGGGATGTGTACATCACACACCAACACAATGGGATGTGTACATCACACACCAACACCATGGGATGCATGGGATGTGTACATCACACACCAACACAATGGGATGTGTACATCACACACCAACACAATGGGATGTGTACATCACACACCAACACAATGGGATGTGTACATCACACACCAACACAATAGGATGTGTACATCACACACATGGGATGTGTACATCACACACCAACACAATGGGATGTGTACATCACACAAGATCATGGGATGTGTACATCACACACATGGGATGTGTACATCACACACCAACACCATGGGATGTGTACATCACACACCAACACAATGGGATGTGTACATCACACACCAACACAATGGGATGTGTACATCACACACCAACACAATGGGAAATTGGGATGTGTACATCACACACCAACACAATGGGATGTGTACATCACACACCAACACCATGGGATGTGTACATCACACACCAACACAATGGGATGTGTACATCACACACCAACACAATGGGATGTGTACATCACACACCAACACAATGGGATGTGTACATCACACACATGGGATGTGTACATCAAACACCAACACAATGGGATGTGTACATCACACACCAACACCATGGGATGTGTACATCACACACCAACACAATGGGATGTGTACATCACACACCAACACAATGGGATGTGTACATCACACACCAACACCATGGGATGCATGGGATGTGTACATCACACACCAACACAATGGGATGTGTACATCACACACCAACACAATGGGATGTGTACATCACACACCAACACAATGGGATGTGTACATCACACACCAACACAATAGGATGTGTACATCACACACATGGGATGTGTACATCACACACCAACACAATGGGATGTGTACATCACACAAGATCATGGGATGTGTACATCACACACATGGGATGTGTACATCACACACCAACACCATGGGATGTGTACATCACACACCAACACAATGGGATGTGTACATCACACACCAACACAATGGGATGTGTACATCACACACCAACACAATGGGAAATTGGGATGTGTACATCACACACCAACACAATGGGATGTGTACATCACACACCAACACCATGGGATGTGTACATCACACACCAACACAATGGGATGTGTACATCACACACCAACACAATGGGATGTGTACATCACACACCAACACAATGGGATGTGTACATCACACACCAACACAAAGTGTCAGAATAGTAATGCTATTATACCAAATGGTAAAAAGTTTTTAACACTTTTAATACTTGGTAAATCAGAATTAGATACAGTTTACTTAATTATCAATAAAAAAAATTTATATATCCCAGCAAATATCCTTTTAAAACATGTAGGATGGTATACATGACAAGAATTCTTAGCTTTTGTTGGGTAGAAAAATGTATATGTATAAACATAAAAATGATACATAAGAATTTTTATCATTCTATTTTGTTCTGTAAAGAAAAATGTATGAATATTTTTAAAAAATGTCTTCAAGCCAGGGCAGATTGAGATCAGCTAGAATCTAAGTCTCACATTCAAATAAGAATGAGATGCGGCCAAGTTTTTGTTCATCTAAAAGTAAGGATCCTCTGGTTAACATGACACAAACTAGGTAACAGCCCTAAGCCATCATTTGGGGGTCAGAGGCAGTGGCGTAGCTAGGGAAGGGCGGGTGGGGCGGCCGCCCCGGGCGCTGACCATAAAAGGCCGCCAAAAGGGGTTGAAACATTACTTTAAAAGCTCGTTTTAAGCTGAAGTATTGAATTATACACAGTCGGAATTACAAAAATAAATGACTACAAGGTTTTACACACTGAGTTAACTGTTTTCTACATCCATTTGGAGACACCGAAATAGAAAATATTACAGGGTAGTAACTGGTAAGAAGGGCCACAAACCTTTCCAACTGTGGTAGGGGCGCTTTTTCACAGACAGGAATAACGATATATAGAAATGGGAGGGAAGGGGTGCAAAATTGATGGTCTGCCCCGGGCACTTGAATTAATAGATACGCCTCTGGTCAGAGGCCACCTGATAACAGGCTTGGAATAGTTTAGTTAGGAAACAGTACAATTTTAAACTGTCAGAAAGGTTACTGGATCTACTTACTAAGCTGTTGAAAGCGCAGAAGAGTGTTGAACTTAGTTGAAGGGTGAGAATAAAATGCAAGACGCAACATGGTAGAGTGGTAAAATGCTAGATCTAGAAAGTTTTCTACGTTTCCTATTTTACTCTTGTTTTGGTTGCTTTTGTGAGAATAGTGTCTATCCACCATCAACTAAAGTTTTTGAAAATCTAAATTGAAACATCATTATAATATTACAAATTGAGGCCTATTAAATAATTAATAAAAGACCTTGATCCAGAATAGATCTACACTCGAGAGCTAGACCTCGCTAGGTATTTAGAAGTAATACTATAGTAATACTATCTAGATGTTATCTAGATCAGGTCTATAGAATTTGATCAAGACTTTAGATTTAACTAGATTGTCCTACTATTGTAGATCTAGAATGTGGATTAGAATTAGATCGAGTGGTTCTTAACCTGCGTTTGATCGACCCCCGAGGTGTTCAGTGAGTCTCAGTCAGCCCAAGGGGTTTGGTGGAGGTAAAGACACACATCCGACTTAAATGGTTGACAATTAGCTTTGGTCAGTGCAGATATTAGAACTATTAATATTAGGAAGGGGGGGGGGCATTGAATTCACATAAAAAACTGGTGGGGTTCAGGTTACAAGAGTTAAGGCTAAGGGTGAAGAACCACTTATCACCTCGGAGTGATCTAGAATTAGAATCTAGCTAGGTTTAGATCTAAATATTAGCTATTCACTAACAATTTAAAATTTTAGGCCTAGTTATTTTTTTTAACTAACTGTCTATTCCCAGTCAACTAGGAATAGCAGTATTTAATTTAGGCTATTCACTGTTGTGACTGTGGCATATTTAATGGTAAAAACCCCAAATTAAGCACCAAGTCGTGACTGTGGCATATTTAATGGTAAAAACCCCAAATTAAGCATCAAGTTGTGACTGTGGCATATTTAATGGTAAAAACACCAAATTAAGCATCAAGTTGTGACTGCTGTGCCGGAAGGTGCGTGTTCGAGCCCCCAGAAGGTGTGGGTTTGAACCCATCACATGCCTTGTCTTTTGACACTTAATTTATGCCTCTATTATCTAAATGTGTTTTCCCTGTTGTTCATGAAAGGGTTATGTTTGATTATTTTTTAATCGTTTTTGACGTGATTAATGGCATATCTGAAAAAAAAAAAAAAAAAAAAAAAAAAAAAAAAAAAAAAAAAGACTTGTCCCTTAGATTTTTGCTGAGAGAAAAAACACTTTAAAAAAGTGTGATGGAAACTGAATTATAGCTGATGAAAAAGGGCATCCTATTTCACCTGATATTTGTTATATATAATATGCGAATTTTAAATGGTAATTGACAGTTGAATTGCAATGTGAACTACTAACTAAACTGATGCATAATTAATATTATTTATTTAAAAATTACTATATCTATTAATCAGCCTAGTATAGATTTAGAGAGCATATGATAATTGATAAGTTCATCTACGACTGACGTAGCAGATATGAGCCTAAAGGCTAAACTTAAACCATATTTTTTTTAATGAAAATATAACAGAATAAAAATAGCACTGCTCTCTACACCTCACTCCCCAGTCATAATAAATGCTTTTATTATTCTAAGATATTTTTCCCAGTCATATTCAGCATGAAATGACAGCTGACTGGGAATAGCTGTATTGGGGCTATTCACAGTCGACTGGGAATAGCCTTGGCCTTTTTTAAATTTAAAAATAGTATGAAAACTACTAGATCTAGATCTAGTCTAGATTCTAGATCTAGATAATGAGGATAATGGAGATATTGGGGCTAAAATATGATATGGTACTTTAATTTTAATTGGTAATTTAATTTTAATTGGTACTTTAATTTTAATTGGTAATTTAATTTTTGCAGACTCTCAGGGCTCAGCCTAGCTGGGAGTTATTTTTTCATGAGATGAGCATGGGGATATATTGATTATATTCAAATATTCATATTAAAGACTAGTCTAGATCTAGTCTAGATCTAGCAGATGACACAAAGACTCAAAGGCGAGCATGGAGATTCAAAGACTTTTTTAAAGAGGTAAAGTAAAGTGGGGGTGGGCGAAGTGGAGGTGTGCACTATTATTAATTTATTATGCAGCAATAATCATCTAGTTGATCTAGAATCTAGATCTAGATCTAGATTAGATTCTAAGTCCTAGATGTAGATCTAGATCTAAGTCTTAAAAGTCCTAAAGACCTGCTAAAAGGCTTTAGGCTAAAGCCAACTAAAGGCTAAAAAAAAAAGACTAAGACTTGCAATGTCTATCTAAAAGTAAAATAAAATCTAATGAGAAAATATACAAAATTTAATCTCAAACAAATGATGGGCTAGACGGCTAGACTTTACTTTTTACTTTTGTTAAACTACTTACATTTTGTTTCTGGCTTAGTTGAAGAATCTAGGTTTGACTGGCTGAGCGTGATGTTATACTGTAATTCTAATTCAATGTCTTAAACTTCTTCGAAAATAGAAATCTACTGCACCTGTCCTAAAACCGAATCAGTCATATGATTGCTGTCATGTGACTCTACGTCACTTGTTTTTGAGAAGAAAGATAACCTGTACAATAAAAACGCGACAATAGTTGGAAGTTATTATCTTCCTTTAATGTAACAAAACACTTTTTCTCCCTGCTCTGTTCTGGGGAGGGGGATTTTTGTGACAATATTTGATGAGGGAGGGTGATGTTCCGAGAGTGTGACGACACACTGTCGCATTTTTTATAAAAAAAATAATGCTATCTAGATCCAGAAACTGAATTTAAATTCAAGCCCTTATTTAGTTGTTTTAACGACTTTGGGGTCATCCATAAATGATGTTAGCCTCTCCTCCGTCACACATCGTCACAAAAAGCCAGATCCCCCTCCCTAAAATGACGTCACACCTCAGCTTACACCCCCCCCCCCCTCAAAATTGCAGTTGAATTTTTATAAAAACATCGATATTTTTCCAAAATCTTGTCTGAACTCTGTCAACATTTTATTTTAATCAATTTCTAATACAATTTACAAAAAAAAAAACTTTTTTTAAAACACAAAATAACGACTAAAACTCATTTTTCTAACATTGCTTTTTTTATAATGCAAAAGTGTGACGTCACACCATCTGAACCCCCCCCCCCCCCCCCTCATCACACACCGTCACAAAATTACGGTCCCCCTCCTACGAGTGTGACGTCATTTATGGACGACCCCTTTTTAAAAGAAAATTGTAATGAAAATAAATTTTGTTGTGACATACTCAATGCTAACCGAGCCTTAAAATATTCTAGGGGAAAAAGTATGCTGAGATGTGATGTCATTTTAGGTGGAGGACCAGGGATTTTGTCATGTGGGGAAGGAAGGAACTTTTTTGTTAATGCGTGACGCTTTTACTAGATTATTATGAATTTAATTGTTCCTGATTTTTAGCGCAATTTCCATTCTGGAGAATTGCGTTTATTAACTCGTCATTTCTGGGAATGGATGGATGAATGTATGGATGTGTCCGCAGCTTTAAGTCGTATCTCCTCCTCAACGAAGCAATATCGATGACTAGTTACAAAAACAATTATGTTAAGCAAGTTACGAGGATGAACATAGGCCATAAAAATTCCGGGTTTCTTTCATGGATTTCCCGGAAAAGCCAAAAAACCTCGGAAAAATTCAGTTTTTTGCCCATATCTCGGCAACAAGACCACTTAGCGACTTGAAACATGCATCAATCGATTCCTGCTATAATTTAGAACAATATTGCCGAAGAAAGTTTTCAAAAATATCCTTTCGTTTGGTCACAAAAAAATTTTTGAATTAATTAAAATTTGGACCGAATTAGTAGGCATTTTATGCAACCACACCACACGCGTCATCACGTTTTATAGCTGCGCCATCACGTTCAATATCTGCGACATCACGCTCGGTAGCTAGGCGCGCAATGGTTTTTAGTCATGTTACTCTATTGTAAATAAAACATGTAAAATACTGAAAAAAAATTAATAAAAAACGTTTTAATAACTAACCAATGGTTTTACTAACCCTGCTGTTGATTTACGCTACGACAGAGCTATTTTTAGATAACGTAAGGAAATTGCGCTAAAATTGTCACTAGACTTTTTAATTACTTGTTTTTTCAGGGGATCCAAAATCCGATCAAAATAACATTTTTTTTTGTTTTGCACTTTGAACGTAAATTTTAAAAATATAAATAAATTAAAAAAAAACCCGATCAACTAGCTCAGAGATTGTTCTCCAGTAACGAACAAAGGCTGTTGTGTGGAAGAAAACAAACAACTTTCATGTTCTCCAGTAACGAACACATGCTGTTGTGTGGAAGAAAACAACTTTCATGTTCTCCAGTAACGAACACAGGCTGTTGTGTGGAAGAAAACAAACAACTTTCATGTTCTCCAGTAACGAACACATGCTGTTGTGTGGAAGAAAACAACTTTCATGTTCTCCAGTAACGAACACAGGCTGTTGTGTGGAAGAAAACAAACAACTTTCATGTTCTCCAGTAACGAACACAGGCTGTTGTGTGGAAGAAAACAAACAACTTTCATGTTCTCCAGTAACGAACACATGCTGTTGCGTGGAAGAAAACAAACAACTTTCATGTTCTCCAGTAACGAACACATGCTGTTGTGTGGAAGAAAACAAACAACTTTCATGTTCTCCAGTAACTAACACAGGCTGTGGAAGAAAACAAACAACTTTCATGTTCTCCAGTAACGAACACAGGCTGTTGTGTGGAAGAAAACAAACAACTTTCATGTTCTCCAGTAACGAACACATGCTGTTGTGTGGAAGAAAACAAACAACTTTCATGTTCTCCAGTAACGAACACATGCTGTTGTGTGGAAGAAAACAAACAACTTTCATGTTCTCCAGTAACTAACACAGGCTGTGGAAGAAAACAAACAACTTTCATGTTCTCCAGTAACGAACACAGGCTGTTGTGTGGAAGAAAACAACTTTCATGTTCTCCAGTAACGAACACATGCTGTTGTGTGGAAGAAAACAAACAACTTTCATGTTCTCCAGTAACGAACACATGCTGTTGTGTGGAAGAAAACAAACAACTTTCATGTTCTCCAGTAACGAACACATGCTGTTGCGTGGAAGAAAACAAACAACTTTCATGTTCTCCAGTAACGAACACATGCTGTTGTGTGGAAGAAAACAAACATCTTTCATGTTCTCCAGTAACTAACACAGGCTGTGGAAGAAAACAAACAACGTTCATGTTCTCCAGTAACGAACACAGGCTGTTATGTGGAAGAAAACAACTTTCATGTTCTCCAGTAACTAACACAGGCTGTGGAAGAAAACAAACAACTTTCATGTTCTCCAGTAACGAACACAGGCTGTTGTGTGGAAGAAAACAAACAACTTTCATGTTCTCCAGTAACGAACACAGGCTGTTGTGTGGAAGAAAACAACCAACTTTCATGTTCTCCAGTAACGAACACATGCTGTTGTGTGGAAAAAAAACAACCAACTTTCATGTTCTCCAGTAACGAACACAGGCTGTTGTGTGGAAGAAAACAACTTTCATGTTCTCCAGTAACGAACACAGGCTGTTGTGTGGAAGAAAACAACTTTCATGTTCTCCAGTAACGAACACAGGCTGTGGAAGAAAACAAACAACTTTCATGTTCTCCAGTAACGAACACAGGCTGTGGAAGAAAACAAACAACTTTCATGTTCTCCAGTAACGAACACATGCTGTTGTGTGAAAGAAAACAAACAACTTTCATGTTCTCCAGTAACGAACACAGGCTGTGGAAGAAAACAAACAACTTTCATGTTCTCCAGTAACGAACACATGCTGTTGTGTGGAAGAAAACAAACAACTTTCATGTTCTCCAGTAACGAACACATGCTGTTGTGTGGAAGAAAACAAACAACTTTCATGTTCTCCAGTAACGAACACATGCTGTTGCGTGGAAGAAAACAAACAACTTTCATGTTCTCCAGTAACGAACACATGCTGTTGTGTGGAAGAAAACAAACATCTTTCATGTTCTCCAGTAACTAACACAGGCTGTGGAAGAAAACAAACAACGTTCATGTTCTCCAGTAACGAACACAGGCTGTTATGTGGAAGAAAACAACTTTCATGTTCTCCAGTAACTAACACAGGCTGTGGAAGAAAACAAACAACTTTCATGTTCTCCAGTAACGAACACAGGCTGTTGTGTGGAAGAAAACAAACAACTTTCATGTTCTCCAGTAACGAACACAGGCTGTTGTGTGGAAGAAAACAACCAACTTTCATGTTCTCCAGTAACGAACACATGCTGTTGTGTGGAAAAAAAACAACCAACTTTCATGTTCTCCAGTAACGAACACAGGCTGTTGTGTGGAAGAAAACAACTTTCATGTTCTCCAGTAACGAACACAGGCTGTTGTGTGGAAGAAAACAACTTTCATGTTCTCCAGTAACGAACACAGGCTGTGGAAGAAAACAAACAACTTTCATGTTCTCCAGTAACGAACACATGCTGTTGTGTGGAAGAAAACAACTTTCATGTTCTCCAGTAACGAACACATGCTGTTGATTGGAAGAAAACAACTTTCATGTTCTCCAGTAACGAACACAGGCTGTGGAAGAAAACAAACAACTTTCATGTTCTCCAGTAACGAACACAGGCTGTGGAAGAAAACAAACAACTTTCATGTTCTCCAGTAACGAACACATGCTGTTGTGTGGAAGAAAACAACTTTCATGTTCTCCAGTAACGAACACATGCTGTTGATTGGAAGAAAACAACTTTCATGTTCTCCAGTAACGAACACAGGCTGTGGAAGAAAACAAACAACTTTCATGTGCTCCAGTAACGAACACAGGCTGTTGTGTGGAAGAAAACAACTTTCATGTTCTCCAGTAACGAACACAGGCTGTTGTGTGGAAGAAAACAAACAACTTTCATGTTGTCCAGTAACGAACACAGGCTGTTGTGTGGAAGAAAACAAATAACTTTCATGTTTTCCAGTAACGAACACAGGCTGTGGAAGAAAACGAACAACTTTCATGTTCTCCAGTAACGAACACAGGCTGTTGTGTGCAAGAAAACAACTTTCATGTTCTCCAGTAACGAACACAGGCTGTTGTGTGGAAGAAAACTAACAACTTTCATGTTCTCCAGTAACGAACACAGGCTGTTGTGTGGAAGAAAACAAACAACTTTCATGTTCTCCAGTAACGAACACATGCTGTTGTGTGGAAGAAAACAACTTTCATGTTCTCCAGTAACGAACACAGGCTGTTGTGTGGAAGAAAACAAACAACTTTCATGTTCTCCAGTAACGAACACAGGCTGTTGTGTGGAAGAAAACAACTTTCATGTTCTCCAGTAACGAACACATGCTGTTGCGTGGAAGAAAACAAACAACTTTCATGTTCTCCAGTAACGAACACAAGCTGTGGAAGAAAACAAACAACTTTCATGTTCTCCAGTAACGAACACAGGCTGTTGTGTGGAAGAAAACAACCAACTTTCATGTTCTCCAGTAACGAACACATGCTGTTGTGTGGAAGAAAACAAACAA